CCGGATAAGGAAGTGTAACTTTATTCAATAAATATTAATACATAACGAATGTAATTCAATCATCTCAAGATTCCTGGTAAAAATCATGAGGCTCAAGTTTGAACATGAATACCGAAAACCTTATTACTATTATCATACATTTGCCTTTGGTTCATTACAATCAATTTGATTGTTAGGGTTTGGATTTTTTTTCCCTTGTTTCTTATTTCATATCTTGTGTTGATTAAGTTGAAATGGTGATATTAATCATGATCAATGATTATTATTATTAACTATTATTGGTCAGAATAATAGTTTAACTCAGATAGTTGATTCAATGTTATATCACTTTGATGATTATATTGAATCATGGAGATGATGATGATGATGATGATGATATATGATTTTGAATAGATAATCAGAGCAAAGATGAGGATAATAGAAAGGTAATAATAATATTTATATCCCCAAATGAAACAAGATTATCATCAAGTAGAGATTGAGAAACAAAATTAAGAGACATGGTAAGAAATCATGATAGTTGAGAATCCAGAATTCAGTTAGATGATGATGATAATAGGATTCAATCATCATCATCATCATCATGATATTCATGATATATATCTGAATCTGTTACTTCAATTGATTTGTTGTTGTTGTTGTTGTGTAGTTTATTTAACCTTAAAGTAAATAACAGTAATCATGATAACACCAAGAGTATCAGATTATTCAGAGAGATGCAAATGAAATTTCCTGATGATGATAATAATAATCATCATCGTTTTTTTTTATTGATTACCAATGTAATTGGATTGAATGGGAATTCTGGCAAAAACTAAATATTTAATTTCCTTTTTACTGGAAATCCTGAAACTCACCCAATCAATTATTAATTCAAATATTAAATTGTACCAATGAATCAGTAAACTAAATGGTTTAGTTAATCAGTGACAATCAATCACTACAAAAGTTATTATAATATTAAAATTCTGTAATTGTATATTATTTATCATCATCATTAGAAATGAAATACTGTTAATTGTTTATAATGAGTAAAGGTAATTGTTCTAGTAACAATTAACAATCAAAGGTAAAAAAAGAAATTAAAAAGATAATTAAAAATTGAAAGTTTCATCTTTAGCTTTTCTTCCCGGTGGGAATTTTATTATTATTATCATGTTATTTTGCTTTCCACCTCAGAAGAAATTAATTTATCCATTTACCTTGACACTCTGTTTACCTTCAACATTATATTTTGATTATAATCAGTTAATTATTATGATTATTATGATTATGATCATTAAATTGACTTTGAGAATCCAGAAGGAACAAAAAAAATGAACCAAATACAATATTAATCAACAGTAAACAAACATTAGTTTTTGCTTCCATCATCATCATCATCACTTTTCCATAGGCTTGAGTTTCATGATGATCATGATGATGAACAAGAAGATGATGATGATGATGATAATTCCCTTGGCAAAATTACAAAGTCGTTAATTAATAGTTTATCTTATATTACATAGAGATGATATAGTTAAGGTTGAAGATGGAAATTTTAAAACTCGAGAAAAAAAAATTCGAGGGATGAAAAGGTCTCAATGTTTTTCCTCTGAGTATTTCTGGTAATGAATTAATATGAAAACACACAATTGACTTTTCTCAATCTCTATTAATTGTTTATTTATTTTTCTCTCTTTCAATCATAATTTACTTGATTACCAGTTTAACGTTTTTCTATTATAACAATTTAGTCTCACCGTGCCCATTATTTTCTAATAATATTGTACATAAATCACCAGAAAGCAACAATTTGCAAATTTAAATTACTTTTAATTGCTATTTGGAAAAAGTTTAACAAATCTAATTTGTTTTCTGTAAATTTTTCTCCTCTATGTAAATCAAATTAACTTTGGTATCATTTGAAAATTTGTTACAATGATTACTCGTTAATTGTTTTGATGTATCCACACAAACACTGTTGATATGTATTATTATTATTTTGTTGATTGTCGTCATGTAAACATCGTTTAAATTTGGTTGGTGATCAAAGATGAATATTTATACATAATTAAAGTAATTAGTTGATTAACTTACATGCCGATATGATATGCTACCGCTTTCCATCCTCTTGGTCTTTCCAGGAAATTGTAAACTCTATTTTGGGACATGCGATACTTTGGATTACGATAACGGGAATTGGCTTTGATCGGTCTTCCCAAAAGGCTGGTTCGGGAGACCTCGGATGAGGGCCGAGGAGTACATCCAAAGTGACTACTGGACTTTGCATATCGCTCCCCGGCCTCAAGTTGACGTAATTCAAGCAGTTCGACGGTTCAATTGGTCGGGACGACAACGAAACTCGTTCGTCGTTGTCGTCCTTTCGTTTTCACTTTTTTAACTTGTTATTTTAGTTTTCCAATCGATTTTGATACAAATTATCAAATTATCGGTAAACAGATGAAACGAAATGTTTACATAAAAAAAACTGTCACAAGTTTTATCGTTTCAATGGTCAAAATCGGTGAGAGAAATTTAAACAAATTAATTACCACATAGTTAATCCGTTTTTTGCTAATCCATTCACAATCAATGGTAATGATAGTAAATTTCCTTCCCTGTTGATGTATTAGGGATTAATGGATCATCGCCATGAGATGGATTAAAGTTAATCCATGTAAACATTGATTGTATCATTGGATAACTTTATAAGGTGAAAATAAAAATTCAAATTCAACAATCAATCATTTAAAACAGTTAAAACTGAATCAAATTGTTTGTCCAATTGGTTAACACATAAAACAAATCATAATCAACTCAAGATATTGATGAACACAGTTAATCACATCCAATGAAATCCTTAATCCAGGTAAGCTAACCGATTGTTTAATAGTAACAATATAAGGTGAACACATGATTCCTAGTTGATTCTGATAGTTGAACATGGGAACTGAAGTTAATAATAATATTAATGGTTTGATGATCAACTAACAATTCAACTGACAATCAACGCCATCTATTTAATCTTGATTTACTTTCCATCTCTCTCTCTCTCTCTCTCTCTGAATTTCCACCCTGCTGGTTGGTGGGATGATTAGGTTGAGATTAACTAATCACTTGCAATCATTTGATCATTTAAAATCAATCAGAACCAATTTATAGATAGACAGTTAACCTTTTCTCAAGGTTAAAGTTCAAACCGGAATCTGAGCCCTTCGATAACAATTTTTGATTTTGGGTCACATTTCCTGTTCCTGTTTTGCTTTTTTTTGTTGTTGTTATTATGTGAATATAAAATTATCTTACAATTAGATTACAATCAATCAATTTGTCGTTCGTTCATTGATTGATTTTTGATCATCTCTTTTTGTTACTCATGATAATTAATCAGTTAAATCAGTGGGAATTTAGTTTTCCCCTTTATTTGGATTAACCAATAGGTTTTGTTGCTCTTTAATTTTTTATTAACAACGGAACTTTTGACAATTTAAACAAAACTTATTGACAATCAATTAATTGTATTCAACCAGAATTGATGGTCAATTGTGACAATTTATTACTTTTTGTCGTTAAGATTAACATCTTGAGGTCCAAATCTCATTTCAATTTCAATTTTTTACCCTTGAAGTATAATTGAAATTGAAACTTCATGAATAACTGAATTTTTATCATGTTTAAATCTCTCATGAAGATATGTGAGTATCTCTGTGAATTTAATGTTCATTAAAATCTCAGGTGAAAAAATTGACTTTTAAATGAAGAGGGTGAAAAAAGTTCTACAAAATTTGAGCCTCAGGCAATTTAATCCATTTACCTTTTCGTTTGGGTGAACAATTTATTCCAACAACTTGAATCAATCAGATAGACAATCAGGTCACAGAGAGAAAATTAAATGCTAATCAATGATTAAGGTGGTAGATTAATTTTTCCACAGGAAATTAAATTAACTCAATTGAAATAAAAAACGTAATTTAAATTAACCAACAAAATGATCAACCTTTGAATAAACGAGAATGAAAAATCAATTGAAAATTTTCAAATCAAATTTCAATTCTAAACCGATAATTGAATCATCATGGAAAGTTCAATATTCAGTTGGATGAAATGTTTTGTGATAAAATCGTCAAGAACTTTTTTTATGACAACAGTTGAAAACTTCCGGCTGGACAAATGGACATTTCATATTCAATTCGAGGACATTATCTTGATTGAGAACGAAAAAGCAACAACCAATGGAAGAAATAAAAAGAACAGTTCAATAACTTATCATGAAGGAACATGATGATGATGATGATGATGATGAGAGAAATTGACCATTTTCACTCATCGTCCTTATCATCATTTACCTGTCAAGTTTTTGATTTTATTCGAATTTCGAACAAAAAAAATTCTAACTTTTTTCTCTACTCTAAAATAATATCGATCAATGGGAATGCTGAACAAAAGTTCACAATGAATTCAGACTTTCAAATCGTCAATTGTAATCGTCATCATTTCCATCACCATGTAATCAAAAGTCATCATGATGATAAAATCCAGAATTTTCTCAGACATTAAAAATAGAAAAATAATTTACAATCAATTAAAACGAATCGAATCAAGTAAAGAGAGAGAGAGAGAGAGAGAGAGAGAGTTAATTGTTGCAAAAAAAGGAAAAAATATATGAAAAAAACTTCTCTTTCCATATTAATCATTTCGAGTTAAAATCTATTGATTAAATCATCGATTGTAATAATTATTTGGATAATCAAAGGAAATAGAACAAGAAGAAAAAAAAGTTCTATCAGGTTTTCTTTCCCTTTTGACATTTTTTTATCGATTTTACGATTCGTACTTTTGATTGTTATCATTATCATTATCATTCACATCACAATCAATTGTTTTTAATATTTAATGGAGGAAAAACCTAAATTGTTACTCACTCGCTGTTGATTGTTGTTGATTTTTTTCCTCTTCTTTGTTGATGTTTGTGGTTACCTTTGTGATTTTGTTGTTATTTTGTTTCCTCTGTCTCTTTCTAATGGTTATTATGTAAATTTCCACATCGTAACGTTACCTTTAATTGTTATCACAACAATTAACCAATATAAATTGCTATTTCTCCTCTAATTATAACTATTTTCTTGGTCAATTCATTTTTACCGCCAATCGATAAATTTTGTTTTCTGATAAACAAAGTGACTCATCAATCATATGGGAAGAAAATGTTTCTCTTTATTTATCTCATCGATTGATTAACAATTTAATTTCTCTTAATTGTTTATTTAAATCATATTCTTTTTTTCCCACTCATTTGATTATCATCATCATCTTCTTTTAATTGTGATTGATCTTCGTTCATCTTTAAAAAACGAACGTTTCATTTTCTCTTTTGGAACCGAACAAATTATTCTATTTTTTTTTCTTTTTCTTTCTATTTTTACATAATTATTGTCATTTTCTCATCTTTTTACTAATAATTATCGTCATCATCCTCATCTTTGAATATTTAACATTCTCTCTGATTGATGAACTTCATGTCTCTCTGAATTGAATCATTTCTTTGGTTCCATCCTTTCAGAAGATAAATTTACTTTCCCTTTGGTGTAACTATTAATTTCTCATCAACCATTACAAGGTGATTATTATTTGATGACAAGTAGATTAATGGTTAGTTAATTAGATATTTAATCATCAATGGTCATCATTTTCATCATCCAATGTCCATCCTTTCAGTGTCAATAGTTGGTCAACCTTTGGATCCTCTGCAAATTTATTGTTTACTTTTGTTTCATTGTTCTGGTCAATCTTGTTTCTAATTAGCAAATGATTATTGATTTGAATTAACAGATTATATTAATTTGTCGGTCCATTGATTAACAACAATCAACAATCAACAATCAACATATTGATTAAATTAACTAATCATTTTCCTCTTCCTTTACTATCCCAATTCAACTGGTAACCAATTTAATCCTTTTCCTTTTGGTTTACTCAATTTAGATCATTAATCTTGTTGCTAATCATTGATAATCTTGATTAGAAAAGGATTAAATTGCTTACAAAATTTAATCCTCATAAATCATTACATGTATTGTAATCACTGAGAGTTGAAATGTTTCATACACCAACAATTAACCATCTATAATTAGCTGTTTAATTAATTGTCCAACATTAAGCTTGAGTTAACATTTAGTTTTACATTTTAATTAATTTTCCCTCTATAAATTAATCATCAAATCACTAATCTAATTGTAATTGTTTTAATCTTTTTCAACAGAGATAATCTTTGATTCGTTTTTTTTTTTGTTTGGTCTTGATTTGATTCCACGTAATTGTTATTATATTTTTGTCTCTGGAAAAGAAAACAATTTAAAATCAATCAATGGAAGAGTCAACAATTAACTCATCAATACTTGGAACCAAAGAGTATTGGGAAAATTTGTATCAACAAGAGATTAACAATTATCTTGATCATTCTGATCCTGGTGAAATTTGGTTCGGTAAAGGATTAACAATGAAAATGGTTAAATGGATTAAAAGTAAATCATCACAATTATTACCCGATGATGGTGATCAAATTAAGATATTAGATCTTGGCTGTGGTAATGGACACTTATTGTATTCACTTTACCAACAGGGTTACACTGATTTAACTGGATTAGATTATGCTGATAAGTCAATCAAATTGGTTAATCAAATGGCATCAGATCTTGGAATTGTCAACAATTTAAAGACTTATGTAGCCGATGTGCTTACCTTGTATAAAAGTAATTTAATTCCTGAGAGAATTAAATTTAATCTCATCATTGACAAAGGTACTTTCGATGCTATTTGTCTTAATCCGGATTTAGATTTAAATCAAGTAAAAAGTGATTACCTTGCGACATTAGAGGCTATTCTGTTTAAGGGAAGATCGTTTTTTATGATTGCCTCATGTAATTGGACTAAAGATGAGCTGATTAACATGTTCACTAAATCATCTCAATCATTTTTATCACTTTATGATGAAATTGAGACACCACAATTTAGTTTTGGAGGTTCAAAGGGTAATAACGTTACTTGTTTGATCTTCCAACGATTAAGTTGATCTGTTTATCTGAGAAAATCAAATTTCAATTAAATTGTAATAGTAAAAGTTGAGAGATTAACATTTTTTTTGTCCAATAATCAATCGATTACCATGTTAATTGTCTGGATACATTTAAGATTCAATTTTATTTTACATCATTATTTGTTAAGAGAAACAATTAATCTTCCAGTGAGTTGAAGTTTTTTGTTTTCTTTTCATTTACATCCTGATGATTATCGTTTTTTTGTTAACGACATCTAATTAAATTATAGTGATTAACCATCTTTTTGGTTGATTGATTGTTTTAACCAGAAATTTGGGCTGATTGTTTATCGTTCAGCTTCTTATATTCCGCCATTCTGGCCTCGATATGGGGTCGGAAGTGTCTAATAAGTCCCTGTGATTATTATAATAAAAAAAATGAGATAGAAAATTTTTGAGTTAATTGTTGTTGGTTTTTAATTTGATTCTCATGTGGATTTTGGCTTCTTACCTGGACAGGCCAAGCTGCTCCATCGCCTAGGGCACAGATTGTGTGTCCTTCAATTTGTTTGCTTAATTCGTAAATCATATCGATCTCTTGAGGTTTAGCATTTCCTTCAACAAATCGCCACATAATCTTATTCATCCAGCCGACACCCTCTCGACATGGTGTACACTGTAATCGTTGAGAATAGAGGTGATTAGAATTACAAAGAATAGAGAATCGGATGGAAAAAAAAGATAATATTAATTACCTGGCCACAACTTTCGTGTTTATAAAACTCTATTAATCTAGCAATTGCTCGGATTATATCAGTTTGCTTGTTCATTACAATGATTGCTGCGGTTCCAAGACCAGTTTGAGCGGCTACAAGTGAATCAAAGTCCATCAACACTTCCTCACACACTTTTTTGGGTATAATTGGAGTAGATGAACCACCCGGAATGATACCTAGTAAATTATCCCAACCACCAATAACACCACCAGCATGACGTTCAATCAATTCCTTTAATGGTATTGACATTTCCTCTTCAACGGTACACGGGGTATTTACATGACCTGAAATGTTGAACAATTTAGTTCCAGTGTTTCGTGGACGTCCCAATGAAGCAAACCAGTCACCACCTCGACGACAAATTGTTGGTGCAACTGCAACTGTTTCAACATTGGAAACGGTTGTTGGACATCCAAAGACTCCAACATCAGCTGGAAACGGAGGCTTTAGCCGAGGTTTTCCTTGTTTACCTTCAATTGATTCGATGAGTGCAGTTTCCTCACCGCAAATGTAAGCACCAGCTCCTCGGTGAAGGTAAACATCAAAATCATACCCAGAACCACAAGCATTTTTACCAATCAGACCAGCATCATATGCCTCCTTAATGGCGATATTCAAAGTAGATGCTTCATTATAAAACTCTCCTCGAATATAAATAAAAGCAGCACAAGCGCCCATCGCTTTACCAGCAACTAAACATCCTTCGACTAATTTGTGGGGATCATGTCGCATAATCTCACGATCTTTACATGTACCAGGTTCACCTTCATCAGCATTAACAACCAAATACTTTGGCCTACCATCGAAAGGTTTATTCATAAAACTCCACTTGATTCCAGAAGGGAAACCAGCACCACCACGACCTCTTAAACCCGATTTTTTAATCTCATCAATAATCCAATCATTTCCCTTAGCAATGATTTCCTTTGTTTTATACCAATCTCCCTGAAAAGACACAAATAACACAATAAATGATGGAATAAAAAATTTTACAAATTAAATTGTATCAAGAAACTTCAAGGCCCAAGAGAAGACAAAAAAAATGATGAAATGCATACTCACTCTTTTGAGAGCACCTTTAAGACCCCAATCATGTTTACCATATAGATTGGTGAATATTCTGTCCTCGTCACTTAAAGGACCAAATTTAGTCTACGCAAGAACAATAATTAATTACAATTAACAATTAAAAACCAATAAAATGACATTAAAATCATACCTTTTGTGGTGCTTGTGGCGTAGCAGTTGAAGACAAACGTACAGCTAATCCATTAGGATTGATTCCTGACAAAGTCAATAATAAACACAATTAATTTAAGAGAAATCAACAAATTATTGTGAGAAACTAATTTTTACAATAATTTTGGAACAATCAATTGTTACCTTTTAATCCTTTTAAACCTGTTAATGAACGGAAAGCCATTGATAATCACTAATCAATTGACCAAAACAATTAAAACAAAACGTAAACAAATGAGAATCAAAATGAAAACCAGAAAATCATCACAAGGTGAACGTAGAATGTAAATTAGGAGACGGTCCCTAATTCGAAAATTTTTTCTTCTTTTTATGTGATGAACATGTGATCGAGATTTTTAAATGTTTTCAATTACAAGTTGAATTAATTTAACTAATTGTTGATTTGATTAGAATAGTTTTCTAATTGTGATGGTATATTTAAGCTGTTTAAGGTTAACTAGAAGGTCTTTTGACAAAGCGTCACTTGATTTGTCTCGAAAGCTTCAAAAGGTAAGTTTTTTTTTGTTTTGCTTTGATTGTTTTTTTTTTGTTTAATTAAATTCGTTTCTTTATTTTTGATTTGATCTTTTTGTAGAACAATTTTAAATTTTTAGATTCTTTGCATTTAAAAGTAACTGCTGGTAAAGGTGGAAATGGTTTAGAGTTTTACAATGGTATTGGAGGAGATGGAGGTGATATATTACTTCAAGGGGATAAAAATCGGAAAACGCTCAATGAAATTTTAGCTTATACTACAAGTCGACTCATTTCTGGGGCAAATGGTAAAGATAGTCGAATTGATTGTTTATTACCCATGAAGGCTAAGCCCAAATTGATAAGAGTACCATTAGGTGTTACTATTTACAGTACGTCTAAAGAGTTAATCGCTCATGTGGATAAACACCAAGAGAAAGTTCTTGTTGCCAAGGGAGGTGCCGGTGGTTCAGATGATAATAAATATGTTGGTCAATTAGGTGAATATAAGGAACTAATCGTCGATCTTAAATTGATTGCCGATGTTGGTAAGTATAATTGTAGAGATTTTTCTCTCATTTTTCTCATATTAACCAGTTTTTACTAAATTTTCTCTTTCCAATTGCTCGTAGGTTTCGTTGGTTTTCCAAATGCTGGTAAATCTACTCTATTAACGGCAATTTCGAAAGCGACTCCTAAAATCGCAAGTTATGCCTTCACAACTTTAACACCCAATATTGGAACCATTGAGTATAGTGATCTATTTAAAATCACTTGTGCAGATTTACCTGGTCTAATTGAAGGAGCTCACGACAATGTCGGCTTGGGCCATGAGTTTCTTAAACACGTTGAAAGGACTAAATTGTTACTATTTGTTATCGATGCTGATGGTTTTCAATATGGACCAGATTATCCTCATCGATCTGCTTTGGATACCTTATTATTATTAAACAAGGAGCTCGAATTATATGATCCGTTAATCTTAGATAAACCATCTCTTCTTGTTATAACCAAGATTGAAAAACCAGGAAACAAATTGAAATACAAACAATTCCTTGAAGATCTGAGGAAAACTGTCTCAACCAATTTTAGTTCAATTCCCCCTGAAATGAGACCGTTACAATTTACTTTGCTACAAGACATTTTACCGATATCATCTCATTCTGGTCATAATATATTATTTTTAAAGAATCGACTGAAAAAACTTAAAAGAAGACACTATGAAGATTATAATCCATATGATGACGATGCCGATTCAAGTATATTATCAATAATCGAAAAAAAGTTGAACCAAATAATCGAGATCAATACAATGTAAAGTTGGTTAATCAATTCATCAGAAAAAAAAGATCAAATCTCCAACGAAAACAAAGATCAACAATTTGGACTAATCATTTCAAATGTCATCAACTTGAAAAGAAATAGTTAATCACTTAGATTGTTTATATTCATGTAAATATCAAAATAATGTACAAAGTCAAAATTTCTTTGTAGCAATTAACATATTATTGTTACTAATAGTTCTGAATTAGTAACAATCAACAAACTGCACTTATAATCACCATAAAGTTATTATGGGACAGAAAAAAAAGAGGAAGGAACAATTTGATAAACCATCAAGATCACTATCAAGTTGATTGAGAGATTACGATAAAACCTGAGTTACAGGGGGAAAATCATGATGAGAGTATGAAAAACAAAGTGAAGAAAGAGAAAAAGAAAGAGAAGATGAAGATGATGAGAAAACAGGATGATAAGAGGGAGACATTAACTGAATGTTGTAAATTGTTGTTTACTAAAAGCTCAACATAACAACCGATTTCTCAGTTATTTTTTTTGTCTTCCTGTTCACATTAATTTCCATTGAACATATTCAATCAATAATCTCCCACTCATTGAACAATACGACAACTAAATCAATCCAAAAATGACCTCAATGAATTCTGGTATCGATACAAATTGTATGACACTAACCCGATTTGTGATTGAAGAGCAACGGAAAGTGGCCAATGCCACCGGAGAGATGACAACACTTCTCAACGCTTTGGCCACAGCAATTAAAGCGATGTCCTCAGCAGTTCGTAAAGCTGGTATAGCTAAATTGTAAGTAATTAATTTCCAATTCTAGAAAAAAAAACTTCCAAAAGAAAAACATTGAAACAATTAAGAGAAAAAAAAAATTTTCTTTTCTCTTTTTCAATCAATAATTGTTCCCCTTTTTTTTGGTTGTTTATGTTTACCTTTTTTCCTTCAAGTTACTTGATGAGTTACCATTTGATTTGTTTACTTGTGACAATCTGTTTATATCTTGATTAGTGGTTGATTAGGTCAATTGATCAGTTAATTGGATTAAATTTCTCTTTACGTTTAATGTCAATTGTCTCTGTGAATTTATCTTATTTACCTTGTTCTCTTTTATTCCAGAAAAGCAACAAGTCTTTTTTTCCCTTTTTCTCAATTTATTTGGTTAGTACATTTACGTAGCTTTTGTTTTGTTTTTCCTTCTTCAACAATTAATTCTTATTATGATTATCTCTGTTTTATATCTTCTTAATTGTGACAATTGACTTGTAATAATTATCTGTCTCTTTTTCTCCTAAATTAATTCGATTTCTTCTCTTCTCTTCCAAAGATATGGTATCGCTGGATCGACCAATGTTCAAGGAGAGGAGGTTAAAAAGCTTGATGTTTTGGCGAACGATTTGTTCATCAATGTAATGAAATCATCTTATTCAACTTGTCTCCTGGTTTCAGAGGAAAATGATCATGTTATTGAGGTAGAACCTGAGAAAAGAGGTAAATACATCGTTACCTTTGACCCTCTTGATGGTTCTTCCAATATTGATTGTTTGGTTTCCATTGGCTCCATTTTTGCCATTTACCGCAAGGTAATTTTATCTTTATATATCTCACTGATTTACTTCTTGATTCTTTTCATTTCTATCATGTCTAAATATCTCTACTAATTAAGGTTCTATAAGAAGATGTTGTCACAATCTCTATCAATTATTACCAATAGTCTTAATTGTCTCTATATCTTTGTAATTTTTACTTATCCAAAGCCTTAGCAACTCACAATTTGTTTTCATACAATTAACTTATTTTTACTTAGAAATGGATTTTTGATCTTAATTATCTCAATTTAGATTTATAATAACTGATGATAACTATGATTGTACCTGATTTTCTTGATTATTATCTCCATGTACTTTGATCAACCGATTAGGAGACGCTTGAAAGATAATCAACTTAATCATTTTTCAAGGTAAACTATGGAAAATACCTGTTGTATGATTTAACTATCACTTCGATATTTCCACCAATGGGGTTGATCAAAATTCAACAATCCAGTTGATTAATTAACTTTTATTACCAATGTTCTCACTCATAAGTTTTATTACTAGAAAATTTCTCATTGATCAACCTTCGATCTCATTCATTTATGAATCAGTTGTATGGTTACATGATCGATTTGTTGACGATTAATAGTTTGATTGCTATTAAGTTTCTGATTAGAATTATGTTTTTATTATTAATACATGAAAATTTGTTCGAAATTAGGTTCACCATGACAGTTTCAGAAACTTTTTCTCTTTTTCCGAATAACTTTCAGGTGAATCCTGGTGAACCAAGTGAAGCCGATGCTCTGGTCAGTGGACGAAATATTTTAGCCGCTGGTTATGCGACTTACGGAAGCGCGACTATGCTTGTGTTGTCCCTTGGTCAAGGTGTCCATGGATTCATGCTCGATCCTGTAAGAATTTGATTGATACAAAAAGAAAAAGAAAATAACTTCAACGATGGCTCATCTAATTCGCCATGATTATCGTTAACTTTTTCAGGCCATCGGGGAATTTGTTCTCACTGATCCAAACATTTCGGTTCCTCGTCGTGGTAAAATTTACAGTATCAACGAAGGTTATGAAAGTCAATGGGATCCAGTGGTCAAGAATTACGTCCATGGAAAAAAATATCCAAAGGTTCATATGCTCAATGCTCAATTTTCATGCAATTTGTTTTTCGTGACTTTCTAATTATTGGTCATCTTATTATATTAGTCTGGTAAACCTTATGGTGCTCGTTATGTTGGTTCAATGGTGTCCGATGTCCACCGAACCTTCAAGTATGGAGGAATCTTCATGTATCCAGCAACCAAAGACTCACCTAACGGAAAGGTGAGCTCATTTGCATAATTGATTACGAAAAACTAAATCACCATCAGAATTCACAGATATCGTAACCTTTAAATAGCTCGTTAACTTTCATTCTATTTATATTATAAACGGCTCATTGGTTTTTTCTCATTCCATCAATAACTCATACAAACTAATGATATTCAATTAGTAGATTGTATTAATTTCCTACGAATCGTCTAATTGTTATTATATTTCTAACTAATGATGATATAATATCGTCTATGATGATAACGATCTCATCATGGTGAATAATCGTAGAGCGGAAAAAAAGTAATAGAAGTTATTAATTTATATGAAGTAAAAGAAAAGATGAATTCTCGACAAGGACACATGGAAGAAAGCGAAAGAGAAATAGATTATTATATTCTATCAATTCTGTGGTATAGATTGATAGAGTTGATTCCTATTCTCTTGGTGATTCTGATAATGATGTTCACTTGTTGGAATGGAAATAAAAATAACATCAACAGTAAAAACAGTAAAACAAGACAATAAGATGAATAATAAACTTTACTTGGAATAATAATATTGGTTAATTATTAATGGAAATGATTCATCAATAGTTACCTGTTGAAGATTAAAAATAACAAATGGGTTAATCTAGTGATTAGATTAGATTTCCACTTGCTATTGATTAGATTTTGGTCTCTCAATGATATCGTTATTATCATCGACATGATGATGATCATCTTGAACTAATCATGAGTACGAAAATCTAATTTATTTCCTTCTCTCTTTCTCTCTATTTCAACAGTTACGATTATTATACGAATGTAATCCTATGGCATTTTTAATGGAGCAAGCGGGAGGAATGGCGATCACGGGAAAACAATGTATCCTCGATATTGTGCCGAAAACTATTCACGATCGAAGTCCGATTTTCCTTGGTTCCGTTGAAGATGTGACCGAAATCCAAGAAATGTACAAATCATTTCAATAGTTAATCGAACCTCAGAAAAGATAATCTCAATCAAGTTGATCATCTATCGATAGTAATTAAGTTGTTCGGATCACCATTTTCCACTTTTCTTTTTACATCATTTGCTAATTAACTAACTGTTTTCATCAACAATTCTAAATTTAATCATTTCAAATTGTTAATCAATTAACAATCAATTACCTGTAACACTTGTAATCTGAGGCAATTTAGTTTATTTTACTTATTAATATTTTCTTGGTTGAGTTCATGGACTTTTTTAAATTGTAATTGATTAACTATTGTTTTCACCGTAAAAATCAACAATCAACTTTCAATTATCGTTACTATCAATTTCACCCCAACAATTTAAATCTTTATTTACCCGTAAACTATTATAATGATTGTCAAGTTTGACTGTTTGCCCGGAGGGTAAATTTTAAAATCAATCATCAATAACCAATATAGACATATTGAATTTCATTAACAAATTGTCCTCAATGAATTGTGGAAACTATGGCAATAATCAGCTAATTGTTAATCAAATTAATTACTAATCTAATAATAATGTTGAAGACAAAAAAGTTAATCAGACTTTAATCATATGTAACTACCAATAGTTTTTTGTATTATCCCTTTTTTTTATTCAATCTACTCTCTCATTGACTAATAATCATCCTTTTCTGGTAGTAAAATGATTAATTGTTAATTGTTAATTATCATCAGTGAACAGAAATTAAATTAAAACAAATGATGCACAAGAAACAAAAGTTCATTAATTGTATGATATTTATAACATGATGTGAATTAAAACATTGAAGGTGTGGTAATGTAAAAAACAGGTAAATTCAATGGGGTTGATTAGTTAATCAATTTGATAATTATCCTCATCATTATCATCACAATGGTTTAATATATGATGAAAATGAAGATGATGATAATTTGACAAGTTTAATGATGACCAGTTAACAACAACAATAATAATGGGATAATTAGTGATGATGATGATGATGGTTGATGAATATGATTCATAATGATTTCTATTTGTCTTTTCCTTTGTGCTTTAATCATAAATTTGGTGAAAGTTGAACTGGACATTATCCCCAACGAAGTGAGTGTCCCATTGTCCGTCCATGTCCTCGACTCACCGCACTGACCAATTCTGAACTGTAAGCATCGTCCAAGTGCTGCTTGTATGTGGCCGGTTTCCAATGGGCAAATAAACTTAATGCTTTTTTCACTCTCGAATCAGATCTTTTTTTATCTTCCATTTTATCAGATCTATTTCCGTTTCCTATTCCACCTTCACCTCTTCCTCCCCCTCCTCCTCTAATGGTCATCTTTGGGTCAAATAAAATCCTCCTCCCTCTTGTACCTCCGACATTACCATTTATTGATGTTGACAAAATTTCAGATTCAATCCATGGTTGAATTAATATTGGTTGATTGTCATTAACATTTGATATAGTTACTGGTGATGATTTAATCTGATGATTTGAATTGCTCTCAAGATCATTTAATTTGATTAAATTGTTATTAGTAAAACTATTTAATTCATTATCATCTGTTGAATCAATTTCACTATCCAATGGTAAATTTAAATCATTAATTGAATCAAATAATCGTTGGGTATCAATGTAATCAGATGGAGTTGATGATAATGATGATGAAGATGAAGATGAGGATAAATATGATGATGATGATGATGATGATGGATTAATCCAAATTGGTCTTAGTGAATAGCACATAGTGACCGGTAATAAGTTAATTGTGATCAATAACAAAATCGCAAACTGGTTAAGTCCATGAGTTGTTGATGATGACAATTGAATAATCATGATGGTCAATATCTGAATGGAGAAAATTAATTAATCTCAAGTTAATTGTTGAATTAATTCAGTGAATCTCTATGATTGTTGTTTCATTTGTTTTTACGACTATTGAATCAGTTATCAAACAATTAAATTCTAATCACCAAGTTAACAATTAGCAATTTAGTTGCTTCATTCATATGAATTTAAATGTCATCTTATTATAGTGAATTTATCATGATCATCATGATGATCAGATTATTATCATCAATCTACATCCTGTGATCCTAATCAATTAAACTTGATTTGATTACTTTTTTCAATTGTTATCCAATTGTAGTGATATATTATAAATTCACTATTGATTTAAGTCACTAATCATTTAACCAATTGATTTAGAATCAACAATCAATGGATTTAAATTAAATTTTTGTTTTCTATTGTCTTCCTGATTTCCATAGTTGATTAAGATTAAATTGTCACCTCATTTTCAAGACAATTTGTCAATTGTAAATACCACAAGTAACCTGGTTTTATTTCACCGTTAAATTGCTACTGTTAAACATCATTGATTGTCACCCAATGGTAATCATAATTAAGTTAATCACTTGATAATAGCCATTGATTGTTAAGAATCAACATTGGAACTTTAGTTGATTTAACAAAATAATTTAGCTCTCTGGTTATAATCAATGTTGAACATCCTTGTAATCAATTTAATATACCAACTAATCAATTAATATTGAAATGATTAAATGATATAAAGTTGATCAATTGCAGATCTATGAAAATTAAGTAATTTTTGGTTTCAATTTGTCTAACAATTAACCAAGAAATCAACTCATTCAAACCAATGACTGTATTGATAATCAATACTGAATTGATATTCAATGGTAAATACAAGTTGATCATAACTTTAAGTGTAACAATTTAATTTGGTAAACAAAATTTTAATGGATTTAATTCAATTCCAAATCAAAAGTTAAACATGAGGATTAAATTCATGATATTTTCATATCTTTTATGAGAAATGATTCAAAACTTGTTTACACTGAATTTCAATGGAACTGAATTATAGCTGAAAAATAAATTCTTTTCCTAATATTTCATGATAAAATTTTTCATTCTATTTTCAGATTCTTTGTATCTCTTTACAGGTTATACCTTCCAGAACTTTGAAGTTGAATCTATTATATTGGGATAATTGTTTCATGAACTTTTCCTTTACACTTCGAGATAAAACTCAGTTCAGTTTGAGAATATTTCAAATTTTTTTTTCCACCATGAAAACTGATATTCATCTTCTCGTGGGAATCTGAATGAATTTAAATTGACCATTTACCATGGAGAAAACAATGATTGTAATATATCACAATTTACCATCAGATAAGATGACGATTATCATGATAATATTACCAAATGAAATTTCAAGTCTTCTGAACGATCAGGGGGAAACCCATGTAAAGCTATTGTGTCTGAATTGTTTACATTTGAAAACTTTTCTTCAATCATGATTAACTTTCTGACCCAGAATATGAAACAGAATCCAATAATCTAAGGTTTCAAATGAGTATTTATGATTCAGTTAATTTAAATCTTTAATCATTGAAGGTGAATATTGATTCATTCAATTCAATCATGATTTCTCATGTTATATTATTGTTTTTCATCATTCTGAAAGGTGAAAGTATTTTGAGTTCACTTCCCAATCAACAAATTATATTGATTTCTAGGATATTATCAAATCTGATGATTGGGATGCTGGTTAATTTAAGGATATGATTGATTAACTATGAGGGCTCAACGTTTGATTGTAATAAGTTAAAGGGCTGAACTGATTAATTGATGGACCAGGAAGTTAGAAACAATCAAAAAAATCTCATTGATTCAACAGGTAGTTAGATGATTCAATTAGACTGATGATCAGCATTTCAATCCGATTACAATCAATTTCAACTACTTCGAACTCGATAATCAGATTAAATGATTAATCTTTATTATCATAAAATCTAATGATACAAAACTTGAGAATCTGATTTGAATTGAAAGAGATTCGGGAAAAAAATCATCGAACTGAATTTTTACTGGAAAAAAAAAGTTCTAACTTCGATTGTTGAACTTTACTAAACACGGAAAACTTTGGACAAACTCGAAGTTAATTAACTTGCAATTAGAATGAAAATTTAATTGCTCATCAACCTTAGCCTTTTGACCTTAATTTTAATTCTGTTTTCATTAGTAAATCAGCCAAAGGAAACGATTATTAATAATTAATCTGGTTTATTTTGATTCTAAACTTTGTCAACAATTTAACTAAAAATAAAACTGCAACTTGATGATCAACTAATTGTTATTAAGTTTGATACAAATCTAAATGATAATTAAATCAACTAACCATTTCAATAATTGGTGAAAAATTTAAATAATTATATTGTTTTATTAATTTTCACCTCATCCAGCTAATTATCATCATCATTTTAATAGTTAATCATAAATAGATTTTACTAATCACATGAAGTAAATTAACTAATCAACAGTTGAAGGTTTTTACTTTTAATTACTATAATTAAACTGATGATTAATTGATTTACTTGTTTCAATGTAATATTATTTAACTAGATGGTGACATCTACATATACACACACACACCCATGGATTGAATTTAATTTGATTAAAATTAACAAATCAACATGTTTTTAATTACACTCAGAGAAACTGATTAACTAATAACATAATCTTACCAAAACTTTTAAGGTTAATGAGCTAAAATTTGTAATAATTAATTAGTTAATCAACAGAATGATTAACTAATCTATTGACGTTCTTAACTTACTTAATACATCTAGTTTATTGTTGGGCCTTTACAATTAGCGAAAGCTAATTAAAGTTACAGCTGAATTAAAATGTATTGTCGAGTTTCATTTTACCAAAAAAAAAATGACATTCGAACCTCACTTTGAACTGTTCTAGAACTTTAGTTTTTTTCGATCACATTTCCAATGTAAATATTACGGTTTTTGACCTGAAAAGTTTAATTGTAATCAATTAAATGATTGACATTCTGTAGTAAAATTTGTATGATGATCATTTTTGTTTCTCATCTAAATTGTGAATGAATGAAAATAAAAAAAGTATTGATTGATTTTTGATTGAATTCTCAGATTTAATTGTCAAAATGATTGGCACAATTAACTTAATCATGGTTAACTCATATTATTGATTTGTTGGGACTTTTGATTATTTATCTTTGATTGTATTATTCATTTATATTACCAGCGTTTTGGAAAAAGTTTGATTTGATTTTGATTGTTAAACTTGATTCTTAATTGTGAGTTAATGAACCTTTTGATCATTTGCTTAATTAGATTAATTTATTCTGGTTAATTAATTCAATTAGAATCATGTCTTGTATTTATCTCTAGTTATTCATTGATGATCTATTTTTATCACTAATACTTTTCTTATGGATAACAATTTGTTGATTGTTGTTGATTATCATTAACATGATTTGAATAAAAGATTAACTTTGATCACTTATTATTATCGATGATTACATTGATTGTGTGGTTTCCTGATTGACTTTTAATCAATTGTTGATTGTTAACAATAATAAAATCGTGTACACGATAATGAATAATAATTAGAATGACAATTTACATTTGATTGTGGGATATTAATGAATCACTGAAGATTCTGGTAGATTTTTAATTGTCAATAGTGATTCCGAGTGTTGGTTAGATTTAATTTAAATTGATCTCAAGTTCAAATATCTCATTAAGATTCTGATCTTTAAACTATCATGAAGTTCAGTTTGAGATTATTCATCTTAATGATCATGATGATTACCTTCATTATCCTGATATGAACCATGGAGGGAAAAGTTCATCAGAACTTATGGAAATTCAAATTTCCCTAATTAACTTTCTCACCTTTTACCAATACAATCAAAATAAATTCATAGGTGATTATAATTGAGTAATCGCCATGTAATTTGAATTAATTATTCAAGAATCAACCACTAATTAAAACAGTAACAGTTTGTCAACATTTACCCATTCACAAGGCAAAAAATGATCTAAATTAATAAACTGACTTTATGTGACATTTGGTTTGATTTGTTGACAATTAAAGTTGACAATCAACATATTAGATGATGATGATGATGTGATAATTTGATAATTAACTTGCGACAATCAGTTAATTACAATGAAAAATAAAGTATCAACTATTATTTAATCATTTGCTTCTAGCAATTAGTTGTTATGATCAGAAAATAAGGTAAATTGATTATTTTGATTGATGTTCATTTCTAATTGTGACAATTTAAGTTGTAACTTGATTATCATTTGTTGATTGTTTCATCATTGATCACTTCCTGGTTACCTGATTATTTACCCGGAGGCAACCTAATTGTAACTTGATATTGTTTATGATTAAAGTTAATCCATTGGTCCAAACCCTTTGTTAAAAATATAATGATATTATCCCTTCACGATTATTTAATAATGACAATTAACTAATTTAATTTGATAAGAAAACAAAAATTCAATGACATGGATAAAGTAATTAACTGTAAGAGATTAATTAACATCTACAAACGAGTGTAATTGTATTAATAATAAATTCGAGAAGAGAATAAGAAAAAAAAAGTTCTAATTGATTATTTTCACCACAACATCGATATTTTATCCAATCAATTGATTTTGTTAATAGTTAATTAATGATTAACAAGAATTTCTATTAGTTAATGATAAATTTGATTATTTGACGTGAAAATTAGTCAACAATTTAGCGAGTGGGTTAAAGGAAACGGAACTGTTGATCACCTAGTAGATGATTAAATTGTGAACATGAATGATTAACTTTCAACTAACAATTAACACAGTTTTCAATTTGATTATCAAATGATTTAACTTGATAACTTAATCCATTTGTTTGTTTATCTTTTTTTGCCTAAAGATTAACTCGTTTCATTATTAGTTTTCACGTAGTTTTGATTAACAACTGATTAAGTTGATTGTTGATACACACAATTAGATTTATAGTTAATGTTATTATTAGATTAATTGTTAAATTGTGTGAGTGTATGGATGATAAAAATAACTTGTAATCACAATTATCCTCTTATAATTTAATAACTTGTAGGTCAAAACCTGATCAAGATACTTTGATGGTCAATGTCACAAATTGTTTACTATTGATTTGATTAAAAATCACTAATTAAAGTTGATTGTTATTCAGTTTTAATTGTACATAAAGAAAACAAAACTATCATTATTAATATTAAATGAACCAAATTACTAAATTGGATTAACAATCGTCTTAATTAATCGTCTTTTATTTGATTATCATTACATTTAACTATACACTAGTTAGTTAGACTAATCAAGAAAATTTAATTGTTCATTAATTGCGGAAAATCAATTAGAAAATATTTAATTGTCTATTACAGGGCATCAACCTTAACATATTAAAAGGATCATAATTAACAATTATTGGCTATGATTGGGTTTACCCAGTGAAAAATTGAGCAATTTAAAAATTACTCAACAATTAAGAGACTGATTAAAGTTAACTGTAATCACTTATTATCTTATTAAGATCTTATTTTCAGATGAATTGGATTATCTTAAGAGTGGAGGTGGGTTAATGTCAGAGGATGAGGAAGTTAACTAACAATATATTTGGAAGTTGATTTGATTGCGATGATTAAGATTTAAATCACTTATGTATTATACTTGTGCTAGAATATTGAATCCATAGTAATCATTTGTCAGGAACTTTTGTCAACAACTAATAATAACTCTCGATGTTTTAATTTATTGTTTTGATTTGATTGCCATTTGATACAAGTACAAATTTCCATAAAAATATTAGTCCTTAATCATTAGTTAATCATGATTAAGTCTGTCTTTATGTATTAATATGTTGAATGATTTAAATGCTATACAATGTATTGTATTAAAAGGTCAACTTGTTGATCTAAATTCAAGATTGACCAGTAGTTTATTGGTCATTGTAAATCACTCAATTGAATTGGTAAGTCATCATTGAAATGATTAACTTAATCATGTACTAAATTGTCAAAAAATTAGTTAATTGTAAACTTGGTTGAGTTGGTTCTCTATCTAATTTTGGTCAACAAATATCGAGATTGAATTTAAATTGATGAGACAACAATCAATTGAAATAAGTAAATGAATTACAATTTATAATGTTTATTTCTTACCTTTTTTTCAATTGAATTATTAACTAATTGGGGTTGATGATTAACTGGAAAATTAAATTGAACAATAGTTTAGAAAGTCCAATGGATTATTATTAACACAGAATTAGTAAATTGTGCCCAATATTTTATTGGTAATTATTGAGGAACTGAATGAAAGTTGAGACGATGTTCAAGTTATCTTGAGATGAGAATTCTGATTCTCAGCTATTATTGCTCACGAATATAAAAATACTCAGTTCCATGGGAGTCAACGAAAAAAAGAAAGGTAAAAACAGACTCGAAAGAAAAAGTTCTAACTTTTGATATTGGATATAGTTCGAGACATGAGTACATTTGACTGTAGCGCTTTCCCCATGACGTATTCAGAATTCTGAAGAAAACTCTGATACTTATCATCTTAAGGATAGATTAGAATAGGAATAAATCAAGGGTCAAGATTGTGGTCAAGCCAAGAGAACGAAAAGAACGAAAGTCATTGAGAGAGAAATAGAATGTGACACAAATCGAATTGAATCATTTGTACTTAATTTATTATCTTTTCCTTTTACTCACCGAATCTTTTTTTCCATGATAATATTCACACGATGTGATATAATTTTCATTTCGATTCATGAACATGTTAAAAATTCTCAGGGAAAACTTTTTTCCCTGAGTTCCCTGATTTACTTGTAAGAATTTTCTGAGAATAACAAAATCTGACCTTTAATTATCTTTGATAAAATAACATATAACAAAAATACTAAGAATAATCTAAAGATCATGAAAGAATAATTTTTCTTACTTCTTTAATCATTTAATTGTTACTTTAATTGTCAGTTAATTAGTAAGTTGAATTAATTGAATCACCTTCAAAATTCAACATTTTTCATACTTAATCCTGTTGGTAATGTACCATTTGCAAAGTCCATGATAATCAAGAATAACGAAGCAACCAGAAACATCCACTAGAAATAATTAATGATTGTATAAAGTTAATTACCAAATTAATTAAATTAAATTTTCTAAAAAGTTTTGGTAGAAAAAACGTTCGACTGTTGCTCCATCTACCGTTCCCAAAGAACAGCAAACGAAAGGGTTAACTTTTTTGTTTCAACTTTTTCGATTGAATTTTTTTCTCATGTTAATCTTGACGATTAAGTTGTAGATTTATTCATGGTAAACTTACCGAGAAAAGTGTTTCATAAGTGACCTTTGTATAGATTCCTGAGTAACCAATTGTCTCAGAATCCATATAACGTCTGAAAGCGAGAATCTATCAGGTTAAGAATAAGAGAGAAAATAATAGTTCGTTGTTACTTTTCCTCTTGGTGTTCCTTTTGTTTTAATCATCTATTAGATGTTTACCTTCATCATAACAACTTTTGGTGCTTCAAATTCATTAATTTTGGACAAATTGTCGTAACCACGTTTAGCTGACTAATAACAACGAAGAGGAAAAAATGATGGACACAGTGGACGATTATTGGAGTTGGTCATCTAATCAAATGTACTCACCGCATAGGAAACATCATAACATGATTGACAAATTTTGTAGAGGACAAACAAAGAGTGAGATCCGATGATGATGAAGAGATATTTAAGAATCGGATGAGTTTCACCATAGATAAAGGAATAGGTGACAAAGAGGAAAAGTGTCGTATGAGAGGATATTATGTAGAAGGAGATTTTACCCCAAAAGTGATCTGAATCGGTGACAATATCGTTTATATCGAGATAATTGTTGAACAGTGAGGTCAATGAGGTGAATATATTTGGTTCTTTTCGCCGTTTAATACATTGTAATGCTGCTTCATCGATTATCTCCTCAATGGATCGAAATTTATTCCCAATAACCAAACAGATTAGATCAAAATAGAGAAGGGAAAACATAATTATCCCAAGAGCCAATTGATTGACACAACAATCAACCACCAGCCAAATGAATGCTACCATTGGATTACCTGGGAAATTGGTTGGATTGTTGTAGACAATTATGATCACAGGGTAAGCAGTGATTAACATGATCGCAGTGTTGACAATTAAAATGGTTAATGTCATTAGTCTGATTCTTGTTTTGTATTTTAATCGTTTATAACATTGGCAGGGAATCGGTTGGTCAGGTATTGGTGCAAATGGAAGGTAACATTTTAAATCGTTCTCATGGGAATTGTATCGAGTGATAATTAACAGAGAAGTGATTAGATAGACTAACGATGGAAATTGATAATAAATTGGAGATTCTAACCAATATCCAGTTACATCACCGAGAAATGAATTAATCAATTGATCAGAATTTAAGATTGTTATGAATCGTTTGACCGATATAACTGATAAAATGGTCAAGATGATTAACTTTCTCAACGATTGACCCATGAAAGGTGATTTATGAGATTCAGTTGATTCCATTATTAATCCAGTTAATGGAGCACCTTTGGCAGCAGCATCACGAACTTTGTCAATTAGTTGATTGTCAATTAATCCAAATAATTTCAACCAAAATTCATAAGGTATTCCTTCACATTGATGATTAACACTCTTTGTCCATCCAACACTTGACCTGCCCTCAAATTGGTTCATTTTCACAATCAACAAAAACCTCAACAATTAACCTAAACTGTCAATTAACTTTACAATTTAACTTGACAATTTATATATAAATTTACTGGCAACCCGATGATCAAGTGACAATTTACTAAATAACTGATTAAGTTATTTAATTGTCTTCATCTCCAAACTAGGCTATTAGTTGATCAATAATTAGACCCTTTTGTTGTTGATTAAAATAATCGTTTTGTCACCTTAATTGTTTACTTAACAATGAAAAATTTAGTTTCTCATTAATTATAAGAGTCTTGAAAATGTTAGTTAATCACGAATGAAAAGAAAAATACTGGAAATAATTAACTGACAATCGATTTAATTTTCATCTTAATCAATATCTTTTCATAATAATATTATGATCCAAAGGTAATTAAAAGTTAATTTTAATTTGGTTAAATATTTAAAATGAAATATTGGATTAAGACTTGAATCTATTTTAAATCAAGAACCTTTTGTTATTTGATTTAAATTTAAAACTCTAATTACAATTTTAGTAGGAATAATTAGTAACCCATTGAATAAATAAATACCATTAGAATGATTAATGAATTTTGATCAGTTAATTGTTCACAATTTAGATCCATTGGCATTGTAACGTTTATCAGCACCTTCCATGGCTTCGGTCACTTTGGACACCAAGGATAATAATTTATTCCCGATGAATGGGGACAAAGGTAGGCCACTTTTATCGACCATGGATCTTGCCGCTATTCCTGATCCATCACCTCTCCACCCGCCGGATGAATAGGCTGAAGAAAGTGAATGATAACCCGGATATCCGGCGTTATAAGGAGTCATTGGTAGTCCATAGCCTCCAAGTGGTGCTCCAGATCGTCCAAAAATCCAAAGGCTTAAGATGAACAATTTCAACAAGATGATTCCAATTCCAATGAAAATGGCGATCGGAAGAAGAGTGGACATCGCTGAGTTTGGAAGGAGGTACGAGGCTTCAGGCCATTGGCGAGTTAAAGATGTTGGACTCTCGTGGTGTAGATCGTCCAATTGTCGAGCCTTTGGGCTTGGAAGTGATCCATTTGTCGGGACATGGGCATCGGTCAGTTTAAAGAATCCCGTCAAAAAGAAGCACAAACAATAAGTAACATAAAGTGGAAACATTTTCGATTCCGTTTTTCTCTGATCACTTTTCGAAGCGATTTTCCAATTCAAACACTTAAGAAGGAACAAAAATTTGACTATCTTACTATTCAAGTGACAATCAACACAATCAATGAACTTGACACTGAAAATATCGCTCTTATATATTGTCGGTTTATTGATTGTTTTGCTTGAATTAATCTAGAACTGAGGCCACAACGGGGATCCCTATGGACTTCCTTTGCTTCCGTGATGCGAAAAGCAAATATATCGGTTAAGAAAATGATTCTATCTACATTTTGTCATCTTAATCATTACGCCCTTTTATTGTTCTAATCATGACAATTATGTCGATTCGGTGAGATGAACAATTATAATAATCTCTTCCTATAGAGATTATAATAAAATAATAATGATAAGAATTAATTTACCAAGAAAATTAGTGATCAATTTAAATTCTGTTGGTAAGATTAATGATATTCATCAGTTTGATGGTTCATTCATTTTTCCTCATATTGAGATGTTTAAGATTTGAATGTAAATTAACTAATTGTTTCCCAAGAAATAAGATTAACAAATCAACCATTGACCTGTGACCAAGGTGATAACCTAACGGGTGATTTAAAAACCAGATCAACAATTTAAATGGACAATTAAATGGCAATTCAATTGAATCTTGAATGAAAAGTTTAACTATCATTCAGAAATTTTATTGATTTGATTGATTGCTAATTGTTAGAAAATAAAATTTAATCAAACGAATAATTAACTGATCAATTTAGGTCGTTTTTGGAGTTGATTGTAATCAGTTAATTGAGTTTGAACAGCGTATACTGTTTAATTGCCAGAGGAAAATTAAAAACATTCAATTAATTGTTAATTATAACATTTATTCAAATTAATTCCTAAAAGTTATCATGATGATGATGGCAATTAGTTGATTGTGAGGGTTAATCGGCTTATCAGCCGCCAATTGGAAAATAAATCAATGAGCCGATGAGAGTTTCGTTAATATAAAAAGTTAATTGTTTACTTTTAATTATTTTAATTATTTCAATTGATACAATTATTCATATTAATTAAGATGATAAAGTTTTTTTCTTTCATACTTACAACAAATTGATACATTCAATTTGTTTAATAACAGCAACATATAAATACTAATTATTGCTATGGTTTTATATGATTAATAATATTATCATTTTTTTTTTGATTAAATAAATTGATTGGTATTCACAATTAATTGTCAGGAGAATTAATTGTTGTCATGATAATTATCGTAGGTTGTAAATTGTCACAATTATTATAATTTTCTTTTTCTTTTCATGTCCAATTTACTTCAACATGTTCACACTGGTTAATTGGATCGTAATTAAACTTTGATTGATTAACTTAGCTAATTTTTTTCAGGCAAAACAATTTAACAATTAGTTTTAATTTTTTTTTTGACTCTCTCATATATCGTAACAATTAACAGGGATATTTTGTATCTCTCTTTCATTGATTGACATAAAGTGAGGCCACATTTTGACGGAGAGTAAATGTTTGATCTGAATGGAAACAAATGAAAAGATAGAAACAATTAATAAATGATCAATGGTTAATTTAGATGATTAAATTAGCAACAATTAAGATTAATTACCTTTGGATAGATTTCCAATTGCTGCTTGTTTATTTAAAAACTCTAAGCAAAATTTTTCGGACAATCCAAACTCTTTGATGTAATAAGTGAAAGCCCTGTAATTAAATCAACAACAATTAAGTTAATTTTATAATAATTCAATTCTTTCACTTGATTCAATAACAATCATGATTTAATTGAAAGGAAAAACTAATTATAATTTAATGAGAATCAACAATCAAAGTAAATAAATGGATTCTGGTTTTGTAGTTGTTTTCAATTCAGTAAATTGACTTGATTATTAAATGATTAAATTGATTGTTCAGTTGAACGTCATTAATAGATCAAGGTAATTACAATCAAAGGAAAGATGTAAAAATGTCACTTTAATCTAATTGTAATCATTATAATTATTTAACCAAATTAAATAATCAAAACATGTAACAAAATCAAGAGAGGAAATTTAAACGATGAATGAATTAATTGAGATTAAAATTAATTAGTATCATTTAAATTAGCAGAAATTAACACATTGACAATTAGGTTAATTGTTTGTTCATTGACACTGTTACCAACTGAATTTATCTGTTTAATTGTTATACGAATATAATTTCATCTGCCCTCGACAATTAAGAAGATTGATTAACCTTCATTGGGGAAAATTATTTTCTCTTCAAACAATTAATATTATTATTCCTTTATGATCAATTCTAATCAGATTATAACAATTAGATTGATGGCTAATTGTTATTAAATCAATAAAATCGTAAGTCAAAATGTTCATTAGTTATGGTTGTAAATTTCATAGGGAAAACTAAACATGACAATTAAGCAAATCAATATTTTCTAGTAGCTAAATTTAACAATTAATAAAAAAATAAAGGTTAATTGTGATGGTTTCAATTTATTGATTGAGTGAAAGACTAAATTCTGATCCTGATTCTGATTAATATGCTGGTGAGTGAATTAAATGGTTGGATTGACAATTCTCACGGAATTAAAAGCCGATTTGGTGACAATTCTTACCCAAGTTGTCCGAAAACGGTGTTTTCTTGTAATTGAGCTTCTTCATCTCTCTCATTTTGAGTGATATTTTTTGACAATAATCTCTCATGAATGGGACTTTTTGCTTTCTCACAAATGACGGAATCAAAAAAAGCAGCGGACCAGAAACGATGAGATCGCCAGATTGGTTGTTCTTTCAGGTATTGATAGAGATATTGACGAGCGGAGATATTATTATAATCATTGATTGAATTTTTTCGTTGTGAGCTTTGAACTTGTTGATTGGAATAGTTTTGAAATGGATTAACCTGAGCCAACGTTGGTTCATGGTAAAAGGTGAAACACATATTCAATATTGTTTTGGCTGGTGAGAAATCATCAGATTCTGAGCATTCGAATAAAATTATAGCAAAATATTGAACCAAACTGTAAAAGGTACTTTCAGTTACTTGCTTTTGGTAAACTCTCTGAACGGGTTGACATCGACATCGGTAAAAATGGTGACATAGTTTAGTAGATTCATGAGGGTATTAGATGTAACCCAGAATTCATCAGATTCAGGTGATTAGGAGGAAAGGAAAAGAGAGAATATTTAGTTAATTGTTCACTAATTGTTAGAAGGAAATGTTAACTAACCTTTTCATTTATGAAACGAGAAAAGAGTAACCTTCCTTTGTCTGTTCGAGCATAAGCTCCAAACAATGATTTCTCTGGCAGGGTAATTGATGAACTATTGTGAGAATAGAAAAAAAACAGAAACAGGAAATGATTATAGTTAGTTAATTGTCGTTAATTGTTCAATTCAGATATATGGGAATCATCAATAAATTGGCAGGAAAACGTTTCTTTGGATGATTTTTACTTTTACCTGTCAGAGAAAATCTTATCGACAAAATTTTCCATGAAAATTTTAACCTCTTCATCGTCATCGGTACCATCAGAATTGTAGTCACAATTTGATGTCCATGGATTAGCGGAGCATTTATCTACCATAGTTGATTGACCATTTGATTGGGATGAAATTTTTGAATTGGAATTTAAATTGTTGAGATCAATACCTCTTGGTCTTCGAGGAATCCTTAATCTTAATCGATCGTTGTTACCCTCATCTTCAGCTTCAGAAGATTCTAATGATGTTTCCTGTCCACTGCCAATTCCAATCGATTCACCGGTTCGATAGGGTTTAAGGGTATCATGTATCTCTAGATTACGAAGTTCGGCCACGGAGACACAACTTGATCCACCCATAGAATGACCACTGTCCAGAGTATCTAGAGAATCCATTGATGTATCTTTGGATCTTTGCATTGATGATGATGATTGGACGATGGGAATTGTCATCATTTCTGGTTGACCAAAAATTGAACGTATTTTGGGTCGACGACGTTGTTTATTTGCACAGGGAGAACCTGTAGTTGATCCAAGGGGAGAGTTGTTAATGTAGCTCTTTGAAGGGTCAGAGTTCGACCCATTATCGGTGAAACTGGATTGGAAGGCTTCAAGTCGGGATGATAATCCGGATAAAAGGTTATCTTTAAACCCCCAAAGACTACGAGTACCAAATAGTGAACTTGACTTGGTAACCGTTGATGTCGGTGGTAAATTTGATGTTGGACATTTAACAGAATCCATCAAGGTTGAGGTGACGGTGGTACTTGTGGTGGTTATGGTTGATTCGGCTTGGATTGGATCAGATGTTGATGAAGCCGAGGAAGAAGAGGTCAAAAGAGTTGATAACCTGGTCATTGATGGATAATGGAAACTGGTCAAGTTTTCACAATCACTTTGCATGGAGATCCCAAAGATGGTGAATAATATCAAAATTGGAAGACAATGATGATAAGAGACAGAAGTTAACAAAATAATCAACCAGAATGTAAGATGAATAATCAAATAGCTGCATAAATATTAGTAACTATTGACTTTTAGTTGGTGATGGAAAATGTTACCTAATGAAAGGGAAAAAGAAAAAATCCAAATTAGAATGGAAGATAACCTGGGGTCAGTGTGAGAATGGTAGGATGACTAGGGGATGGAAATGATGATAATTTAGAATAAAATTAAAAGAGAATAAAAAATAATTCTCTCCAATTTATTCTAAAAAAAGAAATCAATCAGTAGGTAACAAGAGGAGTTGATGAATATCAACACATCATCAACAAAGACAATTCATTGATTACAACCGGTAGGAAAATCCAATGGAAATCAAATGAAGACAAAAATGATGATGATGATGATTATGATGATGATTATGATGATAATAGAATAATAATTTCGATGAGAGAAAAAAAAACAACTAATTAAATAGAATAGAATTTGTAGAAACACAATTTAGAGAGAAAAGTAAAGAGAGATGGAGAGACAAAATGTCCATTGTTTGGAATGGAGAGGAAAAGGAAGAGGTAAATTTTTGACCAACGATTAGAGGAAAGGTTGACCATCTAACAATTAGAATCAAAGATCTCTAGTAAAACAAATGAATTAACTTTTCCAATTGGTCTGATTGGTGATGAAAATTGAGATTTAATTTAATCCTTTTGTTGTTTACGTTTTGTTGGTTGATTAGAGTAAAAGAATTGGAGATTTGGGTTAAATGGATTGAATTAAACACTTACTTTTAGTCTTTATCATCTTTAACTAATCCATTCTGAATGGGTTGGGATTAATCAGCAAACTAATCAACATCACAATTAACCTTTTTAACTGATTCAATCAGTTTGATTCTCATCGAGATTATTGATCAACCGATTGATCGATTTTCCAGATTTTTAATCGAAAAAACTATCGACACAAATCGAGACAATTTTTGTGCACAGAAAAATAGAAACAAATTTAAAAGGGTCAATTTTTATCTCTTTTTAAAAAATTACTCTAACTTTGGACTCAAATTCTTGCATGATAATCAATTTAAGAACTTCAATCAATATAATTTTATCGTTTTCAGCCAAAAACTATGAGAATAACAATCGATCCGAAAATTTAATCGATTCGAGTTTCGTTTTCAACGCCCTCTGCTGACAGTTTTTAGAACTAAAAAGAATTTTAAATTTTGTATTAATCATTTTCTTTCCGTTTTTGTATCAATATTTACATAGAAAATTGTCAACAATTAACTGATTCTGATAATAAGAATTAATTGAAAGATTCTTTCATTTACCTAAATCATTTTCTTTCTCTGGCATCTTTTCTTTCATTGTGATGCCTTGGATAGAAAAAAAATTCTCATGTTCTAATTCAGTGTTTTTCGATTGTTGTGAAATATGTCAACATTAAAAGGGAGAATTAAAGTTCATTCTCACCTTTCCATGTTGACCCGATTATTTGATCAATCAACATTCACATATCAATTTCACATCAATCAAAATTTCATATCTTTCGATTGAAAAAGGAAATATTTCAAGATCATTTTCCGTTCTTTCGATATTTTTTTTTCTTCTTTTTCTATCTTCAGAATATTGATTATTTTTCTGTTACCTTTTACATCTTGACCATCAACAGTTATCGTGGTTTACATTCAATGTCCTTCTCAGGGTTGACCTTTCGCTCTTATGCCAAAAATCATCCCAAATCACATTCTCATCTAATTGCCTATGGAACTTGTGGACCAAGAGATAAGTGAGTCTTTCGATTGTTCTAAATTTTGGTTCTATTCTGTAATGATTAAGGTATTTGATATTTCTCCTTCTCCAGTGGTCGTTTTATAGATTCTATGGCCTTTCGAATGGGTATTATTGCCGCGATTCGATCGCGATCCATGGAAAGTCAAGCGGTCGGCATTATGATCACTGGATCTCATAATCCATCTGAAGACAACGGGATTAAAATGATCGATTTCAATGGTTACATTTTAGATGAACCTTGGGAACCACTTTGCGTTAAATTAGGAAATGAATCTGACCTTAAACTTGAAGCGGCGACTCATCATATCATCAAGAAGTTAAACCTTCGTAATCCTGGCCTTGTGTTTATCGCTCGAGATTCAAGAGACACTTCAGAGAAATTGGCCAAATCAGCCTCAGACGGAGTTCGATCAACTGATTCGGCTGTTCGTGATTTCGGCATGTTAACTACTCCACAATTACATCATATTGTTTACTTCCATAACAAAGGTCTACCCGAACCCACCGAAATTGGTTATTTCTTCAAGTTTATCGGTTCGTTCAAAGAATTGGTCAGTTTTTTTTGTACCTTACGATTTTAAGAGATTTTAACATTCGAGTTTGGTTTTTTTTCCTTGAATATTTTCCAGTGTTTCGGTATAAACAAAAGTCCAGGTAAATACACACCGAGATTGAATGTCGATTGTGGTAATGGTGTCGGTGGACTCAAAATGAAAAAGGTCCAAAATCAACTGGCCCCGTATCTTTATCTTAACCTTCACAATACTGGTCCTGGTACCGTTAATCAAGAATGTGGATCTTATTTTGTTGAAAGTGAACTTAAAGAGCCGATTGATTGTCCAGTTAATCAAGGTGATCGATGGTCTTCAATTGGCGGTGATTTTGATCGAATCATTTATTATTATAAGGATAAAGAAAATCAATTAAGAATATTGAATGGTGATAAAATCGCCGCTCTTTTTTGTCTCTACATTAAAGAACTTCTTCTATTTAGTGGACTTTCCGATAAAGTGACCTTTCAAGTTATCCAAACGATTTATTCTAATGGGAAGACATCACGATTTCTGAGAAAATATGTCGGTGTTTCGGTTGATTGTTCACTTCCTGGAATTAAAAATTTAATGAAGAAAACTGAAAATTCTGATATATCAATTTGGTTCGAGTCTAATGGACATGGGTCAGTATTTTACAACGAAAAAGCTTACAGAGTGGTCAAGAGTGCAGTCGAAACTGATTCAACTGGATCAGCTGATTTATTGATGAAAATTTTCCATTTAATGCATCAGGTAAATTGAAAAAAAAATTAGTTGAACAATGAAAATAATCAACTTACTCTCTAAATCAATTCTCTCAATTAACAGAGTACCGGTGATGCTTTTTGTAATCTCCTTTTAATCGAGTCCATTTTGAGAGCCAAAGATTGGACAGTTGAAAATTGGGACTCCATTTATGAGACATCACCTTCTCGGTTCGTAACAGTGACAGTCAAAGATCACACTTTCATCAAAACAAACGAAACGGGCACCGTTGTCCTCGAACCCGATAAATTACAATACAAGATCAATCAGTTGGTCAACAGATTTGAAGATAGTCGAGTAATTGTGCGTCCATCGGGAACCGAGCCCGTTGTTCGAGTCTATGGTGAGTCAAGTACTCAAGAGAAAGCTGATCAATTAGTTGAACATATCGTCCAACTTGTACAAAATTATTCGAAATAATAACAAAAAAAACTTGATCGAAATCAAATTCGTAACTTTTTCCTATCCAATAAAATTCATTTCCTTTAACCAGAACAATCAGTAAGTGATTAAAGATTCTAAATACTTGTTCATTTATCGTTTTTCCATAAATAATTAGTTAACATTGATTGAGATTAAATCTAATTGATTCAAAGTTTCAATTCGCAACTGAATCGCTCAATGGCTCCACCTGTTGGAGAAAAAAGTTGAACGGGTAAATTTAATTGAGAATTCATTTTAACAGTTGGTTTTGGTAACCTTAATGGGATAAAAGTTAAATGTGTTCATAGTAAAGTTAAACATACAATTTACTTGTTAATACCTTCAAGGTTTCTATTCAAGTTAATTGTTTATGTAAATTGTTGGCAGCTTTTACATTTGCTTTGATTTGATGATTACAGAAATCAAGGGTTGATAAATAACAAAAGGGATAAAGTGATTTAGGAAAACCGGATAGAAAATAGTAAATATCCTGATAATTTGGTTAACAATTGTAAAAAAAAGTGTTAAATCTTGATATGTTAACAGTTATAGAGATTGTTATTAATTGTGAATCAAATAGTTGTCATATTTTTGTTTCAATATAATGCACTTTGTGTGTTTTTTTATGTGAGATAGAAGTTGATAATTGGTGGAGCGAGTTGATTGTTGATGAAACTTTGAGAAATTAAATGCGATGATTATTACCACCAAAGAAGAAAAGATTTGGTAAAATTAGAGATTAAAAGTCACTGAAGTCACTTATTGGTAATTAATGCACAGCCCACGAAATAAAAATGGATTTTTAGATGAATTAATTAAGTGTCTCTCTCAATTCAAGTTCTCGGATTCAAGTTATTAAGGTGATTATGTGATTTGTTTGGCTTATCAACCCAAATAAGTCACCAAAATCCGTTGGTGGGAAGGAACCAGTTTCTTTTTTTATTGATTAAATCTTTTCTTTTACTTTGTTGTCTTGGATAAACTTGTTGATTAATAAGAGAATAGAAAATCGGGTGGGTTGATCAGCTGTTTGTTATTTCAATTGTTATAAGGTGATGGTGATAATTAATGATGATGATGAAGAGATGAAAACAATTGACGGTAAGGGTGAAGATGCTTTTTCATTTTTGTCGTAGGTTTTGATGATATCAGGATATCTTTTTAAATTATGCTCTTGATGGTGATGCGTTTATTTTCCGTTCTCCTTGTGCGATTTCACCTCGTTGATAGGCTTGGAACTTGAAGGCACTGTCGGTGAAGTAGATTCCAGAAGAAAAGATTCCGAAGAACTGAAAAGGAAGAAGAAATTAAAATTAATTAACTTGTGATTTTGTTTTATAAGGAAAAATTGATGAAACAATTGAATTAAATCATATGTCTAGACTGAGAAAAACGATTAACATGTAATATAAATATTAATGTATCATTTTGGATTCAATTGTAGCAATCGTAAGAAATAATTATTATTATTTCATTGTAAAGGTAATATAACTTGACGAATAAAAAACTGATATAATTAATAGATCGTAAAAAGATACTTGGAATAGGATGTTTTGATTGGAAAGACAATTAACTCTAATCAATTATTGCCCTTAATGGTAATGTGTAGAGAAGAATTGAATTGCTAATTAAACAATGAAACTAATCAACAATTAATTGAATGGTGCAATGTCATCTACCATGAGCATGTAACGGCAAAAAAAGAGTAAGTTTAAAAGTGAAACTAAATTAATTATAAATAACAACCAAGAAATATAATTCTAAGCATCGTAACAAAGCTAATAAGGGAAACTAATTTTCTAGATGAACAATTGTCTGTATGAATTAACTTTTTTTACGTTCAAAGTTGAATGTAAATCGTTGGAAAAAGATTGAAAGAAAATTCTTACACCAGCAGCCGCATAAGGAGCACCATCGAGAATGATGACAATTGAGCCAATGAAAATAAGTAAACAGGTAACAGCACAATAAACCACCTCCTGAGAAAACAAGAGAGAGAAAAATTCACATTAAATCACATACATAATAGGACCACAACATGAGAAAGATGATAGAAAACTAATGATCAGAGTAATGTAATTTGATGCAAAGGTAGAAGAAGAAAAAGTGAACAGAAAACATGGTAACAATAAAGAAAATGGATAACGTACAACAAGAAGCCATGGAATATTGTGAAGTTTCTCAATTACATGGAACATGTAAGCTGCGAGAAGTAATAAACTAATCCAGAAACATAACATTGTGGTGGTACAAAAATAAGCTACAGATGAACAGCCATGACAGTCGCCTATGGTTCCACAGATGAATCCGAGTAGAACACCGGCCTGAAAAAGAAAAAGAAAATGAAGAAAATGATGAGAATCATAATCAGAGGAAAACGATGGTTGACAAAGAGGAGAAATTAAATTTGCAACTGTAAACACTCGGTGGCCAACTTACAATTTCCATAGATTTAAGTAGCCCTGATGGAGTCTTAATGTATGAAGGGTCAAACCAAATGAAAGGAGTGACCTTAGTTGTTGCTGTGTTAATTGATGTTGGGAAATTTCCATTGTTTGACATGGTGTTGGCTAATTTGTTAATAACAGGTAAATGATGAGAATATTAAACAAGGAGAGAGAGAAAGATTGAAGAAAACGTTGAAGATACAATAAGATTTTTTTTCCAATGATTGAACAGCAATTGAGAAGAAATGAAAACCAATAGTTATCCTTTGGTTGTAACAGTTATGTTATTATGACAATGATGATGGTGGTAGTGTGGTGGTTGTAGTTTAAATTGAAAGCAAGACTAATTTAATTAACATCGTTAAAGTGATAACAACTAAAAAGTAAAAGAGAATAGAAAATAAAGAAAATTCTATCAAAAGAAAGAAAAAGGCGAGACCAGGAAAAAGAATAAAAGAAAAAAAAAGAAAATTGCAAATGAGAGAAAGAGAAACAAAATTAAAGATCCAACTGAGATTCAAAGATTCAAAGACAATTAACAGCAAGATCACTTCATCTAGAATGTTGATTAACTTAATTAAAGAAAATAATTAAATTTATAAATAATAATCAATTAACTGTCACCTTTAATTGTAAACAAATTGTCAACAAGTTGATGAGCAAAAAGTAAGAAATTAAAGCGACGATTATTCATCGATTTAATCGATCGAAAATTCTAAAAATCGATTATCACCTAAATAGAATCGATTTTAAAGAAACAGGTTCAACTTTAATTATCTTAAATTAGTTTAATTATATTCCCACTGTTAACAATTAAAGGTTACAATTAGTGCGATGTTAATTTCTATAGAAAACTCTAAATCATGATTACATAAGTAATGTTTACTCAATGACAGATTATTGATTAATCTCAATGGTAAATCAATTTATGTAAACATGATAATGAACTTTTTGTTTTGAGTCAATCAAATTAAATGATAACAATTAAAGTTCATTAACAGGATCTAGGTAAACAATTAAGGTCTTTTAAAGTTGATAAAAATGGTCAATAAATTAACTAATCTACAATTGGTCAGCAATTAAATGGGAAAAAGGAAACAATCAGACAAATAAAAACTTAACAAGATCAACGACCCAAAATTAAATTGTTATTAGTTAGTTAGTTAGTTAGTTGAGTTGTTAATTGCCCCTTGATTACAGTTACAAAATTAAATATCAATCATGATGAAAAAACAAAAAATCTTCAAGCTAATTAAACTTAAACCTCTTCCTAGTTAATTGCTTCCTTAATCATTGATGAACTTTCCCTCTCAATTGATTTGATTACTTCCCAATGATCAACTAATGACCCAACCCTAGTCCTTGAAAATTGATTTGATTTGATCCTCTTCAAATTATATAATCATCATCATCATCATCATCTTCATCTTCATCATTAACTTAATCATGATTATCATCATCAGTTGATATAAAAGGCCAAGATTCACTCAATCAAGGTAACATTTAGATCCAGTGTTTAGTTAAATTGTTACTGTTTAAGTGTTGGTACATTGAAATCAAAAAGTGATTAAATTACAACCACTAATTGTTAATCATTTTGTGCTTCTCATCATCATAATCATCATCATGGTTAAGTTAACTTTTATCTTGTTAATTGTTACCATTTTCTTTACCTTAATTGTATCAACTGTTGATTCGATTCCAATTGATTCATCTAATCATGTTGACAATTTACCAGCGACAATTAACCGTTCAGGTAAATCATTTGAACAACGTTATTTAACTGCTGCTGATTATTGTGAAAAACATCAACGACGATCATATAAAAAGTGTATGAAATCAAAAGGCTTTTAAATTGTAAACAATTAACTTAATTATGTTGGAGAAAAAAAAAATTGTACCTCAACAATTAAACAATATTAATAAACATTACGGTAAATAAAGTGAACTAACTTTCCAACCAGATTAAATTGTAATCAAATTAACTCATCTGATTATCATCTCGATCTTAACCTTACCCTTGATTAGAAATTAACTCGTATTAATTGTAAAGCTAAATCAGTGATTAGAATCAAGATTTTCATCGTAACTTTTTTTTTCTTTCAAGTTAACTAATCCAAAGATTAACCTCAACTGATTTTAAATCAGATTAACGACCTAATTGTAATCTATTAGAAAAAAGTAATTCGGGTTACGATTAATAGTTGATTTATTGGCAAGGTTTGTTGAGAGATGATTTAATTACAGTATTTTGACCAATAGTCTCTTAATTAATTAGTTATTTTTACATTTGATTTTAAATTTGTTTCGTATAATATATACACACATTCAGTCTTGATTTTCTGAAGGAAAGCAAAAAATGTAAGTGACAAGGAGAGAGAGAGAGAGAGGAAGAGAGGGAGATACAAGGTGAGGATGGAAAGGAGGAAATGGCGGTGGTTGGGATGAGGTGGTAGAGGGAAAAAATGTCACTGTTACGAAAAAAAGATATGGAAGCGGAAAAAGGGACAAGGTAGATTTAAGAAATAGTCGCTCAGCAAAAGATTGGGATGAAAAAAATGTCTCCATGTCGATGTGAGGGGTTGATTAGTTAATTGTTTGAAATGTTTGGTGGATCCAAAAATTGGAATACAACTTGAATCAAATTATATTAGTTTTCTCCCCATTTATCGTTGAAATGTTTGATGTGTGTGTGTGAGAGAGAGAGAGGGAGAGATGATGGAGATACGTTGATGTGTTGACGAGGTTGCGAATCAATTTAACTTCTTATTGAGTAACTTTCTTCATTAGCACTATTTGGTGTACCAGTGCTCGTTGGTGTACCATAATCAGCGGGTGATGCGGTGTTAGGTGATGCCGATGAGGTTGACTCCATGGATGAATTGGCTGACATGGCGGCTTTAGCTGCGGCTATTGAGAAAAGGTCACCAGCTGAGGGTAAAGGTGCAAGTCCACCAGATATCGAGGGTAATAAACTAAGGTCGGGTAAATTTTGTAGGTGAGATTTAAGCTCATCACGAACTTGGGAGACGGAGAGTAGTTTCTCCTTAAATTCGGCAAGACGTTGTTCCGCTGCCGTTAAAGAATCTTTCTGATTTTTAACAAAAGCATATAACATATTTGAAATTTTCTTTCTCTCCTCAAGTTCAACGGTTAAACGATTATTATAATCGGCGAGAATGGTACAAGCCTCGTCAACTTGACGTTGTAATCTTTCCGCTGAATCTTTATCACGAATTTTTTTCAATAGACTAGCATCTGATACTTCTGGCGGTAAAGAGGCAATCTTTTCACGGACATTGGCATCGCTTGAGGCAGAATATTCAAGAATTTGTAGAGCTGAAATTAACTCTTCCGGGTCAATTGATTTAACTATCGCTGTCTCATTGACAGTAAATTTTGAATCATCAAATTTAACACTTCTCTCCAATTTAATACCATTGTTGGTGTTTGTATCATTTACGGTTGTGGTTAATGTTGGTGCGGTTTTATTTGTTGTCTTCTTGCTAATACTATTCTTGGGAGTTGATGATGAATAAGAAACTGTTGTTTTAATGGTCGATGAGTTTTTTGAATTATTATTATTTGAATTGTTACTATTGGTGGTGCTGGTTGTTGTTGTTGCTGTCGTTGTTGTCGTTGTTGTTGTTGTTGTTGTTGTTGTTGTATTGGCGTTGGTTGGTTGTGTGGTCGATTTAGAGATGTTACTTTTGTGTGATGCTTTGAATCTTTTAGCATCATTTGTGGTCGGTGTTGAGGCTCGATCCTTTTTGGTTGGTCCATTATTTTCATCGGTAGAACCATTTTTAGAACCTTTTAAATCGTCAAGTGCTTTCCTCCAATCAGATATTTGATTAGAATCGTAAATATTTCTCTCACCCCAAACAGTGAGTATCCTCTCTAGGCCTTTCCAGGTTTTATCATCTGCCTCTCTGTGATCAATCAGTGAAAGAGCAAAAATTAGAATCAGTAAAAACAACACACAAATAATTAGCAAAATGATTGAAATTAGTCAAGACAGAAATCAGATACATTTAGTGTATGATATAAACATATACACAATTATGAATGAATAAGTAAACATATGAATTGTAAGGTAAAGATTTGATGACAATGATTTAAATTGAAATTGATTAAGTGAATCGTGTAGGTAATCAAATTAATAGTGAAATAATGTCACCAGTAACATAATACTTACTTAGCAACCGCAATAAATGCTGGTTTCAAGGCTCCAGCAAATTCCTTGGTGAATTCAGGTCCTTTTTTACGACTATTTTGAATAACATCATTGGCTAAATACATGAAGGTCAATTTACGATTTGTAGTTGCTATTAATAAGAAGATAGAATCAAATTAATAAATGTCAACGTGCAGAGCGAGTCAGATGTAAATTAAATGTGACAATAATATCTTACCCTTTTTAAGCTCTTTGAACCAGGTTTGCACAATTAACTTATGGTGTTTTCTATGATGAATTAACCATAATGAAAAGGTTTGAATTGTTTGAGCTGAACTATTTAAATCACCTAAACGTTTCTCTAATTGTTGACTTGTAAACCCAGACATAATTGGTTATTAGGGTTGTTTACAATTTGATGGGAAATAGAGAGAGAGACAATCACATATACAAGATTAACCACAATATGGATAATTTTGTTGTTGTTGTTTTTTTGTCTGAGTAAACAAAATATGTTGATGAAGAAGGAGAAAAAAGTTGAGAGAGTGAGATATAGATAGAAAGTTGATTATCACAGTCACTGGATATCACTGCTTTCCTTTAAATATTGATTAACAATATAATCAGGTTTGCTGATAGCTGAGGCCTTTCAGAGTATAAAGTTAACATGAAACAATTAACAATCCATGTTACTGATACTGTTGTTTAGTTATTGTCAAAGAAAGCACAATATATTATATACGATGATAGAGTGGATGATGTTGATAGAAGAATAATCAAAATAAGGATGATAGAGAAGTAAAATAATGTAAATCCAAGCGCAAGTAGGAGAAACCAGAGTGAGAATTTTAAAATTGAACGGCCGGGCAGGAATAAGAAATTAAAACCAAACCAACAGTTGAGAAGAGACCAGATTAACCCAAGACCAGAATAAAATCATTTAAGATGAAACCTTTTCGATGGATTGAGAGATAAAGGTGAGAAAATTAAAACAACAACAGAAGAAGAGCAAGAAAAAGAGAGCAAGATACAGAAAGAATATGGATAATAATAATAATAATAATTCCTCCACCAACACCGACAAAAAGCAAAAAGAGAATATGAGTTCACTTTTAGAATAGAAAATGATAAAAAAAAATAAAAAGAGAAAAAGAAAACAAAATAGAGAAAAAGAAAGAGAAAGTAAGAGGAAAAGAGAGAGAGAAAGAGAGAAAACCACAAGAGAAGAAAAGAAAACAAGACAAACAGTTGGTTCTTTGTTTGGAATGAGAGTGTTTTGTCTAAAATGGCGAATTAATTGTTTCCATTGGTCAGTAGATTTTAATTACTATTCGATGGACAATTAATACTAATTGAAAAGGAAAACAATTTAATCAAGTGAGTTAAAGGTAACAAGAAATAAACAAAACCGAAATTGTAAACAAGCATTGGAATAGGGACCGTCCATTAATCCGGTTCATCGAAACCCGGTTACTTTGAAAAGATTAAATTCTTTTATTTTTTTTAGTTTTTAATTAGGTAAACACTTTAATCTGGATTTTAATTTGAGTCGATTAATTAACCAACTTTAGAATAATATTTTGCTCAAGTTAAAAGGGTTAATTTGGTTTAATTGTTAACCTTTAATGGAAAATCTTTCAATTTCTATCGGTTTATTGACTGTTTTGCCTTCTCTTGTTATGTTCATTTTTCACCCTGTTAATTAGTTGATTTAATTTATTTTTTCTTCTTCTTCCAATCATTGTGATCATGATTAGTAGATTGTTTTAATCAGGATTGAGAACAATTGAATCTGATTAGAGTTATTTATGTATGGGGAGAAAACAATTGATCGAGTTGATTGGTAAACATTGAGATTTAAAGATTGGAAAGATTCCGATTTGTTGATCAGTAATTAAAACAATTAATTTGACTTTTTTTCTTTTGGGTTTTATGATTTGATTGGAATTGTGAAAAGTGAAATTTAGAATTGATTTAGAATTTTTTCCAAGAATTTATCTGTTATTGTGGTTATAAGATATCGATTTGCTTGTGGAGTTTGGTTTTCGATCGCGTCTTAATGTGCTAATGAAAGGGAAAAAAATATTAATAGAACTTTTTTATCGAACTTTTTGATTGGAATGGACAAAAAGTTTTCGCATTCGACAGGATTCGAACCTGTGCGGGAAAATCCCAATGGATTTCAAGTCCATCGCCTTAACCACTCGGCCACGAATGCACATGAAAATTGGGTGGAAGTTAATTATTTAAACGTGCAAACATCAATCAAAACGTTCGCACGTTAGAACGTTTCAAATTTTCGCTCAGCAACAAACTAATGAATGTAATTTGGATTAACCAGTTCGAGCTCTAAGAGCAATTGAAAGAGTTATCGTTCTGAAAGCGAAATGTCAGAATCTGATTACGAAACAATTGAGGTAATGAAGAAATTGATCTGAAAAAAAAACAACGGAAAAGTGATCTGGGCTAATTTCTTCATCTAAATTATTTCAGGCAGAACAAGAAGAGCAATCGAAGTTGATATTACTATTTAGAGTAAAAATAATGATGAGAATTCGTGTAGTTACAAAAAAAAGTTCTCAACGATAAACAATGGAACTTTGAACTTTTCGATCGCGATGGACAAAAAAAGTTTTCGCATTCGACAGGATTCGAACCTGTGCGGGAAAATCCCAATGGATTTCAAGTCCATCGCCTTAACCACTCGGCCACGAATGCAGATGAACTATTATAAAGATCACGCTCATATAAACATACGAATATCAATCAAATGATCGTTCGCACGTTGTTACGTTTCTAATTCATGATTAATTGCTGCAGATTGAATTGAGCTTTTCTGTAAACAAGTTTTCCAGTCTAATGGTTTGATCCTGAGGAAAGGTAATTAAGATGATTGATCGTCTCTAATTAGATGACGTTAGCCTGTTGATTGCAGCCAATTGTAGGCATGTAACGTGCTGATAATTCATCTGCATTCGTGGCCGAGTGGTTAAGGCGATGGACTTGAAATCCATTGGGATTTTCCCGCACAGGTTCGAATCCTGTCGAATGCGAAAAACTTTTTTTGTCCATCACAATCGAAAAGTTCACAAAAGTTCATTGAGGACTAATTTTTTTCTTTCCTTCTCCCCCATCATTAGAACAAAGAATAAAACATTTTCTTCGTCAGATTCAACCATATCTCTCAAGCCTTAAAGGATTTTTTCCATAGAACTATTCAGCTAATGTTCTCTGACGGATTCGAAATCAAATTCATTTATTATTCTAATTTAACCCTTTGATAGCTATTCTATACTCTTACCTGTTGAAATCGAATTGAACATTCTGTCTTGTTTCTCAATTCTTTCCATGAAAAGTTCATTCATCTATAAATTAAGTTATATTCAAGTTCGAAAAATGAAAAAGTTCTAAACGATGATGTTCAATCAATAGATTACCAACTAGAAAAGGTTAAATGTCCGTTATGATGATTAGAATGATATTGAATGGATATCAAAATAGATATTGAATAATTGTTGATTCCAATTGGTTATCATGATCAACTAATGAGCTTGATTATTGTTGTAATGATTATTTGTTAAAGAAAAATAATTTCAAGTTAATCATGAAAAGTCAACAATTGATATAAACCATTTCCCTATCAACAGGAATATAAAGTCAGTTACATGATGATTATTGTGATGATCATGATGATGGAGAAAAAAAATTTACCTCAAACTCAACAGGGAATCATGAAAACAGAAAAATAGGAATCTTGTTTCCTCAGAACTTTTTTTCTTTCATCATAATCTCCTTTTTCACCCTCATCATCCTTATCTTCATCTTCATCATCATTATCATCATTTGATGACATTTCCTTGACTTATTCAGTTATCTTTATCTGTAGCATTTTTGTTCATCATCATGACAGTTACATGAACCCGATAACTCTGAACATGAACTTTTTTGTATCCAAACTAATTCATAAATAAACTGATCATTTCATGATGATTATCATGATAAGTGATATTTTATCATGAATGAGAATCTCAATTATAATTATAATCCACCTAAAGTCTGGGTAACTTTAAATTGTAACAATTTAACCTTGTTGATTAACTGAAAACCAATTACAAGTATTATATCAATTTGAATCAATTGTCTACTAATTAGCTCAATCAATATTAATTAACGTTGATTAACTTATAAGAGTTTATTTGATAGTTAACACTTGATGGATAATTAAATGATAATAATATCATAGATTAAATTTCATTTTGATTTATCTCATGTTTAGTTCATCATTTAACTTGAAACTGACATTAATTAAGTCAAAATTTGATTTAGTTTTTTGTTCACCATTGATTAACTGTACCATTTGATGATTAGTTGATTGTCAATACGATTGTTGATTCTTGATAGAAATTTGTATTGTTAAAGTTTACAATTAGATGATTGGAAAATTTACCATTAGTCAAATCTGATTGTTCCCAATTGAATTGTACTAAAAAGCCAATCTATTTATAACTTGACTTGCTGTTTAAATCAGCAATCAATTAGTTTAATAAACAAATTGGCAACTAAATTATTAACCCATTTACAATCAATTATTTATTCAATCAAATCTGTTAGTTAAAATTGAATAAAATGAAACATTAAAAATCACAGAATTGATTGAATCTCGTAAGCAAAATGATAACCATTAACCTCATCATGAAGATAAACAAATTATCATGTTAATCTGAATAATTACTTAGCTCTGATCTACTAGAATTCTGATAAGAATTAGATCTGAATGAGAATCGATCAATTCCTAATCTATTTCGACAACGATTTTCATGGTAACTTTTCTGATGCCGAAAACTGTTTCCAGTGGCAAGTGAATCTTTCAGAACTTTTCTCTCTCTCTCTCTCTCTCTCTCTCTTCCAGGTAAATGATTCACGATAATCTTGAGCTGTTATTATTTTTTTATCGAAAAATCCATGAGTAAAATATTAAAGAAAAAAACAAAAAGAGGATCAACTTGAATTAGATGAAAGATCTTCATCTTTCGTTAATCTTATCGTTTAATCTGATTCGAACTGGATGATAGTAGATTCATTTATCATCATGAAGATTCAGTGGAGATTTTTATTTTCATGATCAATGTTACATATCGATGTCAACAATTGGAATCAGTCTGTTGATCATCAGTAACAATTTAAACTTCTCATTGATTCCCAAATAAGTTTCATGATCATCTTATTGATAGTTAACAGATAGTAAGATTATGGTATCATTTGTTGATAACTGACCAAAAGACGATAATATTTGCACAGATAACAAAGTAAAAAGTAATGGTCACTAGTGGTCAAAGTTTTCGAATAGAACAAAAAAAAAGTTTCCATTTTCTTTTGTAAAGATTAACTTTCACTCATCCTCTTCTTCTGCTAATTCATGACAAACTTCATGGATACTCTGATTATCTGATGAACATGGTGATAAGCAATATTTACCTTTATTCAATGAATTAATATTTCATGATAACAGTTGATTAATCCTATTTGTGTAGGATTTTGATTAGTTAACATAATACAATTTAGTTTTATTATTAGTTAACAGTAGTAAAACTCAAGTACCATGAGTACTAACACACTGAACTCCATGATAATGATATGATATGATATCATGATAAAGTTCATGATGGGAAGATGAAAGAGAAAAGAAAAAAAAGAAAAAGTTTTTTCTATTGGCTTTAAGATGAGCTTTTTCTTTGCCCACCGAGAAGGGAACATCAGGAAAAGTGGAGTGGGAACACCAGAGTTGTGGTGGAAGATGAAAAATTAGCCGGAAAAACTATCGGTTTCTGTTTATTCTGATACTTTGTCTTTATCTCGAATATATCATGAAATGAATTTAGTCCAAATTTATATAATATTTTCCATGATGATAGTAAGAATATCTTATTATCTTCTAATATCAGAAACTTTACCTAAAGGTAAGAGAATAAGAATATAAAATAAACACCATGAGAATCATGATTTCCACTGATGATGATTATCATCGTTAGTCCATTGCTAATGTCTCGAAAGATAGTTCAGTTTCATGGTGGATCTGAATCGTTTAATCATTCAGGATGAGGTTGAAAAGGGATAGAAATAGATGAAGGAAATAACCAACATGTATTTACCACTCTCAAAGTATCTACCTCACCACCACCCACAATATAATTATTACGATTATATAAAAATGACTTGAATAAAGGTTAAGGGTTTGGACTTTAGAGTAAAGTTGATATAATAAAAAACACTCAAAACGAGGATGAGGACGAACAGGATTCTGAACAATGAAGGTGAGATAAGGTGCCAAAGATGAGTAAATTTTATGACGCTCATGATGAGAATGACGTTGAGTGCTATCATAATACTGATCATATAGGCTCTATTATCATCATGAGCATCGTGGTGAGTTAATATTTAATCATCTATCATGATAAAATCTTGAAAAGGTTCAGAGTTATTGAAATATTATCATGATCATCAAGTAACAGCTAACGGTGAGTTTGATATAATACAATATAAAGTAATTTTGAATGCGCAAGATTAACTCAAGATGATGATGATGATGATTAGGATGATTAGGATGATCAGGGGGTGGACGATAAGGATGATGGAAAAGTGAGTTGAAACTGAAAACATGGTTACAATTGTGATTCTGATTCTGTATCATGTATCGACTAATTTGTCCAAACATTTCACTTTGACCAATAGAAAAGTTTATCCTGAAAGTTAATTGTGTTCAAATCAATTTAAATTATATATTACACGACAATTGTTTCATCTTATGTGCTAACTGTTAAACTTAATTAACTAATTGTTCTAATGTGGTAAAAATTGTAATCAATTTTAAAACTTTCAATTAGTTTGTGAGTTTATCTCAGTTATTTTTTTTTCTCGTTTAATTGTTGGTCTAATTTGTTTTCTGTTTCTTTAATTTCTGAGAGAAATTTTTGTTCATTATAATCACTTTAATTTAGTTAATCATTTAATTGTTTATCCATAATAATTAAGCTATCAAATGGCTGGTTATTTATTCATAGATATTTATTATATTAGTTTACAATTAATCTTGTTATCATTGACTGTCCAAGGTTCACCTTTACCAAATTATCAGACTTATTTTGAAGGCATCGATCCTATTTCCTCTTCCGCCTCCACCTCATCACTTTCATCACCCTCCTCCTCCCTCTCATCATCTTCCGATTTATTAAATCAACAACAACAACCCCAACCTCAACCCCAACAACAGCAGCAACAACAACAACAACAACAAGACCATCAAATGTCACCGGAACCAGGAAACATGATTGAATTTGAAAATTCATACCCATTTCCGATTCTAAGAGGAACCAGAAATGGATCAGCATCTTTCCCATCATCATCATCATCATTATCACCATCATCATCTTCATCCTTATCATCATCACCAACTACATTTCAACGACCTCCAAATACAATTCATCTCTTACTTGGACGATTTTTTAAATCCCCAGGTAAGTTAATTAATCAGTAGCAATCAAATAGTAATAATAATGACAACTAATGAAAAAGGAGGAAAAAAAAGTTTCATTTGTTTTCATTTAATTTCCTAATTTGATTGTTGACATTGATTTCATATATTCCGTAATTAATTAATACCTAAATGATTTTCTTTGTAAATATATTTATAGTAGTAATTATTTTCCTAGAAAATCAAATCATCACCATCATGACTTAATGTATATATATGATTTACCTTTGTTCCTGAAAACCAACAGGTATTCAGATTAATTTTCATATGAATATTGATCTGAATTATTAGGAATCAGAATCAATATTTACTTAACACAATAGTTATGATTACAATTACTTACCTTTAATTTAGATTTACCTGAGACTTTCAGTTAATTCATCGAACCAAAAAGTTCAGTCTCATCGAACTTGTTTTTTTTTCCTTTCAACCTTTCAAAGGGAAAAAAAAGTTCTAAGTTCTTAATTGTTAATGAAACTTTAAGAGATTTTTTTTCTTCTTCTTCATTGAATCAATTTAATTAATTGACAATCGATTTGCATGTTTTAGATTTGATTTGATTCTCAGTTGAATACGAATTCAAATGAATATTAATTTTGTTACAATTTGAATCTTAATTCTGTGTTAATCATTAATCTTTTAACTTCGTTAATTAAAGTTATCGGTAAATTGTTCAAGTTTAAAATGTTAAATATGAATTAATTTAGCCTCTTAATTATCCTAATTGTGAATAATTATCCCAGTCCATTAGTGATTATATGGATCATAAGTGTATTTACTTAATTGGTGTTTAATTAAATTGATGACTCTGATTAAGATTATGATTTTGATTGACTTGTTGATTGATAATTACAATTCTGATTACAATCAAGATGATTATTTAGTTATCATGTTTTATGAATTGTTGTTGATTTGATTTGCTAATCCAGTCAAGTTTAATTAGCACAATTTACCTGTTGATTTAGTTGATTATGTCAACCCAAAGATGAGCAACAATCAATTATCCTTCCGATTAATCAAATGATTAAGTTGATAAATTACCTGAAAATTTCATTTAGACTTGACAATTAAGATAATCATCAACTTTACTAAGTCAATTTAATGTTTCCTTTTAATTGTCTCTCTCCTCTCTCGGACAATTAACAATCAATCATAAATTATTTAGTTAAACAATTAAAGGTTTTTCACTTAATTAGTGTAGGAAGTAAATTTGATTTAGTTAATTAGTTTTGTCTTTTTTTTCAAACTATTCTAGGAATTGGAATTAGTTAAAATTATTGATTTACTTTTTTTTTGCTCTCATTGGATGAATTAATAATAATCATTTTAAATTGATTAACAATTAACAATTAATTTTGCTCTTTGGTTGTTTGATTAACTTAATTTTATAATATAATAAATGGAACCTGTTGATTGTAAATCAAAATTGTAATTAAAGTTTGCTCAGTTTATATTATGAGGATATTTAACCAAGGTTAATTGTTTATGATTAAGGATTTTTTATATGATTGATTATGTTGTCTAACTGGTTAATTGTAATACAAACAATTTACAATTGGACAATTTTTTTTTTTGATTACAATACAAATTTTCCTGAATTTTTGTGCTGATGGTTAACAATTAGAGAGATAAATGATTTCAAAGCAATCAATTGTTTCTCTTGAATAATTAATCTAATTGTCAGTTTCTAGTCTCTTTACATTAGATTTTTGTATTTGTGATAAAAGTAAATTAATCACTTTGATTAAGTTGTTGTTGTTTAATTGTCAAGCAATTTATTGATTGTAGTTGGCTGAGGGTTGGAAAAGATCTCGTTTGGTTGGTAAATAAGGGCGATAAAAATTTCGATAGGTTAGAACGGTAGATTCGAACTTTTTTGATAAAATTCGAAGGAAGAAAAAAAATTTCGCAGTCGACAGGATTCGAACCTGTGCGGGAAAATCCCAATGGATTTCGAGTCCATCGCCTTAACCACTCGGCCACGACTGCATTGACACTTGAAATTCTGTGTAAATACCGAGTGTACCAAATGGTAACCTGATCTCGAACCGAAATTGATCATTTCAACTTCGTCAAAGTTTTTTCGATCATTTCTTTTGCTTATAATTGACTTGAGTACTTTTTAGTTTTCACCTAGAGAAGACCTAAATTTTATTTGCCGTCTTGATGGTGAGTTTACGTAGATCTTGAGATAATTACGAAATTGGTCTGGAGAAAGCAACGAAACATCGTTCGTATGTTAAAGCGTTTCAATCTCATATTCGGAAACGATTTCATTTATAAATAAGATAAAAACTAACTAGTTATAAGGGACAGAGCTATTGAAAGTGCTGTTGAGAAAGATAATGATGAGAATTCGTGAAGTTACAAAAAAAAGTTCTCAACGATAAACAATGGAACTTTTGTGAACTTTTCGATTGTGATGGACAAAAAAAGTTTTTCGCATTCGACAGGATTCGAACCTGTGCGGGAAAATCCCAATGGATTTCAAGTCCATCGCCTTAACCACTCGGCCACGAATGCAGATGAATTATCAGCACGTTACATGCCTACAATTGGCTGCAATCAACAGGCTAACGTCATCTAATTAGAGACGATCAATCATCTTAATTACCTTTCCTTAGGATCAAACCATCAGACTGGAAAACTTGTTTACAGAAAAGCTCAATTCAATCTGCAGCAATTAATCATAATTAATGTTATATAATAGAGACCAGGAACGTTTTAACGTGCGAATGATGGGTTGATTACTATTCGCATCTTTATATAGGCACTATTTTCCATTTTACTTCATCTGCAGTCGTGGCCGAGTGGTTAAGGCGATGGATTAGAAATCCATTGGGATTTTCCCGCACAGGTTCGAATCCTGTCGACTGCGAAATTTTTTTTCTTTTTCACAATTTCAATAGAAATTAATTGTTACTCTAATTGAACATTTCACTTTTACTGCGCATCATGTTATCAACGTTATCGAGTTCAGTAGATTCTCAATTGAGTGATTCGATTGAGATAAATCGTTGATTAATTTTTCTAACAATCTATTCAATTACATATTCAATTATCTTGCAATTAAAATAATCACTATTTATACAAATGAGAGCAAAGTTTCAACAGTTAAAATTTTAATTTATAACTAAATTGAATATTGATTGGAATTGATTTCACCGGAAAAAGGAAACAGTACTTTTTCAGTTTGGATTCGAAATTATTCATTTAGATTAATGAGCAACTGAACTTTATTTGAATAAAATTGATTTGTTTTCTAACTGAATTAATTGTGAGCTTAAAATTTAATAATTCATCCCTCACATTTCAGCAATGATTCAGAATAAGTCATGATGATGATGGTCAGTCCTTAGAGATGGACATTAATTTTCTTTGGAAAAGAATAAAATTGAAAAAAAGTCTCTTTCAATATTCACTCTATTGGGATAGAAAAAGGTCACCGTCATGTTTTATCATGATGAAACTGAATTCGAATGAAACTTAAGTTTAGAAATTTGTTGAAAAAAATTCTTTTTCTTTTCTTTTTCGGATTATCATCATTTAGAAGCATTGGAAGGACCATATCAAAGAGGTCGAAGATATCGAGATAAAAGTGACAAGAGCTTCATCCGGTTCGGTCGATCACCCAACCCCGAACGAACTATAGCTCTTTGGCCTCGTGAGAATCGTAAAAGGCCAGAAAAAACTAGCGACACTTATTTCCTTCGATTTGGACGTTCAACCAAATGAACAAAATCGAAGCTCGAAAGTTGAAAGAAAAAAAACAAAAGTTCTAATCAAATATTCAACTGATTGGAAGTTGATTCCAATCAAAGAAAAGACATAGAAAAATAATTCCAATCTAATATTAATCTAATCTAATCAAAACAATTAACTAAACTAAAAATTGTCATTAATTGAAAAAAGAAATCCTCAACAATTAAAACTGATTAAAGTGACAGTTGAACCAGTAAACCTTTTCATCAAGAGCGGATATTGATTATTGACCACCCACTTCCTCCTTAATTGTTTTGTCTCATTTTTATTTAATCCATCAACCTAATCATCAATCTAGTAAATTTAATCCATTAATCCCATTTAACTGATTGTTGTTAACTTGATCCTTTCTCGACCATTGAAAACCTTTACAATAAAAAAAAACAATCGTAACAATTAAAATCATGAAATAAACTGATTGTTTCACTTTTTGGTAATCATTAATTGTTGACATGATTTTAATATTTGCAAATGATTTGATTAACAATGATTTGATAATAAGCTTGCAAATGAGCACAATTGATTGATTAGCATTTCAACTAATATGATTAGTTGATAATGTATAATGATAGCAATTTAGAGCGATGAAAATTTGAATTGGTTAATTTATGATAATGAATAAAGATTGATAATTGTTTATGAGTGAAGATGATTAAATTGATTACATCATTTTGCATGAATCGTTTTTCGGACGCGAAGTGGTCGAGGCGACGGATCGAGACCTGAAGGTCCGTCCAACTTGTCCAACGTCAAAGTAAACCCGAAAAGCCATAAAAAGGAAACAATTAATTGTTCCAATGCGATTATATTGGAAAGTATTTTCCGTTTCCGCTTTAATATCTTCCTCTGAAAACTGTCGACAAAATATTTCAACCGTTTCAGCGCTTAGCAAGCGCGGCTTTTGGACTCCGGGATTATTGTCACCAAATCGTAAATCTGTTAATAGAATCAAAAAAATAGATCAACAATCAATCCAATAGTTCAAACTAATTCGATAGTAAATCAATTCCCTGTTCGGTGGCGTCACCTATTACTACTAGATGGAAGATAAATTCTAAGTTCGAACTCAACTTTTAATTAGTTGAATGTTATTCTTGATGATTGAACCTTTGTCGAGTGATTTAGATTCTTCCTAAGATTAATCCTTTCCCTTCATCTCAATACAACAAAGAATAGCAATTAAGCATAAAAATAAATTGTTCAAGTTTCTTCAGGAGAGATCGAGTTGATTGATTATCACTTGTTAATCTACTAATTGATGATATTACCTTTAATTGCTTTATCAACCCAATCGTGAAGTTTATGTTTGATTTGTGTTAATGATGTTTCCTGATCAGCTGGAGTGAATATAACTGAGGAAAGGAAAATAGATTGACGAGAATAGCAACTTTCATCGTCGGGTTTAAGGCCACCCCCACCTTCATCTTTAAGTTTAGTCGATGGTTTCTTGGTGTAGGCCACTCTGAATATCCTTAAGTAATCACCACGATCGGAAGAGTGGGACATTGTATTGGTGTCAACGTGTTTAAAATGTTTAACCTTTATCTCAAGACATTGAGCATTCTTGAAATCAATATCTTCCCCGTTAATGGCCAACCAATCAGATGCTCGTGACATTATTCCCGATAGGTTTTCGAAAGAGGGTTTCTTAAATAGTCCACCACCGGAGAGTAGTTTAGGTGTAAAGTCACGAATCGCGACCTCCTCTTGCATCGCCTCAGGTCCAGTAAAGTAAAAAAGTCGAAGGATAGAGACACATTTACCTGGGAAAACATGAAGAGTTTCCTCAGTATCGATCTCCCAATCAGAATTGGCCGGAAAATAAAGTGTCTCAATGGTTATTGAGCTTCCTTTCACTTCCCCGGCCCGAATTGCACTGTTGGCACGTTCAATGACAGTTTCCAGCCGTTCGAAGCGAGTCGACTCATCGGCCTCATCTTTTTCCGGCCTAAAGTCAACATAGCTCAAAATCTGAGGAATCATCGATTTCTCATCGGTACCATTCTTGTTATTTGTTCCATTAGTGGCCTCGATTTCCGGGACTACTTCAATTCCGTTAGATCTATTGGTATCGTTGGAAGATAAATCGATCTCTCTTCGTTTCAACCAAAGTCTATAAATAATCAGGCCAAAAAGTAAAGAAAACAATTAATCATAATAATCGAATCATTTTTTTTTACAACAATAGAAAAACAGTTGAATTTTGATGGGAAGAGAAAACAAAAGTTCTCAGCTGAATAATAATAAATCATGGAATCAGAACTTTTCGATGAGCATTCTAAAAGATATAAATACAAATGAATAAAAGTAAATAACAGCATCAGAGGCAATGGAAAGAAAGTTCTGAGCTCTAACTTGGTAGGAGTGGATGAAGAAAATGATAATTTGTAACAATCAATCAAATCACAAGTCCATCGATAATGTAAATCGTTGAGGAGGTTCAAGAATGACCATGAAAACGATGAATCATTTTCTAGTCTCCATGTTTTCAGTTGAATCGATAAAAAAATGCTAAGGAAAAGGACGAAGTGAATCGTAAAGTGTATTCATGATCATAGAAAAAAAAAGATATTCTTGATAGATAAAGAGGAGAAAAAAATTCGAAAAAAGTTATTTTTTATCCTTTTAAAATTCGTTCAACTAAACTTAGAACTTAGAACATAGAACTTATTTATATTTCTCTCTTTCGAAAAACGAAAAGTCGTTTTGTTATCAAGAACAACTGATGAATGAAATAAGAATTTTCATCATCATTATCATCATGTTTCCTTCTGATGGATAAACAAACATGAAGAATTCAATGGAACAGGAAAGTTTCTCATTCGCTTCCGAAAGAAAAAAAAACTCTCTTCCAATTCATCTTTTCCTCTTTAAGAGAAGGCAAAAAAAAAAGATGATGATGATGATGAAGATAAACTAGTAAATCACTTAATCAAAAGAATCAAAGATAATCTGATGATCATTGAGATGATAATCTATTAGTACTTCAAATTGTCAACACAATCGTTACATGGAGAGTTAACTTTTCTCAGAATGAATTTATTGCTTCCATGAATTGAGAGTTTGAGTCGTTGAGTTGGACGATAATCGATATATAAAAGGAACCAAGATATTCCCATGAAAAAAAAGCAAAAGTTCTGGATGATGATGATGAAGATAAATGTCACGATTCAATAAATGACCCGAATTGACCATCATCTTCATGATAATAAATTAATTCATCTCAATGATAAGGGAACAATAAAATTATGTCACAATTGTTAATAAATGTTATCCCAATCTACAAGTTCTGACATTTTATACCCAATCAACATATCAACTTTTTTGGACGCTAAATGAAAATTCATGGACTCTTTTTGGAGTCCAATTTGGAGTTCAAAAAAAAGAAGACTAGTTTTGATCTCATGATGACTCCAAGTAGATTCCAAAAATAATGATTCTTGGATTCAAGAATCTTGAAAAAGTAGAATCAAAGTTTGGGAAATCTAGTTGATTTTTAAAGTTTTGAAGAGGGAGATGAGATTCAATTCAAACTAGAAAAAAATTAAATTTTCACTACATACTAGTTAGTTTGAACAAACACATTGATTATAATTCTAAGAATCAAGGTTTTTAATTTTCAGTTATGGATCTTTTTCAAATCACAATGGTGAGATCAACGGAGATAAAAATTTGGTGAAAAGTTACAATTTCGGAGAATCAATGATTCTTGATTTAACATTTTGTTGTGTAAAATATGATTGAAATTCATTTAGAAAATTTGTACTGAGATATTTGAAAAAGTAAAATGTTCTGGAATATTTGATATGAAATAAAGCTCTTAAGAAGATTCAACGTGAGAATAAATTGAAAAGAAAAACAATTGAAAATTGGATCTGAGATATTGAATAATTAGAAAGTGTCCATTTCTTGTATTTCCATTTCAAAATCCATAGAATTGTTGTTATTGAATCTTTTGGTGGCTTTTTTCTCCAATCTTTGATAATCCTTAATTGCGTATATAAAATTTAGAATCATTTGGAATCTTTGTTTCTTTTTAATGACTTTGTTTTTTTTAAAGAAAATTCGAACATTTTGATATCTTTGAATATATTTCATGATAACAACTTGAGGGAAGAAGAAAAAAAGGAAATTAATTACAGGTGTTCAGAAAAGAAAAAGCTAAATTCAACAAAATGTTCGAAAAAGCTAAATACTAACCTTTACTCATTTTTCTAAATCTTACTTTTCTGATCTTGAAGAAATGATGAAGATTTGAAGATATTGATAAATGATGAAGATGATAAAGATGATTGAGATGATGGAGATGATGAAGAAGAAGAGTTTCACTAAGATGATTGAATAATTAACAAGGATAAGCGATGAATTGTCTGAATTGGAATCACCTTTGATCTTTCGACGCTTATTTCATAGAAACACAAATTGATGAATTTTTAATCACTTTTTTTTGAAAGATTTAGTTGATTTTAAATAAATTTCCTTGTGACACTTGTTGCTTGGAAGATTAAGTAACAATTTAAAACTAGAAAAATGAATAAATGATTAACTAATCACAATAAAGAAATAAAATTTCAAAGAAAATTGAATGAACACTGAACAATGTAAGAGCGTCAAACGTTAACTAGGAAAGGGTCAACCACGTGATCTCTTTGATGCTTCGGACTAAGTTCGGTGCTCGGAATGTAAAAAGCTTTCTTAGTCTTTGCCGTTAACATGATCAAAGAAAAAATCTCTTGAGATCTTTTTTGAACTTTAACTTCATGAATATGATCAATTCGAATAACGAACCTTCCTGTGAATCCACTGTGGTCAAATTTCACCGCATTTGTAGGAATCTGCCTACAAATCGCCACAGGACCTTGACTTCTTATTCTGACAATGGATATGATTTCCCAGAATCCTCCATCAAACTTCTTGATTACCGAATCATTTCGCTTTTTACCAGTCACATATTTTTTTGATGAGAATCTTTTTTTGTTGATCGAAACACTCTTGAAAAATTCGACTTCATTATCTTCCAAAGATATTTCTTCTCTAATTATTCTTAGAAATTTGATTTTATCAACTGGAAGCACTTTATCTTTCATATAAATTGTTTTTCCATTACCTTCAACGAATTTGTTGAATCCAAAATCTTCCATTTCAGACTCGTTCAATCGCCAATCATTGATCTTGGTTAACAATATTTCTTGATACTTGAAATCGTTGATAAAAGTACGTACGAGAGAAGGTGCAATATTTGAAGAACGTCGTACCTTTTCTTTAAGAATTCCCATGTAATCCTCTAAAGGATATGACGATACATTCGAATTCGGTCCCAAGTTGATCAAAGAATCTGGCATATGAGTTAAAATATGAAGATTATATGTCAAAAAATTAGTACCATAGTGAACAGCGACTCCTGATTGAAACTCTTCGATGAGGTTTCTTAACTCGTCAATTTTTTCTCTATTTATTTGACCTCGATGTGATAAGAAATAAATTCTGACTAAGCACATCATGTGTTTTACTACCCGTGGCTTGAGAAGACCTTTGATCGTGGAGAACAGGTAATAAACTAGGAAACTGTCGAATTCAGCGCTTTTCCAAAATCGTAGCTGATTTAGATCTCGAGGAGCACGTCCAAAGTCAGTGGGAACTTTAATCTGCAGCAATCTTGATGAGAGAGCTTCTCTCAGAATATTTCTATTGACATCTCTTTCAAAAAGATCAAGTTGATCAGTTCCAAACCATCCTTTGGTAATCAAAGATCTGAAAATCCCCAGAACCAAGCAATGCATTGGTTCAACGCTAATACTTTTCACCATGTCAAATGATGACAGTTCAAGAAATGGCGAATTTCCATTTAATCCTGCGAATCTCTGATTCAACGAATCATCACCGTTTTCTAAACCAGAATCAGCGAATCTTATAAAGTCAGAATGTTTTCGTTTCAGTGTATTTGATTCTGATCTTTCCAAATTAGGGAAAACTCTTGCACCTCTTGATGAAGATGCTTTGATGAGACACCAATCACATCCATGTATGTGATTAAATTGACGTACTGACCTGAGATAGGCTCTCATAGGTGCATCGGCAATAAGACAAACTAAATGAAAAGTACATTTCCATTCTTTATTCTGTTCATCGATCCAAGAAACTGGGATATTCTCCAGACTCTTGAGTTCTTGTATCAAAGGTCCAAGAAAGCTGGAAACTGAAGGTTTATTTTTACCAACGAATAGATTAGCGAGAAAGAAATGTTTTCTTCTAAATTCAGGCTGAATTTCATTGATTGAAATAAAAATAGGAAATATCTTAACTGTGGAGCTACTTCCCGCCTGGACCTCGTCACCATGAATAGTCAATGTCAATTTTACAACTCCATTTTCGGAAACAGAAGATTTTATTTTCTTAGCTTGAGTAGCTGAAGAAACATCATCATTGATCCTTGAACTTGCTATATTCCAACTTTCAGATGGAATCGACGGTAAATGGTTTTCGAATTGTCGTCGTAGGCAAACATGAAGAAAGAATTTCTCACTTTTTAATGTTGCCGGTACTCTTTCTTGATAGCAACTGTAGAATCCGAAATCTTTGGGGTCGCCTTTGAAGGGCCCATGTGAGTGACCATTATCACAAATCAAATAAGTATGAATCAAATTTTCTTTTGATTGTTTGTCCCAATGGTACCGAGCACTTGGTAGTAGAACTGGATTCTTGGAAAATCTGAAATTCAAGTTGTTCACCAAATTCACCATTGAACTTGCTTGCAAAAGATTGAGGCCAACAACAGACATCATACATGACAATACTGCTTCACAATAATCTTTTTTGGATGGTTGTTTTTTGTCTGAAGAGTTATGATTCAAACTTTCTGGATCAGATTCGTTTTCTGATTCAGAAAAACTGGTTGATTCTATTGATTCAGAATCAACCATTTCACTTTCAGAGCCATCAAATTGATTAGAAACATCAGAGTCTTGATCTTGGAAATCCGGTAAACTAGAAAGATATGACTCTTGTGAGCTTAAATGAATCGCTCTATTTTGCCTGTTGATTGAACGTGAGGATAAGAGTCTTCTAGAAGACATAGTTAAAGAATCGATGGTTTGAACACTGAGAACACGTATAAAGATTAAATGAGAACAGAATTTAGAACTAAATTGCACCAATTAAAAATTTATTCTAATTAAACTAATTAAGAATAATTAATTAACAATTTTAGAATTGGAGAGAAAGACATGTGAAGCAAACTAAAGAGAATATTTAACCTTCTCGGTTACCATGGAGAAAAGAGAAAAGAACATTTTTTATTCTATTCTCCCGTTGCCTAGCAACTGTTGATCTTTCTTATCTAATCAAAGAGTTAAAGAGGCAACATCAAATTTATCAAAATCGGAAGTTGTTTTTTTAAATTTTCTGTATTTTAAACGTGTAAATTTTACTGTTCATTTTAGTTTTATAACGAGTTTAAAAAAAGTATTTTGATTTTAGTATCATTTCCGTGATTTTTATGAACTTATCTTCTCGTCGAAAGACGATTTCTATCAAGTTGAAACGTGTATCAAAAAACAAGCGTAAATATATTCACCATCAATCAACTCTTGTCAGTACTCTTTGTCATTTAATGGCGGGTCAAAAATCTCTAGTTTGTATTCTAAGAGTTAAGAACTCGAAAAATGAATCTGTTATTCCGGTTGGATTCAAATTGGATGAAGAAAAGATTCCATCTTGTCTGACTCTACTTGAACTATCTCCTGAAAACCTCATTGAGATCCAAATTGATGGTCATAAAGAAATACCCGCTATGATAGTAGCAAAAGGCGGTAAGTGATTCTCTCTTTTTGAATATGATTCGGAATTCTAATTTCTTTTAATTTCAATAGATGATTCTCAGGATTTGCTCAGTTCGTATTCTGCGTTCTTCAGGAAAGAGAAAAAGCGTCTCACTCGTTTGTCATCAAAGATCGATAACTGGATCAATTTGAATAACATTCTGGTAACATCTATAACTGGGTCATCATTGAAAGCTATAAATCAATCTGACTTTGATTCATTTTTCAAGAGAGTCTCCATTTTGGAAAGAAGAGAAAGATCTCAATCCAAGAGAATGTCAGTCACCGTGTCAAGTTCACTCTCTGATAATCAAGAAAATGAAGATTCTTGTTCAACTTCAAAGATCCAGACGAGATCCGAGATCAAAAAGGAGAAACAAGAATCAGAGACAACTTCAAATTATGAACTCAGTCCAGACGATGTTAAGTTGAAAATGAAAATTGTGGATATTAAATCAGCTCTAGCAGATTTTAACTCATCTCTTGAATCTCTCCCAGAATATGACTACTATTCAACTCAATTCAAGCATATTGGGAAGATGGTTAACTTGATAATTGATACATTTTCTTCGGTCAAGATTCCACTTTCTACTGGAGTTGAAGCAATTAATCTTGATTCTAATTTTCCAAACTCTCGTGTATTCAAGATTCCTAAAGATGAGACTCGTGAGTCCGGTGCAAGGACATTGGTTGAAGGGTTACTTCCTGTTTCAACCAACAAGTTTAAAAGAGCCTTGAGAACTTATTCAAGTAAACAGGAAGACCGAGAGCCAACTACAATTCTAACTTTCTTTGTGAGATATTGTTTTCCGACTCATTGGATCTCGGATGTAACTATTCGTGGATCATCAGGACGAAAATCGTTATTGACTCTTTGGAATTACACAGACCCATTGTCAAATCCAGTACAGGGAAAATTTGAAACTGGACTGGGTGAAAGAAGACTGAGAGCTCTAATAAGTAAGTTCTAGATTCACGTTTATAATTATCTTAATTTTACTTTTCTTAAATTGCAGCTCACATAATGAGATCTTGTGGTCGTAATTCTTACGATTGTAGTACGGAAAAGCTTCTCGTGAATTCTCTTTCCAAGGCCTTACATTACAATCGCACTAAAATTTCAAGTCGAATCGCGAGTTCACTTGAGATACCATTTGGTCAACCAGTCTACATAAGCGAAAGTGAAAGTGATATTTCAGAACAAGAAGTGATTCCTGTTAAAAAAGATCGCAGAACGAGAAAAAGATCATCAAGTGTAGAGGAAGAAGAAAGTTCATTTACTCTTGATAACCTTGATCAAAACAAGGTGTTAAATAGTCTCGAACACAAGAACTCATCGGCACCAACTTCATCTCAATCAATACCTTGTTATATTGCTCAACCAATAAGTGAAGAGCCGATTCAAAAACGCAAGAAAGTTAAAAATGCCACAGAAAACGTAGCTGGTGCTCAAGTTCATTCCGATTGTGTTTCCGAGAATATTGAAACCGAGGCATCGATTCAAATTCCGTTCACTCAAAGCATAAGCTATGCTGCTAGCACAGCAACGCCAGTTCACATGGATGAAACTGAAAATACTGATGCAGATACGGAAATCAATGATTCAGGATTCGAGAATAAAAATTCAACCATTTCGACCGAAGAAGCCGAAAATGACCAAGGCGATGAGGCGTTGACTTCAAGCATTCGTTCAGTTGAGATGACTGATGAAATGAGCTCAGTTAATGAGAAATATTGTGAATCAAATTACGAGTCAGATAATCAGGTTGAATCAACCAAGACTGATGAAGCCAGTAGAATTGAACGTGAAAGGTCCGGTAACCGAGGCTCACTCAACAATTCAAACACTACAACTCAAATGGAGCTTAAAGAGTCTCAATCAACAAAAATTCCAGAATCTCGACCACATTGTGATCCGAAGATTTTAGAAATGCTACAAAATAATCCTGGCTTACTAGAAGCGATTGTTAATTACAGCAAACATGATAAACAGTAAGCAAATTTTCTCTGTCTCAGATGAGACAATTTACATTTACATTCAATTATTCAAACTAGTTTATCAACCAAAATTTTTTCAACAAAATTATACCTATGATCAAGTAACCAATCCAAATTAATTGAAATTTTTACCCAATCAGAAAACTAACAAATACAGTTTAAGGAAAGTTGAAAGGGGAAAGAAATAGCTCTTCCTCAAGACTTCAAATTACTAACCAATTACCTGTTCAAAATCTCACTAATATGAAATCAAGGAGATCTTTTTTCAAATAAAAGCAAATTCAATTTGCAAAATTCAGCAGTCAAGTTTTCATGCTTAATCTATTTGCTTAAACTTTCGTGTAAAACTGTGAAAATTATGTCTAGTTATCCGTTGAAAAAGTCTTTGAGAAATTCTGATATATTCGACAACTTAAGTGCTTTCTCTCAGCCAATTGTAAAACAAGTTTTCGGCGATCGAAAACAAAATCAAAATTCTCTTAAAAGTGTTCCTAAAAGTAAAAATATCGACAACATTCAATTCTCTGAAGATGAAGAATCTTCAAGTTTCTCAACGAATCAGAGTTCCAAGAAAACAAAAGTTTCTTCTTCGCCACCAACAAAAATAAAAAAACTAACAACCTTGATTGAAAAGATAAATAGCCCAAAGAAAAATTTGGATGTGATACAATCAACGAGTGAGAAAAAATCTTCATTGGTTCCAGGATCAGTTTATGCAATCGCCTTACCATTCATTCTGGATTCCACTTATTCTCCGTGTTATCAACCGCTACTAATTATGGTTAAAGAAAAACAGTTCGAAGAATTTGGATTTTCGCATCCATTTCAAAGCTTCATGGATAAAAGATTGAACGTGTTTCAAATATCTCTCAATGAATTAGAAGTAACAATTCGAATCATTGCCATTGGAGGTAAATATAGTGAATAACAATCCTTCAGTTTCATGATACTTTTTTCTTTTCAACCTTACAGATTCTGAGACTAATTTGAAGGCTTGTTATGCAAAAAATATAAAGTCAAACAGTTCATGGAAAAGTGAGAAAAAGGTTCTTAGATTCTGTGATAAGATAACACATTTGAAACACAAACCACTGGATGAAAAAGACTCAACGCCTGCTCAACTTGTGCTATGTGGGAGAACACTGAACAAGCTTTTTGAAAAAAGATCTTTGAGAAGTCAATCAAATTATTTTGAATCGGAACCTGATGTAAACAAAATCGAAATAGATGCAGATGAAGACGATTTGGCAGAAAATACTTCTGATTGTGATACCAGCAAAAGGTCCAAAGTAATGAAGAAGCAAGACTTAACGAGTGAAAGAAAGAAAAGTGGATTCAATGAATCAAAAAAATGTGGACTCAAGGAAGTAGATTCGAATCAGTTACCGGTTGAAGTTTTGAATGATGTTGAATTCATAGATATAACTCCTAATGAAAAGTTACTTCGTGAGTTTGAATCGCAGATCCGTGATCTTGACAAAAAGAAACAAAGTTTATCCATGAACGATACAACTGGTTCAATAGTTATTACTATAATTGGAGCTTTGAATAACTTATATAATATTCTGCGAGAAAAAAACAGAAAAATTCTTGAGAAAATAAATCAAGTTCCAGAAATTGATGCTACCTACAAGAAAATCCATCAGGTAATATTTTTCTCTGTGCTCAAACCTTTTCTAAATTTGATTATTTTATTCCATCGATTCTAGAATCAAATTTATATTGAAGGTTTGATAAGATTAGATCTAAATCAATATAAAGATGCGGTTCAAAAAGCAAGATCTGGTGATCCAGGAAGTTATGCGTACCAAATTATAAGAACTTGTTTTCCTGTCGAATATTATCGTGATGTCACACTTGGAAAGAAACTATTATCTAAATCTGACATTGATGAACTTTTACAAGAAAAGCAAAGAAATCCGAAGATAAAATTTCCTTTACTCTACATCTGGGGATTCAAAGAACCTTTTGTCAATAGAGAAGTCGGGTCTTTCGATTATAAGTTAGGGAAAAAACGAGTAATTGCATTCATAAGTATGTGAATAATAATGAAATATTTAATCTGATATATTAACAAATTTTTCTTTTCATAGATCATGTTTTTAGACGCGCTGATATAATGTCTTATTCAGATTCTCTTGAATTCAAAGTTCGTAAAAGAATAATAAAAGAGTTCAGTGCACGAAATGCGATTCTAAACAAAGCCCAAAATCAGGTGGACCTTGATTCTTTGTCAAACGATTCTGAAAATGAAAGTGAAAATGAAGGAACTAATGATCTTTTCGATTCTGATTGTTTCTAACTTTTTAGACTAAGATTCTGAATATTTGAAGAACTGAATAAAATAAAATTCAATTATCTTTGACAATCTGAAATAAAATTCAAACAGAATAATTATTTATCTTTGATTCGTGATCTTGAAAAGCTTACCACAGAAAAGAGAATCATTAACTCGTGAATATTGAATTTCACAATTCACAATTATTTGATTCTTTATTCATTCTCTTTCTGCAAAAGCGAATCTTACATATTTGATTCTTCAAAGCTTAATGCATTGTGTGATTCTGTTCAGTGACTTGATTTTTCTTTATTTTGAATTCTAAGATCTCTTTCAAGATTCTGCGAAGATTCATTATTTTGGAGTCCAAAAGGCTCCAAAAATGACTCGAATAGAGTCAAAAAAGTTTTGACTCCATGTGGAGTCAAAATGTCCCATGGTGAACTTTTTTTGACTCTCTTCGGAGTCTCGACTGTTGATTGGGTATTGCATATATTGACATTTTCCTTGGCCATAAAAATAGATTCTCATTGACATTTATGAAAATAATCAGATAATAACAATTAAATTGATGGATAATCATAATTATCAAAATCTTTTCAAGTTCAGCAATTGAGTTTATCTCAAGTTAATTGTTGTAATTACATTGACTATATGAGTGGTTTTGTTAGTGATTGTAAAAAATATTCCTAATCAATTGAATGGATTAAATTTTCTTATGGTTAAATTAATTGTAAAGGAAATTAAATCATTAGAGTTAAGTGGTTTTGTTGATTGACTTTTAATTAATCATTTTATTAAATTTGTGTTTGGGTTAATTGTTGAAATTTTCTGGTTCCATTGTATTTTTATCATAATTAACTTGAAATGGTTGACTGATTGTTACTATTAACAATTCACTAATCATCATGTCACCATTCACTTACCGTTAATTTAAATATCAAGACAATTAATTGAAATTGGTTACAATTAACTCTCCATTTATAATATTATTATTCAGAGTAATTCTGATGATAATAATAAATCAACTAACTGACACTTGATACATGAAAACAATATGTTGATTGTAATCATCAGAATTACAATCAATTTTTACCATCTACATAAATCAATCATATTTAAATCACTAATCACCAGAGTAATTAGATGGACTCATTTCATTTCATTCATTTTAATCAACGTAAAGGTATAATTATAATAGGAAGACAATTGTGAGAGTCTAATAATTGTTACCAATTGAAATTGGAACCAAGAAAAACTCAATTGCTCAACTATAATTAGCTATCAAATTTTATGATATTAAGCTTAATTGAATACTAAATTGTAACAATTAACTTACCTTAAGGCCATTAATGAGCTGTGGGCATCACCATCAAGGTGGAAACAGGTATCTTGAGGTGCTAATTGCCAACCATTGTCTTCAAATTTGAAAAACAATAAAACAGTTTCACAATTAATTACTTCCCAATCAGTATTTTTGGCAAGCCAATCATTACTGGCTCCTATTAGGGCACTAGAATTGATTACAATTAGTGGAAGAAATAAAAATATAATTACAATTAAGTATATTGCGTGGATTAGACTGAGAGGAGATGATCAACTTTGATCAACCTTTGCATTAATCCAACGATTAATTTGATTGAGTAACTAAAGGCAACTAGACTAGCCAATTAAAGGAAATTGTCAACAATCAATAAAATTTGAATTTTTGATAATCAAATTGTTTAATTGGGTTTGTTGAATAATGAACAAATCATCATAACTACTATTAGATTTGATTGTATTGATTACAATAAAATTTTGATTATTAAATTTTTTGAGGAATTGAAATGAAAACAATTTGATGAAAAAAAAATCACTACAATTAAGAGTTAATTGTTTGTCCTTTTGATTGTTTACTCTGAGCGGGAAAAAAAGTTACATTAATCAATCGATTGAGTAAATGATAGCTAATGATTAGCTAATTAAGTTGGAAATTGTGAATCAACTGGAAGAGTTTTTTTTTATAAATACACAATTAACTTGATTATTGTTGTATTGATGAAAAATTGTTTCAATTTAATGATTTTGATCACAAAATTGTAGCAATTAAGAGGATAATTAACCTTTGTTGCAATTGATACTCAAGTAAAGTAAAAGGTTGATTCTGAATGCAACTAAGAATTAACTTAATTAAAGGTTGATTATTTTGCATAAAATTAAATTGTCGAGTTTAATTGTTCTATCGTTAATTAGTCACTCGAATTACCTGAAACTATGGTAAGCAATTGATTCCCTTTTAGCGGGAAAACCCGTCGGTGGTTTTTTCAAAACTCCTGGAATCACATCAATAAAGGTGAACTTAACTTCGGGTGAAAGTCCAGAATCAATGACCACTGGATCTTCAGGGTGAAAGGTTTCATTACGATCTCGCCACAAGATGTGACCAATATAACCAAAGGCCATCGGTGAATTCAGGCTTACAATCAAAGGTAATTTACTAACATGAAGAAAGAAACAAAAAAAAATCAATCGAGAAGACAAAAAGATGAACTGAATTAACTGTTTAAAATGAGATTTAATAACAACAACAATGAATTAAACTGTTGTTGTCTGGTGAAAATAATGATACAATCAACAATTCAATAAACTATTGTTGATAATCACGATATCAGATGATTAAATTGTCCGGTTCAATCAGTTGATTATGTTGATGTTAATTGTAAATGATTGTAAAGTTAAAGGTGATCTATTGATGTTAATAAGGTTACTAGGGAAAAGATAAATTTGATAACTACTGAATTGAAGTAGGAAAGTTTCATGCTCAGTTAAAGTTGTTAAGTGAGAAGATGATATTATCTTCATGATGATGATGACGATGATAGGAAATGTTCAAAGTGCTAGGGAGATCTGGTTTGAATCGATCGATAGAACAAAAAAGTTCGAGAGTCGATATTAACTATTTGGATGTTATATTTTTTCTCTCTCTCTCTCGGTTTGGGTGATGAAATTTCATTCTGAGTTACGAATGCGCGATTCAGTTGACTAACCATCATGATGTTGATTCTTTGGGTGATTTACTTCTAGAACTTATTACTTTCTCATCGATCTTTTCTTTTCTTTTTTCTCTCTCTTTTTTTGTTCTATCGAATAGAATTTTAATTTCCCTTCTCATCCTGATTCTCCTCTCCCTCTCTATTTATCTTCCATCTCCCCTGTAAATAGTTTTCTTTTCTCCATCATATATTGATGATCTTTTCATCCATCTAGAATTTAATTATCGATAAAATGATCAAAATCGAATCAAAATTCCAATAAGAAAATTCTATTCTCACAATTGAGGTTTTCGATATTCAAACTGTTGCTCTTTTTATGCATTTAAATGCTTTTTTCTCCAGTTAATGTTGCGAATTTCGATTTTCTCCAATTCTCATCTATTGATTTACTTTAAATTGTTTCAATTTTATTGTGGACTTTGATCGTTAATCCAATCAATTGGAAACAAAATTCTTTCGAAAAATCAATTTGAATTGACCGCTTTTTCTTTCCCATTGGAAACATTTGTCATCTGGTTGTTCACTTTTCGGTTACATTTTTGGGTTTCATTTCATTTTAATTGTTTGGGTTAATTTTTTTTCTATGACCAATTGTCACTTTCGGACAATTAACTAATTGTTGACTATGAGAACTTACGGTGATAGACCAACACCTTCAATTGGATGAAAAGGACGGAGTATTATTATATTGGATCAGAGGTAAGTTAATGTTGGGCTTTGGTTTCTGTGTATAAGATGAGCCTCTGATCTTTTAGGTATAAATTGTCACCGATTATATTGTTAAATTGTTTTAATTGTTGATTGTTTTCCATCTTTAATCACTTGGTTTTGTCTCTTCTTCTAGGTTGGTAATTATTTACGTATGTTCAGAGGATCTCTTTATAAAAAGTATCCTTGCTTATGGCGTCGTTTGGTTACTGTTGATGAAAGGAAAAAACTTGCTGCTTTAGGTGAGAATTGATTGGTTTTATATTTCGAATCTTTTTTTTTGTTATTTACTGTTAATTTATTTCGATTATTATATTCATTTTTATTTTCGTTTGTTTAGGTTTGGGTCCCCACAGTTTGGCTACAAATATCACTCTTCTGAAAGCAAGTGAAGTTGATGAAATCTTCCATGGTCGAGATGAAAAATATAAGGCCATCTCTATTTCTAGTGAACCTCAAACCCAAAGGTAATTTTTGAGATTTTTTTGTTAGATTGTGATTCATGTTTGAAACTTATCATGATTGTTGAAATTTTGGTTACTTTGAATTTTGTAAATTTAGAGAGACTAAATCGAAGAGAGCAAATTGGGTCCATGCATCATTACCAAATAGTAGTCATCATCTTGATGCTGTTCCATGTTCTACTCCAGTCAGTCGAAATCGTCTTTCTGGTAAAAAGGTTCGAACTTTTCCTTTGGCATTCGATGATTTAGACTCTGCTATCATCCATGAGAATGCTAAGCAACCCGATGTTCTTGTCCCTATTCGTCTTGATATGGAAATTGATGGATACAAATTAAGAGATACATTTACGTGGAATAAAAATGGTCAGAATCAAATGCGAACATTTAAAATCAAATTTTACCAGTTTGCAAGTTTAAATATCTCTCTTACTGATTGTATTGTTTTCCATTTCTTAGAACAATTAATTACTCCCGAATTATTTGCTGAAGTACTTTGCGATGATTTAGATCTTCCGACTGCAGCGTTTGTCCCAGCCATTGCTCAGTCAATTCGACAACAAATTGAATCTTTTCAAACGGACACTCTTCTTGAAGAACAAACTGACCAAAGAGTCGTTCTTAAGGTAAAGTCAAATTCAACTTAAATGAAACTCTAATTTTCGACAATTCTGGTATTCTAAAGTTATTTTTCTTATTCTCTGGATAGTTAAATATTCACGTTGGTAACATTTCTCTGGTCGATCAATTTGAATGGGATATGTCACAGAAAGAAAATAGTCCCGAACAATTTGCTTTGAGACTTTGTTCAGAACTTGGTCTTGGTGGTGAATTTGTCACCTCAATCGCCTACAGTATAAGAGGACAATTATCATGGCATCAAAGGACATACGCTTTCAGGTAATAATAATTGGCTCAATTCCATCACTGAATTAACATTTGCCCTTAAAAGAGAAACAAAATGTTATTATGAATTTTATTCTCATCTAAATCCACAGCGAATCTCCACTGGCCACAGTAGAAGTACCTTTCCGAAATCAAGCCGAATCTGACCAATGGTGTCCATTCCTTGAAACCTTGACCGATGCAGAGATGGAGAAAAAGATTCGAGATCAAGACAGAAACACAAGACGAATGCGAAGATTAGCCAACACCGCTTGGTAAAACTGGCCCCTCATCTCTAGGTCACTTCTAGTGGTCATTATAAAATGTTCATCTTCACCATCGTCTCAATATCGTCATCCAAACGAAAAAAAAATTATTCAGCTGGACACAATCAAGATCTTAATCAGCTATAAAATTGCAATGTCTCTTTTTTTATTTAAATCTTAAATCATCAATTTGCTGTTTCACAAATTCTCAAACAAATTTAATTTATCACAATTAAGTGTTAACCTTTCACAAAGCAAAAAAAAAATCTCCAAAAGTTTCCAAGTCATAACAAGTTACCTTAGGCTTGAAACAAACTGTAATCAATCACAACTAAATATACCTTAATTAACACCAATTAACCACTTATACATACACTAACTTAACGAAACAATTTAACATAACCTAAAATGTTAATTAGCGAAAAAAACATTTTGATTTAATCAACAATTGATTTTAAAAAGTCAACTTGGATTGAAATCAAATTAATCTTCAACTAGTCCTAGGTCATGAAGGTGTTGATATCAAGATACAATTACAATTAAGTGTTTCTAATCAAACGGATCTAGATTGTCTGATGGTAAAGTCTTCCTGATCTCAATTAAATGTTTTTGATTGCCAACAATTTAATAAAATCAACAAGAGGTCAACACAATTGAAAAAAAATCACAGAAAAACAATTAATGAATAAACAAAAACGATGATTGATTTTTTGTCTACTCGATTTAGTTTGGATTGTTCATCAAATCAACAAGGTCAGTTAGTTAATTGTTGACAATTAACAATCCTGATGAACACAATGAGATGAACAAAAAAACGATCAATTAACGTAAGACTTTTTTTCTCAATTCCTACAAATTATTTAATTCCCTTCAACAATTAACTGATTACACTAACAGATTGGAACATTTTTTTTCTCAATCGTCTTCATCTTCTTACTATGTTTCGTCAGCCAACCGATGATTTTCATCTTGATCATCATCTTAATCATCATTAACACGGCGATTCACTTGATTTAATTGTAATCCAACCTTTCTCTTGATTCCATGTGATTATAATCATGATTATCACATTTTCCCTCCTCTTAACTTGTTTACAATTAACAAATTAGCTAGAAAAAAAAAGTTCGTGAGTAGATATAAATCAAAGTGATGCCATCGATTGGGATTTAATCAACAATCGTAAGTGATTATCGGAAAGTGATTAGTTTTTTGATACTTTGTGTTTGTGATTGTGTGATCAACGTATTGGTGTTAAATTTGGTTACAATCATGATTTACCTCTCAGTGTTTTCACCGATCACTTTGTTAATTATTGGTGCTAATTGTGTTCTAAGTGAAAATAATTCATCAACTTCCCCGACATTATCACCATCATCATCAACAACACCATCGACATTGAGTGATTTAGTTGTTTCTAATCCACTTAAAGCTGTTAGTTCATTAGATGATGATTTAATTGCTGAAGGAACTCATCGTCATTACAAGGAAGAGGTATCATCTTAAATCAACAATCAGCTGTAATTGTGATCTATTTGGATATTAAATCTTTTTCTCTCTCTTTTCTGCCCATCAGGTTCATCATCATCATCATCACCATCACCATGAGCCTCATCACGCTCATCATCATCACTCTCATGTAAGTTTTTCATGTGAAAATTAATCGTTTACATGGGAATTTGATTCGCGAAGAGCCTTTGATAGTTTGTCTTTGAAGAAAGTTTGATACGATTGCAATTTGATCGTTAATTTGGACCGAAAAATTGGAATTAGTCAATATGTCTCTCGATTAGAAAGACACTTTCACGAGAAATTTTCTCGGGTTGTGAACTGGACTTTCGATTAACAATTAAGAGGCTTATCAAAAGTTTCGAATTCAATATCAATCAGAAAATATTCTTTCGATTATCATAGAGATGAAGCTCTTGTCAATATTTCGTTAGAGGCTCGAAAGCTACTGATTTGTTCATTCGTCGATGATTAATATTCACTGTTTATATTTTAGGGTCATAAACACGGGCACCATCATGGTCATCAACATGGTCACTCTCATGGGCATTCTCATGGTAAGTTATCAGCATTTCGGTCTTTTGCTTTGCGTCTGTTTTTCATACGTTTCTTAATCTAAAATCAACCTCAGGTCACGGACATGGACATAAACATGGTCACAAACACGGACACGAACATGGCCATGAACATGGACATTCACACAATCATGGACACTCTCATAAACATGATCATGGCCACGACCATGGTCATGAACACGGTCACGAGCACGGGCATGAAGCAGCTCATAATCATGGTAAGTTGACAAAAGATGATCAATTATCTTATTCAAATCTTAACAAAACTTTCAAACTAATTATTTTCAGGTCACGAGCATGGACATACACACGGTCATGAACACGAACATGGACATGGACACGCGCACGTAAGTTGAAGTCTTAAAATCAAATTATCATAAAAGTTGCGTTGGCTTTTTAGGTCTACAGATTTGCTTGTTATTAGTTTCTTTCAGATCAATCAGAGTATCGATATGATTTTTCTGGAATTAAAATGAATTCATTTTTACGTATTTACACCCAACTAGAGAAAGTCGAAATCGTTTCTATAGATCGATAAGCTTTCGAGAGAAATATTCACTTAATATAAAACACTCATGGAAGTTGATGATATTCATTAGAAAATGAATAGTTCTGATAACCATTTTCAACCATTTGATCGAACATCGTTTTACCATTGCCACGAACTTATTTCCCGTTCATTTGAATGGCTGTTGATCTAATTTGTTATTTTGTTTATCTCTTGAAGGGCCACGAACACGGACATGAACATGGTCATCAGCATGGACACGATCATGATCATGCTCATGATCATAAACACCATCACCATCATCACCACAAAGAAAAGAGCAAAAAGTCAGGATGGTCTGAAGATGTTCATGAAAAGGAATCAAAATCTCCTGGGAAAAAAACATCACTAAAGAAAAGCGATTGGGATAAATTGAAAAAGTATCTTCTCGATCAAAATGCTCAAGTATTCGTAGTTGAATGACCAATGGTCAAACTAAGAAAAACCTAATCAGCTAATCATCTTTGTCCAAATTTTTACACAAAGAAATTTAATTTATTAATAATATTATCAAACTGTTGATCGGTTTGAAGTCAACCATTTAAAACAGAAACCGAAACAATTGCGTCCAAAATTTTTCAACAATCTAAACACGAGTACAGCCAATTAACTGGTAGAAACTCAACAATCAACAATTAATTTACAATTAAAATCCTTTATTCTTAGTTGAATAAAATTGTCCAACAAAAAACCACAAAACTGAATCATTTTACTATCAACGATAGATAAGTAACTCTCAATGGTGATAATACTAACCAATGGGTAAATCAATTTATTAATTAAAGCATTTGATGTGACAATTAAGTGGCAGCAACACCAAGATTTGCCAATTGAGGTATATTTGGTTTGTACATTGGATTATGAATGCTGTAGATGCCATTTTCCGTTGGAATCCGATAAACGATATCCTTATATTTACGATCCATTTGATTCTTAACTTGATTAACTGTTTTAAACAAGCGATTTAACATTTTAAAGTAAACAAATGAAGCCAATCGATAGAAAATTGTCAATTTAAGTAGATAATTAACCAATAATACTTGTAATTTATACGATATTGCGGTTGTCCAATTGTCCAGTACAATTTCATGTGGTACATTTAATGATTCATACCAATATTTCATGAAACCTTCATAACTGAGGATAATTTTTGGAATTGAAATATTCAACCCAAGGAAAACCCCTTCAGTTAATTGCATAGCTGCTCGGACAATTGAATTGGGTTGGTCAAGGTAAGGTTTGTATCCACGATCAAAGCAAATCTCCATAAATTGTAAAGATTCATCGTAATTATCAAGGCAACAATTAAACTGATCTTCGATTCCCATACAGTGACCAATAACTCGCCAAAAATAAATATACTCCTCGAACTCTTCCCTGTATATATATATATTTTTTCAACATGGAAAAAACAATTAACTTAAATTGTAGATTGTTAATTTGTACTAAATTACCTTTTAGTTGAATAGAAACCACATTGTTTGGGTCTAATTGCAACAAGACCAATTAAACTCCATTGGGTCATCGTCATGTCAAATTGACTGAGCCAAAGGTCATTTGTCATTGGGTATTTTTCATTCATCAATTTGGACACTTGAAGGTGACATGAACGTCGGACTTTGGATAACGATTTATTGGCCTTAGAACCTTTTTCAAAGGGATTATCCTGATACCAGGAATCAACGTGATTAATTGTTGATAAAATCCTCAAGAAAACCATGTAAACGGTTGATGACCGTCCAGAGGCAAAGATGGGAATGGTCACTCGAGGCAGAAGGACCAATAATATATTACCAATGAAATGAGCGATATGTAAACTGGACAGTGGTAAACGAAAGGGAAAGAGAGAGAATTAGAAATGCAAATCAATTGCATTTGCTACTGATTGCGATTAGAGGTTAATTTGATAATCATTGGTAAATGGATCAATTCTTGCAGAGGAAAAAAATGATTCTCAAAGGATTAAGTTAATCGTAATTACTATAAATGGAAAGATAATCAATTTATCATTATCTTTGTTCCTGTTTAATCAAATTTATCATGATTACTTTATTGTTAGTTAACTGATTGCGTGTAGACAGGATTTACTTAATCATATTGGCAAAACCTAATTGTGATCATGAAAAATGAAAATTATTGTAATTGACAATTAATGGTTAGCTCGATGTTAACTTTTGTTCAAAATCAAAATGATCAACCAATTTATTGATTGTTACTTTTAATTTTCATCACTATGTTTACCTCAAAATCAATTATTATTTACTTATTAAGATTATAATCATTACAATTAAACCATTTAATTAGTCAAGCTCTGTAAATTTTGTTTCTGTTTACTTTTTTGGTTCTTGATGATTAACAAATTGTGAGGTTATTTTTGGCTAATAATGGACACTGGTCATTACCGATCAATAAATTACTCGTAGTCTATGATTATCATTATTATTATTAGGATGAAGGAGAGCAAATAGTTTATTTAGTTAATCTTGATTGTCGTAAAAAAACTAATTTCTGACCAATGTCCACCTAAATACAAACAACAATTAAGCTAAAAGTAAAACTCAATGATTTACATGATAATCAAATCAATCGTGACTGAGTTAATTGTTTAACATGAACATTATTACCAAAACCATAATGGTTTGATCATCTCAATTTACTATTATTGATTTAATCATAACTGCCCATTGTTTACAAAATTAGCTTAATCTTGATGGTTAAATTTCAATACTGAACAAAATTAGTAAATTGTTTATTCAAAAATTTAAATTTCATAGGAACATGACGATAAATCAACAATTAAACCTCACCTTTAATTGTCTAACTGAATCAACGTTAATCATGTTGATCGATTATCCTGAGTATTAAATTAAATTACCAAAATTTTAACAATGAAAGTAAATTACGTTCACAAAATTGATTATAATTATCATGTAAGGAAATCTAAAACTTTCGCAAAGTTAATTATGGTTGATTGTGAATTAGTTAGCTAGTTAATTAGTTAATTGATTCTTACCTGAAATAATATTTCTTTGCAAGTTTTTGAGCTCGAGTGAAACGATCAAGATTAAACCAATCGGGCGGATTATCCAATGGGGATTTGGATGATACAACCCCGGGGGTTTGTTTACCCATCGTTGATAAATTAAACCACAGTTTCTCAAGTTTATCATCATATGTTTTGGTTAATTGTGACGAAGGGGATTTAAGTAAATCCATTTTCAGAAGATTACATTTACTAATCTCACATGAAAAGTAATCAAAACTAAATTGTTGTTTCCTTGGGTTGATGTTTACCTTTATGGTTTGAACATTAAGACCACGAGTTTGAAATCAACTGATGTCTCCTAATTGTTATCATGATTAACTGATTTTTAAGGTGGTCACGGAAGTCTGAATCCTCGATCATCACCTCGAAATCATATCAACTTGAAATTGAAACATTCTTACAATCAATAAATTGCCTCGAGGATCTTGAATCAAATAAACAACAACAAAGTAAACAAAAAGTGACATTTAAATGAAACCAGTTTTTTTTTCAACTAATTATTATTATAAAACATAATCACTTTCATTAATAATGATTAACATTACAATAACAATAACAATTAATATTAAATTGTGTTGATTTTAATAGTAAGATGATTGAAAAAAGTTTACTAATTGTAATGAAAATAAATTGTAAATGGATACACAATTGGTTACCTATTGATTGTTGTTTCACTTTCTTATTATTAACTGATGAAGAAATTGATTTAGTTGATAAACACAATTTAATTTAAATATTCAGTTCACTTTGCATAGTTAATAGTTAACAATTTATTAGATTGAGATGTTAATTATGCTCTAATAATTAAAAGTAAAATGAAGAAAGTGAAAGTAATCAAATTTTGTTGTTTTTTTCGCTGAGGTCAAGATACTTTAATTTCACTAATCGTAATGGTGATTAAGGTCATCTTATCAAAGGTTAATCACCAATTAAACTCACGAATGGAAAGTTTAGTGAACTTTAATACAATTAGAACGATTTTAATTAGTATTATGATTAACAACAAGAGAAAAATTTTCAATTAGAAAATCGAATCGATATTGATTTTCTTTTCCTTCCATCAGCTGATTGATTTTTAATTTTTCTTCAGTAACAATGTTACAACTGTTAATTGTCTCTCTTAATCATTTTCTTTTTTTCAGTTCAATTAAATTATTCATTCCTATCTCTTAATCCCCATGAGCTTAATCATGAGATTATTCAATCAATTCTTGATAAGATTTTCTTTTTTCCTCTCAATGTTAATATAAATTCATCATCTTCTTGTATTTAGATTATATTTTCATTGACAATTCTGGTTACATGGTAATCCAACCCTACGATTCATGATAATAAAACCTACGCTTTTTTCATGATAATCAACAACCTCATCTCATTGTAATCATTTTATTATCGTCGACAATTAACTGAATAACCTTGAAAATTTTTCTTCTCCTTTATTGTGATTCATTGATCTTTTTTTTTTTTACTTCCATTGATGGTTAATGAAAATACACACAAGGAGATGGAAAACTTGATTATATTGTTATGAGGTCGATTTACTATCCAATGATTTAGTTATCATGATGATGATGATGACATGATGATAATGGTTTAATGTACATTGAGTTTGATGATGAAAATTTCCTGAATCATCATTTCCGTTTACATGATAATCATGATGATGATGATAAAAGAGGAAGAAAAAAATTCATTATTATCTTCACAATCTATTGGCTTACCTATTAATTTATATATTCTGTCTGTTTACTCAACAATCAATATAATCAAAGTTAATCAAAGGAGAATGATAAACAATCAAACAGTCAAAATTGGAACACATTAGTTAATTGTTAATAAAAGAGAGAGAGAGAGAGAGATGGGAATTAATTGTCAACTAATATTATCAACGGTCGAATAACAATTTTCGAGAAAATTAAACAACAATCAACAGAAAAAGAGTAAGAATTTCAATTTCAATTTCATTCTCGTTCTTATCATTAAAATTTATTACCATTGATTTATAATTTTCTATTCCAATTGTAAACAATTAACTAATTGTGTCAATATAATTCAACTCGTATTCGGAAATTTTCAATTCTCTCAATATCATGTTACTTTTTTTTCTCAAACTCATTAGTATTTTCTATCTCTAAGTGTTTTCTTCATTTATAATAAAATAAACATCGCAACAATTACTTTAATTGATTAGAGAAAAAAAAAGAGAAAACAATTAATTGAGATTTAAATTGTTCCAATTTGAGAATAATTGATGTTGTTCTTTTCTTCCGTTAGATGTCACTAGTGTTTCGAAAAACATATGTGAGAATTTTTTTTTCACTTTTATTTTCCAATCATGATGATAATCAGGAAGATGAATTGACTTTTATCATCATTTAGTATTAATTATTTTTATTTAGTAATTTATGTGCTACCTTTATTTTTGTTCCTATGCTCACCTTAATCTCTATGGTCAGTTAGAGTTGGTTAACTAAATTATTCATCATTTGGTGTGTTTTCATCATTTTGTATTCATTATTATTGTGAATCATTTTGTATCTTTTTTTTTTGTTTCTTGGTTTTCCAGTAAATTAAACCAAAGTGAAAAGAGTGGGGCAAAGTGAAGAGCCTTCAAGGAAGGCTAGTAGGCAAGGTGAGGTGGTGGAGAAACCAAGCGAAACGAGTAAAATTAAAGCAACTTCACAAGAAAATGAGCCTCAACCTTTAGAGCCACAGCCACCGTCACAATTGAGTAATAAAAAGCTATCACCAACACCATCAACATCATCATCAACAACATCTCATCAAAAGAAGGTTAAACAAAGTAAAGAAGGTGGTAAAAAGAGTAAACCTCTTAACAAAACTGGATCTAAACAATTATTTGGTATAACTATTGATTCTGGTGGTCCAAGTGGTGGTGGTGTTGGTAACGATCAAAGAGACGGTTGTATAAGCGGTAGTGGTGGTGGTGGTACTAATACAACTCGTTCTCGTAGTAGTAGTCAAAGTAGTATTATTAGTCCAGTTACAAGTGAAACAACTCGAATGATGGAAAGATTGGAAGGTGATGAGAGCTCCCACACACGAACAATTACCCCAATCACTGGTAATCAAGCACCTCGGTTAATCTATATTACTGGAAAACACAAATTCTGCTCTAATCGTATCTCAACAGGAAAATATAATGTTTTCTCTTTTATGCCTAAATTTTTGTTCGAACAGTTTCGCCGTTATTCAAATGTCTTTTTCCTAATCATTGCCTTGTTACAACAAATACCCAATGTTTCCCCAACCGGACGTTACACAACCGCTGTACCTCTTTTCTCAATCCTTGCTGTTTCCGCCCTCAAAGAGATTTTTGAAGATATCAAACGTCACCGAGCTGATAGAACAGTTAACCGTTCTAAAGCATTGGTTTTGAATAAATTTACTAACCAATGGGAGATGAAATTTTGGATGGACATTATGGTTGGTGATGTTATTAAAGTGAAAAATGATGGCTTCTTTCCAGCTGATCTACTGTTACTCTCTTCATCAGAGCCTAATGGTATGTGTTACATTGAAACCGCTAACCTTGATGGTGAAACGAATTTAAAAATACGTCAATCACTTGCTGCAACTTATCATTGTGTCACCAGTGAACAATTGGTTAATGATTTATCGCTTGCCTCAGTTTCCTGTGAACCTCCTAATAAACATCTCTATGAATTCCATGGTAACCTGAAAGTTGGTGATACTCTTTATCCAATTAATCCTGATCAAATTTTACTTCGTGGAGCTAAATTAAAGAATACCAATTGGATTTTTGGTACCGCTTTATATACTGGTCATGAGACGAAACTTATGATGAACAGTATGTTACAAGCACCATTGAAACAATCTAGAGTTGAAAAGTTAACCAATTCACAGATTCTTAATCTATTTGGTATTTTACTTTCAATTGGAGCGATTTCAACAATAGCTAATCTTATCTGGAATAATGGTTCAGAAAATCATTGGTATCTTGATGAGAAATCAAGCTCATCCAATTTCGCTTACACTTTTCTTACCTTTTTCATCCTTTACAATAATCTTATTCCCATTTCACTTCAAGTAACCTTAGAGGTGGTTCGATTTGTACAAGCTCATTTTATCAATTCAGACCTGGAAATGTATTGCCCCGAGTCTGATACTCCTGCTATGGCGCGAACATCCAATTTAAATGAAGAACTTGGCCAAGTACGTTACATTTTATCCGATAAAACGGGAACATTAACTCGAAATGTTATGGAGTTTCGGCAATGTTCAATTGCTGGTATAATTTTCTCAACCGAAGAAGCAGAGAAAATGGTTAATTTGATCAACACTAGTCAAGAAAAGGGACATTATGTAAGAGAGTTTTTAACTCTAATGGCAATTTGTCACACTGTTGTTCCTGAGAAAAACTCTGATGAAACTAGTGATTCTAATGGTATCAAATATCAAGCTGCCAGTCCAGATGAAGGTGCTCTTGTCAAGGGAGCATCAAATATTGGCTTTAAATTTACCACTCGAACACCCGATTATGTTTACATCAATGCTCTTGGTCGTGAAGAAAAGTATCAAATTTTAAACGTTCTTGAGTTTAACTCTGAAAGAAAACGAATGTCTGTGATAGTGAGATGTCCTGATGGGAAGATTAAATTGTACACCAAGGGAGCAGATACCGTGATTTATGATCGATTGGTGAATAATCAGTTTGCTGATGTTACAGTTGAACATTTAAGTGTATTTGCCACTCATGGTTTACGAACTTTGTGTTGTGCATTCTCTTTAATTGATGAGAGAACTTATTCCGATTGGAGTAAAGAGTATCAAAGAGCAATTAACGATGTTTCAAATAACCGTGAAGAAACAATTGGACGTGTAATGGATAAAATTGAGGCTGATTTAAATCTACTGGGAGCAACGGCCATTGAAGATAAACTTCAAGAAGGTGTACCTGAGACAATTGAGACTCTACTCAAAGCAGGTATCAAAATTTGGGTACTTACCGGTGATAAGCAGGAAACAGCGATCAACATTGGACATTCATGTAAACTTATTCGTAACACCAATCCATTGATTATAATCAATGAAGAATCACTTGATGCAACTCGTGAAGCTATAAGGGAAGTTGAACCAACTCCAGGGTCAGTTTTGGTTATCGATGGTAAATCTCTTAAATATGCCTTAACCTCCGACATTAAAGCTGAATTCGTGGATATTGCATTAATATCAACGGCAGTAATTTGTTGTCGAGTGTCACCCATTCAAAAGGCTGAGATTGTTGATATGGTTAAATCAAAGACCAATGAAGTTTGTCTTGCCATTGGCGATGGTGCAAATGATGTCGCTATGATTAGAGCAGCAAATGTTGGCGTTGGTATTTCGGGTAACGAGGGTCTTCAAGCCGTACATTCCGCTGATTACAGTATACCCCAGTTTCGTTTTCTTGCCCGTCTCCTTTTGGTCCATGGTTCATGGTCACTTTCCCGTCTCTGTAAATTAATTCTCTATTCTTTTTACAAAAATATCGCCTTATGCATAATTGAACTTTGGTTTGCATGTGTAAGTGCCTGGAGTGGACAAACCATCTTCGACCGATGGACCATTGGTTTGTACAATGTTTTCTTCACAGCTCTTCCTCCCTTTGCCATTGGTCTATTTGATCGTCAATGTTCAGCTGAGACAATGATAAAATATCCAGGCTTATATCGAATCGCCAATGAAACTGTTTTCACCTTGAGACTTTTCTGGATCTGGATTGGAACGGCTATTTGGCATTCACTGGTTCTTTTCTGGTTAACTTATGCTGTAATTAGTAATGATTCCCTTTGGCCTCATGGTCTATCGGATGGAGGTTACCTTGTCTTTGGTAACATGTTATATACCTATGTGGTTGTTACAGTGTGCCTGAAAGCGGGTCTTGAAATATCAGCCTGGACTTGGGTCACTCATGCAACCATTTGGTCATCCATTGGTATTTGGTTTATATTTCTTGTAATTTACTCCTATTTCTGGCCCTCACTACCAATTGCAGCGGACATGCTGGCAATGTATAAATTGGTCTTTTCTTCTTACATCTTTTGGCTTGGACTTATCATAATACCATTTATCACATTGTTATTTGATATTGTTTACAAAATTGTTACTCGTACTTGTTACAAAACGCTGGCTGATCAAGTTCTAGAAGAGGAAAAAAGTCTAGTCGCATCGTCATCCCAACAAACCCTATTAACCGAGACTGCCCGATTAATACGTAATGTTTTTGACAAAAATCGAGTCCGAGGAAGATCAAAAAGAGGTAAACAAGACTCCTCCTTGGACAAAAGAAAATCAAGAGTTGACCTTGAGGTTGAACTTCAGCACGGTTATGCTTTTTCACAAGAGGAGCACGGAGCTGTCCGCCAGTCCGAGCTTATCCGCAAATATGATACAACCAAAGCAAAACCTGAAGGAGTTTAACTTTCTCGTTAATTTTGTTCTTTTTTGTTATTCAATGATCAATACAATTTTCCAAACAATTTAAATTAGCAAAGATTATGAAAGAAATGAATGAGAGTATAAACAAGAAGAGAAAGTTTTTAGAAAGATAAATGTAAAAAAGAAACAGGACCACTTCGTCTTCATCTTAATTCATCTTAATTTCATCATCATCATCATCATCATCTCATCATAATCATCATCAGCTTTGATACTTATCTTTCCCAGTCAGTTAATCATAATCTTTTTTCCCCCTTTCCTTTCTTGACAAAAACAACATAAAACAAACAACATCACCAACACAAACACTACCATTCAGTTATTTTAACATTACACTTACAAATCATTTCTCTATTCATGTTAATCAACAATTTTTACCTCAATTTTGTTCATGTGCTGATTATGTTGATTGTAAATGTATTTGTTTTTATGTCCATGTGATTTGCGTGTGTGTGAGTGTCTTTACCCCCTTTTCTATTGATAATCCTCCTGTAAAATCATCATGTCTTTTTGTCCCATTGATGCTTTTTGTCAAAGCAACAATTTGTTTGTGAAAAAAATAACCTTTTGCTATATTTCCTCTTCTATGGCAGTCTTCCATCTCCCTGTAAGCAAGAAAGTTAATTATAAAGATCAACATTATCAACATCTTAATCGACAACAACAACAACAACAACAGCAACAGCAACAACTACACCAACAGAAACACAAGCAAAACCATCAAAGGCAATTAATTACACCAAAGAAAATAGTGATAAAAATGAAAACTCTTCCTCAGCTCAACTTGAAATCCAAAATTAATCAACGTAAACATGAGTAGCACAAAAGACGGAAATGATTCCATCCCACCAACAAGACCCACCACATATAAACACACACATACACACAAACACCTACCGAGACTATTATCACAATCAAATGATAATCATGATGATTAGTTAATCATAAACGCACAACAGGGAAAGCGTTTTTTTTATATTTATTATCACAGTTTTGTTTTGTTGTTGTTATTACATTGGGTTAACTTACTATTATTTTCATCATGACAATTTATTGTTTCATTTTTATGATTGTCCAGTTGATGACATTGATAGTAAATTGTTGGACTATTATTATTATTACTATTTTTGATTGTGTATTACAATTGAGAAAGCAACTTAAACCAGCTCAAGTGTAAATCCTTTTCACATTAAGTATCAACCATAATTAACCCTCATCATTTATCAATCTAATCATAATCCTAATTAACCATCTAACCTAATTATTTAGTTACCAATGTATCACTTTACTAGTATTATTATTACCTTGCTAATAATTTGTTTTCTTGTTAATCTTTTAGGAAAATGGGTAGCAAACAAAAGTGATTTACTTAATTGTTTTCCATTTATTACTCAGGCAGAAGCAATTTAATCTCAATCAACGCATAATCACAATCAAAGATGACATTTAATTAATAATCCAACAAGTTTATCAAAGCACAAGGTCAATTGGTTATAACAATTATAATTTAAATCTCAATCAATTGTGATGATCAAATAATTGATTTTTATTTTACAAAAAAACAAAGGGAAAAAGGCTAAAGAGACTTAATTGTTAGTTAATTGTTGATAGTAAACTAAATTGTAAATGTGTTTTGTGTGTGTTTATTTGTGTAATTGTCAAACAAATTGAAATGCAATGAAAATTAAGATTTTGATGATATAAATCAATCATCTCATTTTCCCCTTACAATCATATTCACCCTAAATTGTAATTGAATCAACAATCAAATCTAATGATTATGATTTGATTGTTACTTTGAATCCTTGCAACAAACAGTGAATATTGATTTTACTGATTGTGATAAATCATATCTTTGCTTCTTGATCATCTTCATCTTTGTATCATCTTAAATTTTTCTGTCAACAATCAATTGTAATTACAATCTACCTAATTACCTCTTAATTATATCAACCAGCAATTAGTCAGGTTGTTAGTTAATCTTATCCTTGATGATCCTTAATCCCACCTTACCTTAGTTTTTACCGCCTCTTAATTGATGATTAATTAATCCAGAGCCCAAGAGATTACCAATTTTAATCGCTCACCAATTAACAGTAATCAATAACTTTCTCTACTTATTAACAATTGATTTTCTTTCCCTTTCTCTGCCTAATCTGTATTTTTGGTTAATCTTAATTATTAACAATCGATGATGACAATTTAAATTGTTTCTATTTCTCTTTAATTATAAATGCAACAAACTTTTTGTCTAAATCGTAACTTGATTATACTTTTTTTTTTGCTATTCGCTAATCAAATTAATCTGATTGGTATCAACGAAAATAATACAAACAAATTATTTCCAATCTTAATCATCCACTAATTACAATTAACTTTTTTGATGAATTTCATAAGGAAGTCGTTTTGATTAACAATTACTAGAAAATGAAAGTTAATTATGTATCAATTTGTAAGGCTAATTGTTTAAAAGTACCAAAGATACCCAGTAATTGTCTGATTGTAAATTAATTTAATCAACAGCAACAATTGAATACGATTGTTAATTGTTGTGATTAATTGACGATGTAACAATAATTTTTTTCCAATCGCTGAACAAATTGAACAATTTAATTTGATTCTATTTTCCATCAACATTGTCACTCGCTTTTCTTTGAGAATTGTGATTAAAACTTTTGATTTTCAAACTTGATTAACTAATTGCGATTAGATTTAATTAAATTATAATCCTTTCAATTATAATCCTTATAATAGACTTTCCTGTTGACTCCCAATCAACGTCAAGATCACCGTCATCATCATCATTAATCAATCAACTAAATTGTTGATTGCGGATCAAAAGATTTAATTTATTTCCTTAAAATTAATAAGTGACCAACGTAATTAACTGATTCTACTTTTAATTTCGGAAACAATCAATCAACGTTTTTAATTCTGATCGCAACAATCTAGCGACTTTAATCGTATTCTAACTGATTAATTAACTAATTCAACTTGTTGAAAGTTAATTTGCACAATAATCTTTTTAATTGTCCGGCTAAATTATTTGTATTCTAATCGTGAATATCCTTAATTGTTAATTTAAATCGTCAATGGATTTATATATGTTTTTATTGTCATCTTCCAATTGGATCTTAACAATTTAGCTGCTTAATTGTGATTTTAATGCTAATCAATCAACAATTTTTGTTCAATCAATCAATAAATTACCTTTGTAATCATGTTAATTGTAATAAATCCTTGTCCAACAATTTAAATTGTCTTGTCTTAACCCAATCTCATTGTAATCAACATTAATCAGCAATAATCAGATTGAATAATAACTTTTCAACAATCAAACAATTGTCCAAATAATTAAATTTATTTGAAATTATTAATATTAAAAGATGTTGATTACAATTAAAATTATTTTTGTCAACAGGAAATTATCACACAATTGATTGATTAGGAGACAATGATTTATTTAAATTGCTCACTATTGGTTACCTGATGACAATTTAACTGCTGATGATGATTTTGATGATTTGAAACTAATCAAGAATCAAATTGTTGCTTAATTGCTGCTTAAATTATCCGCTGATTGCTTTCTGTCTTTTAATTACTGCTTTTAAATCATCGTCATAATTAATTCAATTGTTATGATACTTGTGTCAATTATACTCAATGCAGATCAATCGGAGACGAACCAATCAACCGGGAACAATCAGCGAAATCATTGGTTAATTAATTGGTTATTTGGTCAATCAACTAATCATCAAGATGGAGGAAATCGAGGACAAAGTTCTAACAGATCGAGAGTTCGATCTGATGATGAGCCGATTGTCATGCCAACAGTTAGTCAGAGAGTGGGTAATCAAGAGATCGGCTTAATTGTTGCCTGATTTCCGACCTCACTTGAGTTTAAATTGTTAGCCCAAGGAAAGATCAACTAACCACAATCAACTTTAATTGTATCGATCTCACCACTAAACCAACTCGTTAATTTTGTCAATCTAAATCAATTGAGTTTTTTTTTCACTTTTCCGTAATCATTTTATCAACATAATCTATTTTTATGATTAATGTAGTTAGTGCATGTTATTAAATTGTAGCTTAATTGTTACACCTCAAATCAATTGTTACCTTTATTTCATCAGATTGGTTGATTTTCAATTTTATTTTCATCGACAATTAAAATTTAATTGTTGCTTGAGTCTGCTAATATAAATCACGAAATCAATTTCTGATTGAAATTATCACTATTGTTGATTGTTAATCATCACAATTTACAATTCAAATTATGTAACCATTTGATTGTTTCAATATCATTGTTGATCAACAATTTAACATCTAAATGTTTACAGAACCATGATGATTACAATAATCATCTTCATTAAAACAATTAACAGGTGAGAATATGATTTAATATCTAATTAAAACAATCAAACAATTTAAATGTGATCGATTTAGATTCAATCAAATTTAATGAGGAAACAATTAAATCCAATGTTAATAACATGAGAGAGCAAAAGAAAAGTTAATCAATGTAACACCTAATCAAGATACAATTAAGGGATATTAATTATTGAAACATTGATAATTGATCAGTAACGATTTAAATAATCTAACCATTGTGTGAATTAATGAATTGATTAAAATTCAAAGAAAACCAAAAATAACAATCAACTGATTTAAATGAAAGTTACATTTTAATTTGGTTAATTGTTGACAACTCAGAATAATCCATAATAATGATTGGTATTCAATTGAACATCAAAACGTAATGATTATCATTATGATTGTGATTTAGTGATGATTAAGGTTGAGTGATTAAAGTTTAATTTATCTTCGAGTTAATTATAATCATAATCAATTTAAATCTTCCAACCATGAAGATGGAGAAAAGTTTTTCTCATTCTTGGTTAAAAAGAGAAAGGAGTTTCAATTTCCTCCTCCTTCTCATCCTCCCACTCCACCCTCTTACCTTTACCCACCATCAATGCAAATCATCAAAACTTAAGAAGCAACTTGACAATTTACTAATTCACTTTTAAATCCCAATCAAATCAGTTGATTCAGTTTAAAGATCAATAAAACAACAACAACTTTGTGTTTACTTTTGTACTTGAAAATCATTTGGATATTATTTTGATTGTTTTCTCATAAATTTGACAACAATTTAATCTAATTGTGATCATCACCTTTTGGGTAAGTTGTTAATCTTAATTTTGTTCATTAAGCTTAATCAGGTTGATTGTTACCTTTAATTTGATTCCCATTTCTATGTAAATATTACAGGATTTTTATCATGTCAATTGTTTCATTTAATCATTTGATTGTTGACAAATTTCACAGGAAATTAGCAGATTAGGTTGATGAATTTCAGAGTTAGCTAATCAATTAGTAGGAGTAATTGTCTCGGAGTCAGTAATTAGATAATTATTAGGTAATATTATCACAATTAGTCAATTACTCGAGTTGATTATTGGTTAGAGCTGAAAATAGTAATTCTAATTCAAACTGTGATTAAGAATCATCATTTGATGAAATCGCTTTTATCAATCTGACCGGTCAGTAGAGGTCAATGAGATTGACCTTTAGCTATTATCAAACTGTCTAATTATCAGAATAATACTCAAGATAATCTTAGATCAGATTAATTACCCTAATGATGATTAAGTAAAATCCATAATCAAGAAAAGGTTTGTTAACCTTTGATTTAACAATCGCTGGTTCGTTGAGTTGAGGCTTAATTTAGTTCTGTCCTTTTGTCCTTAATTTTAATTGTGACCAAATTTTTTCCACCCTCTTACCTCTAACCCTTCCCACTCTCACCTCGACTGAGTGATTTGTTTTCATCCCTTAATCATTATGATAATAATAGTAATCATAATCATCTTCCTTGACCAACAATTAGCCAACAAATTGATAGAAAAATGTAAATTATCAAGCTAATTGTAGATTCTATCACATAATTAGACCCAATTGATTCAAATTGACAACAATAAGGAAAACAATAGTTACCAATATTTCCAATGATTTAGTAACTGAATTAGTTTTAATTCCAATTGAGTAAGTTTATTTTGAGATTTTCTTGGCAATTGATTTAGGTTTTTGTCCATCTACAATTCAATTTAAATCACTGATCAAATATTTAACCTTTTTGGACTTTTAGGTGATCATTATTTGATTGTCATCTTAATTGTTGAGTTAGTTAATTGTGTTGTACATTCATCGCGTGTGTCCTAAATTAAGTAACTATTGTTTTACTATTAATCCAATCAAGTTAATCACTGGCCCAATCATTTGCATTACCTTTCATCACTTTGGTTGATTATGTTTCATCATCATCATATTCACAATACAGATTAAAGTTAATTATTGCAACTAATCATTTTAGCCTCTTAATTGTTTCTATTTAATTGCTCCAATGATCCTGAAAGTTGGTTAACAAGGAAAAAAATAACTTGTTACAATTCATCAAACAATCAAAGATTATGATTTAAGATAATGCAAATGATGAGCAAGTTTGGATTATTATTAAATTGTCAACCTGATTAAGACTTAATGATTAACCATTGTGAAAGTTGATGATACTAATTATGACAATTTACCGTTTTCTTTTGCAATCAACAGTTTGCGCCTTGATTAAAAGTCCAATAACATACACCAACTATAATTAAAATGGATTCGTGGAGAAGTGTTTTAATAGCCTTTTTAACAATTATTCAAATGGTAAATTGTAATTAGTTGATTGATTAATTGTTCTTGTATGTGAACACATTGAATTTTATATATTTAATGACTCAAATTGGGAGAGAGAGAGAGAGAGAGAGAGAGAGATTTAAAGGTGTATTGGTATAAAAAGAATGGATTGACTCTAATTACTGATGATCTTGATTATTTTTCCTTCTATTATTTGATTGTTACCCTTAATTGTTGGTTAACAATATTTAGATTGCTCCAAATGAGTGTAAAAAGAAAGAGGATACAAATTCATCAACGTCCAAGGGCAATAGTAATCAGCCAAATGTTATGGGCCCTTGGGGTAATATGGGCATGGGAATGCCGATGCCAATGCCATGGATGCAAATGATGGGCATGAATCCGATGGGAATGAACCCTATAATGGGAGGAATGATGAACGGTATCGGTGGAATGGGCTCCATGGGAGCGATGAGTGGAATGGGAAATCCAATGATGGTCGGTGGACCGATGAGGTAAGTGCACCAAAATAATTCCATTCAGATGAATTCACCTTTCAAACAGATTAATTTCAAGTTTCGATTGAATTTGATATTGAAAATATTAATAATTTCTGATTGATAATCTTTTCATTCATTTGGTGGATTGATTCAGTTTCTATGATAAAAACCCAATGGGTATGGCCAATTCCATGGGTATGATGCCAATGTCTTCAATGATGTCACCCATGATGTCTGCATTTTCACCTAATTCAATGATGTCCGGTTCCATGATGAGTTCATCTTTCATGAATCCTTCAATTTCACCCGTTGGTCTATCTTCAGGTAGTCCTTTTGGATCTCCATTCACTTCACCATTCGCCTCTTCATCCAGTGGATTAGCCTCTTTCCCCGGATTATCCAGTTTATCCTCACTTGGTTTAATGGCTTCAGGCTCATCACCTTTCTCTTCATCTCTTCACCATCCTTCCGGGTTTAGTCGTAAATCTAGTTACACCACATTATATCCAATATTCAGTCCGTAAGAGAGAACAAAAATTTTTTTTTCTAAATTCAAAATTATCAACAATTCCACAGAATTGATGAAACTTTTTGCTTCCAATTGTCTTCTGTCTTTTGCCTTCATGTTCATGTAAATCATGTTTCCATCATTGCCTTGGCTTGAATCCCTATTTCCAAATGTTGCTAAAGAAAGTAAGATAAACAAAAATCAAACAATTAGTCTAATTGTCAAGTCAAATCACCATCAATCTAATGATTATACTGATTCTTTTCAATATCCTAAACTATTGTCCAGTAAAAGAGAAAAAAAATCAATCTATTTACTGGTTAAGTTAATTACAAAAGAAAGAATCACAATAATCACGCTATTAATTCATTTTCATTCATTTAAATGTTGGCTTACCTTTTTTTTAAAGTTCCTCGATCCTTGTGACACTTTTTCCATTCACTTAATTGTAATTGATTGTTTATTATTTAAAGAAAAGAAAACCATTAATTTGATTGTTTGTTACTATTTTCACTTTTCTTTTTCTATTCTTTCCTTGATTGTTTTTCTCATTCTCTCTTATCCAGTGATGAGGACGATAAAAAGGAAAACACCAAATCAGAATAAGATTTCAGGTGAATAACAATCGAGATGCAAAAAAAACAACAACAACATGAAAAGATCACAAGTAAACATGATGATATATATTCACAAGAATTGTAGAAATTAATTGTTGTTACAATATAATAATTTTAGAGAAAGAATTGAATAGCTTTTGGGTGAGAAGAATTAAAAAAAAAGGAGAAAAGAAATTTGAATGCTCATTGAACAGGTAAATTGATACACTCTCACCGAATTTGAGTAAAACGCTAAACACACACTGGGGAAAAGAGAAGCCAAAGATGATTGTCAATTTGTTAATTGTTGAGCTGATGATTAAGTTTCTCTCATGACTTCCAATCATAAATATAACACATCAAACGAAAAATATTCAGATATACAATATATATATACTATTTTGTTACAAAATGGATACACATACACTCACATATACAAACACTCAATGTAAAAATTTTCTCAAGAGATACAATGTACAATCAAAGATACAAAATAAAAAAAAATGACATAAATTAATTGTTTAAATTGATTGTTAAGCAATGAACAAAAATCGATCAAAAGATGATCACAATTAAAGCCATGGTTCCAAATCAAATATAAGAAAATAAATCGCACCAAGAATATGATCAGGATACAATTAGAAGCACTGAGGTAAGATGAGAATAATATTTTCGGTGTAAATGTAAGTGGGTGAGTGTTTGATTGATTATGGATTGGTAAAGATGAGTGTTGTAATTAACTTTGGATGGATAAGATGATTAAATGTGTAATGTAGCTAATGTAAGTATTGATAATTGTATGACGATTAAAACTGATTAATTGACTAGATTAGAGATGATGAAAATTGGTCACCCCAAATGATTAAATCTCTTGGTTTTCATGGGATAAACACCCGTAGGGAAAAAGATGATGTGTAAATGTGTCAATTGATTTTGTTTTGTTTCATTTTTTTTTTGATTCCATTTCCGGACATTTACATTGCATACTTTCGAGTCCAACCTCGACCCATTTCACAGTATTTTTCGGGGTCATTTTTGTAAAGACGAGCGATTTCAGGTACCAAAGGATCATCCGGATTGGGATCACAGAGAAGTGAACAGATTGATAAAAGTACCTTTGAAATGGTCAAAGCGGGTGACCATTGAGATCGTAGAATATCCAGACAAATACTTCCATTACTGTTAATATTTGGATGATAAATTCGAGTGGTAAACGAGATTTTCGGTGGTTTAAAGGGATATTCAGTTGGAAAATGAATTGTCAGGTAAAAGATTCCACCCTGATATGGACTATCAGTTGGTCCCATGATGGTTGCCTGCCAATGGAATAGATCATCGCCAACAGGTCCAGCAGAACATTGAGAAGGTGGATCTCGCTTAAGATCTTCTAATTCTTTTTTAATTCTCTTTAAAGCCATTATATCACCTTGATGATTAGTATTCTATCCAATTATAAGTAGCTTTTTAGCCAATCCAAAGAGAAGATGAGAGAAAAGAGAAATTAAATGTAAATAATTTCTCTTTGGTAACTTGTAAACAAACAATTCCAATTCCTTTGATCTTTGTGGAACAAGAGAAAACACCCTGGGATTGAGAGAAAGAAGGCAAAAAATTAATTAGTAATTATCGATTTAAACGGATGAGGGATAGAAATTAAATCAATTACAATTACAATAAAGACAAAGAGATAAACAAAATAGCTAAATCATCCACTGAATATAACATATGACTCCAGTTAATATAGAGATTGATTCAAGGTTGAGGTTAATTAATACTTATTAACAGATAGTCAATGATGGTGATGATGATACAATAATAAGACTGGTGAAGTAACAAAACAATGAGGTGACATAAAATATTAATCATCAACAATTAACTTGATTAATTGAAAAAAGAATTGAATTAAAAAAAGAGACAATTTAAAGTCAATTGGGTTTTGTAAACATTACAAGGAGAGGAAAAGAAAAAGCTAAATGAAAGAAAAGAGAAAAATAAAATAAACTCATTTATCTTACCTGTTGGTTTAGAATTAATTGGAGAAAATGGTGAGTATCACTGGTAGAGAATTGATTAAATACTAATAAATATCACAATTAATTAGAAATAAATCTAAATTTAATTAAATCGACAATGGAAACAAATGAAATGTACCAAAGAATCAAAGTCTCTCTTCACTTTGATAATCGATTTTTCTCTTCCCCCTTTTTCTTTATTCTTTTTCCCCTCTTTTCCATTGTAAACAAACAAGAATTTAGATTAACATTTACTCTTTGATTATCAATCAATTTATGATTCTCTTTAATCATTTCTTCAAGTTAATTAATTGAATCTAAGGAGTAATTAACCTTCAGGTAATCAACTGTCTATCTTTTAGTTTTTAATTTAATTTCTAATTCCGTTCCTTGTTGTTGTTGTTGAATTTTTTTCTTCTTTGGTTTTTGTTGACACAATTTTGTTTTCTCTTCTTCATTTATGTTTGTTGATTAATTTAATTGTTATTTTGTTCAATTTACTGATTACCCTTGATGTCAATTACATGAAAATTCAATTGATTTGATTTAATAATCAGATTGAAACCTCTAAATTGTCTGTCAACTTGATTTTCTTTTCAGATCTTTAAAGGGTTAAGGCCTTTTCTTTGTTTACCTTTTGTTGCATTTTTGATTCTTTGTTAATCAATTGATTTGATTGTCGATCGATTGACTTGATTGTTTTAATAATAAGACAATTAATCGTTTTTTTCTTCCATTTTTACACAGAATTAATTTATCGACAAATTTCCCTCTTTTGGATTGGATTGGTTTACTTTTTTTTCGTTCACCTTTGAGGAAACAAAGAAATAATATTTCAATTCTTCATAACAATTAACTAATAATGCGGTTAACAATTTAATGAGAATTGATTGATTTATTATACTCACATAATTATCCTTTAATCTTTGGTTATCAAGTAGATTTATCCATCGATCAACTGATTATCTGGCAATCTAATGAAACTGAAAAACAACTTTCCCTCATCAACGATTATCCACAATTAATTAGCCGGTAAACTTGGATAACAATTAATCGATTAAAGTTCATAATCTCTTGTTGGTTAATTAATCAATTCAACAACAATCAAATGGGCTCAGATTAACATTGGAAACAAAAAGAGAACAACAAATTAATAAACAAAACCTTGAGTTGTGACAATCAATTGATTGTGATGATAATAACAAGACAATGATTGGTAAGAATAGTAAAGTGTTTTAATTATGTTTCCCATGATCATGTTGAGACATTTAATTGATTGGTTTAGAGTTAATTTAATGAAAGTACATGAAAATTTACAAATTATTTCCATCATAATTCATTTTAATCAACTTGAGTTAATAAGTTACATCAATCTAATTGTTATTTATATTTTGTTTACAGTACAAAATCAATGGACAAAAAAAGAAACGGAAATAATTTGTTAATATCTGGATTAACAATCAGTTAACCAAGGAAGTAAATTACAATTCAAATCAGGATGGTGACGATAACAATATGATGATCATTAAGATGACGATGACAATGATGATATGTCATTCACACTGAGGTTACTCTGGAGGATTGTAATTAAGACTTAATTAACAACAACCCGATCTTTTTAATTGTTAATCACCAATACAAGGTAACGAAAACTGAATCGCCAATGAAAACATAATGATTGATTTAAACATCGAGATAATTTTGTTTTCTTATTTTGTTAGTGAGTAATAAACAAAACAATAGAAATCAAGTTAATTGTTACAATTAATGTTGAAAACAAAATAATCAATCATTTCATCATATAAACTTCACAATTTCCTTTGAACAGAAAATGTATTTAAATACATTGAAGATGATCACGATCATGATCAGTGGTAATTTAATTTGATTGTGTTTAGTAAACTACAAATCATGCAAACAGTAATTGATTATTCAGATGAAACAATTTAAATTGTTGATGTAATTTGTATGTTCATCATTTACAATTGACCTCAACCTCTTTTTCCTATGGTGAAAAAAGACTCACTTTTCTCACTTTTTGTCTTCTCTTTTTTTCATTCTATCCCTTGGCTTCCTGTGATGATGATGATCATCGTCATCATGATGGTGATGAGAATGATGATAAATGGCAATAAATTACAATTAATATGAATCTTCATGGACCTTGTTCCAGTTTTGAAAAATGAAAGTGAAACAAAACTGCAAATGATTAAGGTAAAATTTACCATCAGATGATTTCCAGCCAAGAATTAGGATTATGATAACAATAACTTAATTACTTTGATAATAAGCGTTTTTCTGTTCAAATCAAGATGTACTTTTTAATTGTTACCTTGAACAAACTGAATCACAATTATATTAAGATGATGGATGAGAAAATTAATGTAAAAATATTTACACAGGTTCACAACAATTAGTGTCTCATTGGGTTTGAATCAACTCTTTCCAGCGTTGAAACTGTCAATGGTTGATGGTTAATCATATTGTTCATATTATTGTCCAGTGTTTGACTGATTGACCGACCCAAATTAGGCCTATTAGTTGATCCAACAACATTGCCATTTACGTTATTGGCGTAATTGTTACTAATTACATTGTTGTTGTTGTTGTTGTTGTTCAAATTGGTGTTATAACTATTGGGAGAACCATTTTCAACTAAATTTGATTGATAATTAGCTGGTTGATTAAGACCCGCTTGTTTGGCAAATTCATCTTGAGCTCGAACTGATTTAAGAGCTGCAAGGATGATTAGAAAAGCACCAGTTAGGAAAAGGCCAACACCAAGTCCACAGATGATCAGAGTGACGATAAAAATTGGACCAACTCGATCTTCATAGAAGATAAACTTTAACAATAAACCGGAAAGTAAGGTAACACTTCCGGTAATTAACAATAACCGTCCAATATGATAGGAACTGTAATGAGCGGGGAGCCGACGGTCAACCGCTTGTTCAAAGGCGAGGACATTTTTAAATCCATGAGTGTTTGACATTATATTGATTCACAAATCACAGAAACAAAGAGAAATCAATTGAATTGTAATATAATATTTACAAAAAGAAACGCTGATAACAATTAACCACAAGTGATAATTATCATTGTTGAAACGATGATGAAGATTAATGAAAAAATTTTTCACGTTGAAAATGACCAAAGAAAATGATGGAAACTGTTTACTGGTGAATTAAATTGTCCATCAACATTAAATTGTAACAAAGGATGACGAATACATTGATGACAAACTATTACTATCATTTGTGTATGTAATTTGTTGATTAAATTAAATTGATAACAATGAAAAAGAGAGAGAGAATTAAATTGATAACAAAAACGAGAAAAAATGTTAGTTTAATATCATGATGATGAGAATGATGATAAATGGCAATAAATTACAATTAATATGAATCTTCATGGACCTTGTTCCAGTTTTGAAAAATGAAAGTGAAACAAAACTGCAAATGATTAAGGTAAAATTTACCATCAGATGATTTCCAGCCAAGAATTAGGATTATGATAACAATAACTTAATTACTTTGATAATAAGCGTTTTTCTGTTCAAATCAAGATGTACTTTTTAATTGTTACCTTGAACAAACTGAATCACAATTATATTAAGATGATGGATGAGAAAATTAATGTAAAAATATTTACACAGGTTCACAACAATTAGTGTCTCATTGGGTTTGAATCAACTCTTTCCAGCGTTGAAACTGTCAATGGTTGATGGTTAATCATATTGTTCATATTATTGTCCAGTGTTTGACTGATTGACCGACCCAAATTAGGCCTATTAGTTGATCCAACAACATTGCCATTTACGTTATTGGCGTAATTGTTACTAATTACATTGTTGTTGTTGTTGTTGTTGTTCAAATTGGTGTTATAACTATTGGGAGAACCATTTTCAACTAAATTTGATTGATAATTAGCTGGTTGATTAAGACCCGCTTGTTTGGCAAATTCATCTTGAGCTCGAACTGATTTAAGAGCTGCAAGGATGATTAGAAAAGCACCAGTTAGGAAAAGGCCAACACCAAGTCCACAGATGATCAGAGTGACGATAAAAATTGGACCAACTCGATCTTCATAGAAGATAAACTTTAACAATAAACCGGAAAGTAAGGTAACACTTCCGGTAATTAACAACCGTCCAATATGATAGGAACTGTAATGAGCGGGGAGCCGACGGTCAACCGCTTGTTCAAAGGCGAGGACATTTTTAAATCCATGAGTGTTTGACATTATATTGATTCACAAATCACAGAAACAAAGAGAAATCAATTGAATTGTAATATAATATTTACAAAAAGAAACGCTGATAACAATTAACCACAAGTGATAATTATCATTGTTGAAACGATGATGAAGATTAATGAAAAAATTTTTCACGTTGAAAATGACCAAAGAAAATGATGGAAACTGTTTACTGGTGAATTAAATTGTCCATCAACATTAAATTGTAACAAAGGATGACGAATACATTGATGACAAACTATTACTATCATTTGTGTATGTAATTTGTTGATTAAATTAAATTGATAACAATGAAAAAAGGAGAGAGAGAGAATTAAATTGATAACAAAAAACGAGAAAAAAATGTTAGTTTAATATCATGGTGATGATGAGATGATGATTCTAATTGTAATTGAAACCTAATCTGCTCTTCCTCTTACTCACTCATCATTCTCTCCCTCTCTGCTCTCTTTACTCTCTCTGGTTATCTTCCTATCTCTTTCTCTCTATAGCTTAAAATCTAATTGTGTATATTGGTGATAGTAGATCTCATTTATACAGGGCTGTTCAGCTATTTTCGCCGAGTTTTTTGCGATTTTCTTAGCAACTAGAAGGTCCAAAGACTCGCAACTTGAGCTTCATGAGTTTGAGTGATTTTCAATTGTCATATCAAAAGATCAAGGTCATTTAGGTCATGTAGGTCATCCGGTCTCAAGATCATCTGAAGGTATTACCATAAAAAAGTATGTCTGAAAACACTGGTGTCAATTTTTCAGGCTCTTATGACTTTTGGGTCAATTGTTAAGATAAGTTAACTGAAGAATCTCAGTAACTTTTGAATTAAACGGCAATAGTCTCTGATTGACAGTTATAATCAACTTCAAAATCGTAATACTGTATGAATAAGCGTGGAAAATCTTAAAATATCCTTCAGATGACCTTGAAACACGTTATTTTACCTAAATGGCCTGAATGACCTTGATCTTTTGATATGATGATAAATGATTGGATGTGTGTACATCTAAACATTAAGCAAAGTAATGACTGAGTTTGGACCAACTCTAGAAATTCACGACGTTTTCCAAGAAATTAATTATGAAATCGCTTTCAATTACTCTTGTAAGTCTTCTGCCCCACGCTAAAACGGAATAAAGGCAATGCCAGATACACAACATATCCTCACCCGATGGCTTATTTTTAGAAATATGAAAATGGAAATTATGGAAATGGAAATTATGGAAATGGAAAAACTGATCTCTATATGAAAAAATTCAATCGAAAATCAACAAGTTATATTACTGTTAATCGTTTTCCAAATATTAAAAAAATTTTATCATGTAAAATTGGTAAAATTGATTAAAATACACTTCATTTCATTTTAATATTTTAATTTTAGATGTATCGAAATCAAAGCTGAAATTAGACACAATCAAATAAAAATCGAGTTCGAAATTAGATGGAATTAAATCTTTATCAAACTTTAAATTGAATTTATTCGAATCTAAATCACCACCCCCTTCCAATTAATTGCTTTTCAAACGCTTCATTGGTTAAATTGTTCAACAAGTTTGTCCGATTTAACTTTTTTGTGCAGCAAAAAAAGATCGAAATCATTTTTAGACTAGCTAAACGACTTAAAATGAATATGTGAATTACGGATGAAAAAATCAAGCGAGCTTCGTCCAAATTATTCACTTGACTACGATTTCGACAGAATTTTGATGAATTTCTGTTTCCGCTGAAGCATTTTGTACACACTAAAGTTATCGCATTCAAAATTGTACAGATGAATTTCTGATAATTGAAGATTATTTTGTGTTTGACGGAGGTCGATTTTAGGGTTGACATACCCCTTTCATCAAGATTGACCAAGAAATAAACTTTAAAAAAATGTCAACCACCCTGTAGTTCAACAAATGATATTCATTCAATTTAGATTGGTAAATTGTAAAAAGTTTTATTCATAAAATTTAGTATTTACCTAATCGTAAATCGTAATATACAACAATAAAGATTCATTTGTTTTTCTTCACAAAAAAAGTTAATCTCTCAAGGAGAAAATTTATTAATAGTTAATTTACTATGGTAACAATTTAGATTTGATATCGATTAGAATTTGATCAAATTTTATCTTCATATTGGGCGAAAAGTGTCGATGGTCTAATTGTTGGCTTCTTTTTGATACTTGCATATTGAGCTTTACATTGAATCTCATCTGAACAAACCTCAGACAAACACAAAGCTGGTAACCTTTGACCGAACTGGACAAAAGGCTCACTGTAATCGTGATTTGATCCTGGGCCTTGACCATTATCACTATTATTCAATAAAAGTCCAACACTAGAACGTCCCGAAACATTTGAATTGATACAATTGTTCATAGATGATAAATTATTTGATCCACCAGGTAAACCTGAGCCTTTCAATCCGATTGGAATAGATGTTAACCCGGAAGTTGAATTGATGAGCGGAACTTTCCGATTAGGTGATGAATAATAGGAAACTGAATCAGCAGATTGATTTGATTCATCGAGTGATTTAAATTTAGTTACAGATGAATAATTAGACAAAGGTAAACCTTCAACACTATTTAAATCACCACATGATTTATTTAAACCTCCACCAGTTGAATTACAACTTATCCTATCAAAATTGGTTGTCTCCATAATCATGTTACCCGAAGTTGAATCAAAAAAGTTCTGATGTCTCAGACAAAATAATATTATCGATAATAAAGTGAGCAGCATAAAAATTGATATGATAACTGGTAACAATATTGTTATATATTGTTTAAATATCACAGTTGATGAAGTTGATGCTTGAGATATTATATCAACCTTATTACCTGAAATCATGGCGGGAAAAGTTGAACTTATCATGTTTGAACTTGTCGTAAATGTATATTCAGCTTCAGTAGTTCCAGCATCAGAAATTGTTGATATTGATAGATTATATTGTTTACCTGGTGTTAAACCATTAATTGTGTTTACCTTTGTTGACAGATTGGTTAACTTATTTAAATAGATCCACTGTTTCGATGAAATTAATTTATACTTGATTATATACTTTACAATGGGACAACCTGAGTCAAGCCATTTACCAAGATTTAATTGTATCCATGTTGAATTGATTAAAGTAAAATGTTTAATTGATGCTGGTGAAACTGGTGCACCTCCTTTGGTACGGACTGTTAACGTTTTTGATGGTTCACCAATTCCTAAACTATTTTTGGCAATTAGATAAATTGTATACTTGGTACCACATTTACAACCGTTGATTGTAAATTCGTTGACAGTTAATTGATTGAGCTCTTTTTTAATCCATTCAATGTTATTTTCAGGTTTATAACAAAGGACAAAATCTCTTTTACTTGTTGTATCAATTGAATCAATCATATCCTCCATTGTCCAGCCGATTGTTATTGAATCAAAAGTGGACGATACAAATTTAAGATACGGTGTAGTTGGTGGGGAATTTTGTAAAGTTGTCATTCGAACCTCATCCGATCGAGGTCCAGTTCCAACTGAATTATATGCTTGGACAATTACTTCATAACTTGTTCGTCTTTTTAAGTTGGTAATATATGAACTTAACTCTTGTAGATTATTATCTCCATTTTCATTTCCACCTCCAGGTTCACTTTCAATTTCAACATTCTTATAATTATATGAATCTGAAGTATCTACAATACGATAACCAATATAATAACCTTTTATTTTACCAAAAAGAAGCTCTTTTTTTGGTGGTAACCATTTAACTTTAAGTGATTGTGCTCCAGATGCTTCAAGTTGAACATCACGAGGTGGACCACCAGGTACCTCTTCCCCTGTTTTAAAAGTTGACACTGGTGAGGGTTCACTTGTACCTAAAGCATTTACCGCTTTAACCCTAACCTTGTAAGTTGTCACTGGAATTAAATTGTTTACAACCAATTCAACGTCAGGTTTAATTGTTTTCACCTCAGACCAATCCTTTTCTGAACTCTCAACGATATATTCAACGATATAATAAAGAATTGGACTATTTCCGCTGAATGAACCTTTCCACCGTATAAGTGCTGAGCGACTTGTCTCATCGGTTATTGATAAAATCATTGGCATCTCAGGTTTTTCTGTAAATAAAGTTTATCGAAAAAGAAAAAAAAAGTTATCGTAAATTAGTTAAGAAAGTTAACCTTAGATGGAGCCTGGAAGCAGGGAAATTTTCAAAATTCTGTGATAACTTTTTCTTCATACTTTTCATTAAAATTCTATTTATCATTCTGCATTTGCATCATCATCACATGTCACCGGTTAATCAATAAAGTTGACATTTATCTTTTCCTTTTTCTTAACAATGTTCAAGAGAAAATGGAATCTTCAATGATTTCGTTAACATAAATTCCAAGTGACGTATTGATCATTTCAACTCAATACTTGCTCAGAATTTATAAATTGGTTGGAAATTCAACTTTGTGAAATTTCAAGGTCATGAAAATTGATTTTTAAGATGAAAATTTACAGAAAATCATGAAAAATGAATCACAAATTCATGATGAGTTTGGTGGATAGAATATAATATTTACCCATGACAATAAGCTGAATATTCGTGTCATCGGTTCCAAGAGCATTTGTTGACTGACATGTGAAAAGAGCTGAATCTTGTCTGGTGGTTGGATAAATTTCCAATAATGAAAGGATTCCACCTTCATGTTCCTGTTTCTTCAAATCAGATGAACTTTTCTCAATTAATGAGAAACGTTTCTCTGTGTTAAAGTTAATTGGTTGTTTATCCTTTTGCCAAACAATCGTTAACGGTAAATCACCAGCTGATTCACATTTGAGTATTGTCTTATCGTCCTTCTTACTTGCCATGCTAATGAATTTTGTCTCAAAATGAGGTGGCACTAGAATCAGAATTCAAGAACTTGGAATTAGAATTCGTCAGCGATCATTATTATTCAAATCATCAGTTAATTGTCATAATTTGATGGAAATCATGATAGATTGTGAAAGAAAATTTTGAAATTTATTCATACTATTATTCAATTATAGTGACAATTGATATATTCAAAACAAAAGCAACTACTCAACTAAAATAAATACTATTATTATACCATGAGAATATTATTCCTACTCTTTAATTTGAATCTATTGTAATCCTTAGGAACGATTTTATTTGAAAATAATTTCTATTCAAATTGAGTATTTATTGATATGTATTAAGATTATTATCAATTTTCATCGTTTCCAATTCTCACTCATATATTACATCAAGATAAGCTCATGGTTTGATGATAATCTGATGAGTTTTATTTGATATGTGGAGTAAAAGTAGTGAACCCATGAATATATATCAACTAGGAAACTCTGAATTCTAATCTTTAATATTTGATAATCATAAATTCTGATGATGAATTTCATCAACTTGAGTTATCCCTCCAGAATCAATCCAATGAGTTATATTCATGAGAAACTATTTCATACATATGAAAAGATACCATGTATTTATTATTATCAACATATAATGAAAACTTTTCTTCATCTGTTTTTATTACAATGAAATTCAGAGGAAAAACACTCAAACCAATCAATCAAACATGATGTTAAATAACCTTGAGTATCATGATGATCAGAATTCATCTGATTCTCATCATCATCATTCTTATCATCAAAATAAAGATGATAAGCAAAATAAAGGATAAAATTGAAAGTGAACAATACAGAAAAAGAAAACTTTTCCTAAGCCTTGAGAACTAAAGTTAGAATAAAGTTCAATAGGTATAAAGAAAACTGGAAAATAAAGTATCTTAATCCAGAACAATCTGATAACATGGTGTGAAAATTTGAAAGAATTTGAAAAAAAATATATAAATCTAAATGATAACTTACTTAGAACTTTTAATTTAACAACTTTACTCAAACCAGCACCGATATCATTATTAACTTGGCACATGTAAAATCCAGCATCGTATTTATCAACTTCTTGAATAACCAGGGAGCCATTTGAATAAACATGATGACGATAACTTGATAAAATATCTTTAAAATCAGATGAATGTGAATGATGATTCAATGATGATGATGATGATGAACTTAATCCACCAAAACCCAATGAATTATTACCATGATTATAACTAATATTAGCATTTATTTTATCATCGGAATTATTATTAACAGTTAATGATAAGATTGATGATGAATTAGTATCACTCATTTTATCAACTTTATTATTATTTGTATTATGATGCTGATGTTGATAATGATGAGTATGAACATTTTCAGTAATTGAATTACCGTTATTATTATTATTATTATTATTATTGGAATTGGTTAAACTAATGGTATTAACATTATCATGAAGATTGTTGTTGTTATTGATGATGATTGGTAAAGTGATAGACCTTTTCCAGGTTATTCTTGGAGGTGGATACCCATGGGATGAACAATTGATGATTAGTCGATGACCAGAGATAACGGTAGTTTCATTAGATGGTTCAATAATCCATTTTGGTGGTACATTCACAATAAGTGAGATTGTCCGAGTAGATGAATCAATTGAATTAGATGCTAAACAGGTATAATTACCTTTATCTTCAAAGGTAATCTTTTTAAAGGTTAATAGTGAATAATCATCTGAACTTTGTAATAAAATGTTACCCGTTGGTACTAAAGGTGAACCCGATTTAAGCCATTGTATGTCCACCGGTTGGTCACCTTCAATAATTGAGCAAACAAGCTTAACTCTAATACCTTCATTTGCATATATTAAACCAGGTAAAGGTTGATTATCAATCAATGGAGCCACTTTAACTGTTAATTGTATCGTTCCTTTGATTAGTTTACCATCAGAACCCTTTGTTAGACAAGTGTATTCCCCTAATGATATTAATTGTCATGAAGAAAATCGCGATTAAAGAAAAAGAGAATAGAAGGAAAAAAGTTCAGTTAATTGGTTAAAGAAATGAACAAATGAAATTGATTATCAGTGAGAATTTCATTCTGAATATTCATGTTTACAAAACGAAAAATAATGTACATGATAAATTAATGAGCTCTTGTTAATTGTTTCGGCAAAAAAAAAGTCAATGAATCAAAATGATTCAATCAATGAAAATTATTTTTTTCTATTGATAATATTATTTCATTGTAATATTAATAACTTTCAATTAGTTTTGATTATTAATCTTTTTTTTTCGTTAATCACCATTAATGAGCCATGTATTATGACCATTAAAGTTGATCCTTTTTGTCTAATAATAATACATGTTACAAGAGATGATAATGATTTAGGATATAAAATATTAATCTCTCTTGTATATTTATCCTTTTCGTCAAGTGTAACAATTGATTTTCATTATAATCTAAGACTAATATTATATTAATCAGGTTGCATTCGAACAGTTAATTTAACTGTTATCATTATTTACAATGTAAAGGGTGGAGATAAGGTTGTCAATCAATGAAGATATGTCCACATAGGTATTTTTGTCCATCTTCATTATCTAACCATCAACTTGATCTTCATTTTCAGGTAAGATTAAGCAACATTATTACCAGTTCCCATTTTTGTAACGTGTTAAGTGCTATACCCTTTACGATGGATTATCCTCGATCAACTTATTTCAAGTTTCTCTCATCTATTATATAAGTATCGGTGTATCATGTTGTATACAGGGTGTAACAACCAACCATTTCCCCTTTTGAGAGATGATTTCTCGAAAACTATCCATTCCAAACTTCCATGATTGGGAATTCCAAATACTCTACTGGTTTGTATACCCTGAATTATATGTAACCTTCAAAAGTTATTTAATCTCAATAGGATATATCATTATTATCTGATACCAAGACTGATTTTTTTTTCATTTCTAGAATTTGCATCATGTTATTTGATGATTGTCAAAAATGTTAATGATAATATTATATGATTTTCCATTGAAATTTGATTATCAATACTGTGAGAATGAGGATATTTCCTCTTGTGGGAATCGAAAATTTCTCTATAAAATTTGAATATTTTACAATCATCTTCATGAATCGAAAAGCCAATCAAACATATTGCAGGTGAATTGTTAATACATATTATATATTCACATGAGTGGATTGAGAAAATGTAAAGAAATTATGTTCAACTTATTCAGAACTTTATCATGAACTTTTCAGCCTTAAAGGCATTTCTTGTGTGTATCTTGGCCACTTTTTACTTGATTGAAAATCTTCATCTTGATAAAATTTGTTATCATGTAAAAAGATTTGTTAAAACTGATTTTCTAATGCAAAGCGATCATGAATATGATTAGCTAAATATCGTAACTATTATTTAATTTAATTTGAAAAAAAGCTCATGAATCAGAAATAAATTTCCTATACACAGGGTAACATAATATCTTGGATTATCATGAATTTTAATCAATACATGAAAATAAAAGTAAAATCATCTTATACAGGAAGTAAAAGTTTTATCTATTCTGATGTAATATGATATTCTTATTTATTATAATCAAATTTTCTCTATCGAAAAACTTTCCCTGATTTTTGGTGATGAGAATCAATGGAATCGACTCGATAAATCTCATTGAACTGAAATTTTGTGGGTAAATATTGATCGTTAAAATATTCGCAACATGATGAAAAACTTTTTCGCTTATATTTTAGATTATTATTATTCTGCTAATGATTATTGTTCATAATGTGTTGGAATAAATTTTTTCGTCTCAACTTTAGCCAATTGTTTCCATGATATATTCTAATATTCAGCTTGATAAGAATATAATATAAGTTAAAAACTAACAGAAACTCTTGAGTTCTGTAAACAGAATCCTCAGAGTGAAATACATGATGTATATAATCATTTAGTTATTCAACAGCCCGTATAAACTTATCTTTCTATCTGCATATCCACGTATAAATATATATGTATTCTGAATTTACTGAATCTCATCTAAATTCAATTTAACCAATGAGGATCATGTTGTAGCTGTTGTTGATGTTGATGATAATGCTAACGAGGAAAACTTTACCTCTCGGTTATTTAACTTTTACCAACATTTTCCAATTATATTTACAGTTGTTAACTCTTATATTAGTTGTATTGAACTTTTCTCACTGTTTCTCATTACCATCGATAATAATATCAAATGATATAAATCATGATTTCCTTTAGTTTTCTGTGATTATCTGATTGTAACATTGAGTAAATAAACCATGATGAGAGAGGTAAAGAGATTCAAAGAGGGAAATGATAAAGTAAAAAGGTTATTCGGTTTCATTATTATTCAATTTAATGAGTTGAATCAATGAATGGAATTGAATAATTGAAGTTTAATTGAAATCAGGGAAATCGTGAAGAAAAAAAGTTCTAACACTCGAAAATTTATCGTTTTTGATTGTTTCGTATACACAATAGAAAGTTAATGATTTAATAATTTCTCTACAACTTTTGATAGATTAAATTGTTGTGATTGATTTGATAACTTTCGATAAATATTTTATGGAAAATTTATTTTCTCTCTTTTGTTTCAATTGTTTTCTATGGATGAACTTTCAGGTTGTTTTATCAGAATTTTATATAGTTGAATAAGAGAACATCAATTAAGCAAGACTAATTAATTGTCACAAAATGTTGGTCAAAAATTTTGGTTCTCTTCTGTCGATGATTTATGATTTTCGATAATGCATAGATTCAGTAGATTCTGTTGGAGAATGAGCGGTAAAATAAGAGAATTGAACAGAAAACTGATGAATGAAAGTGAAATTGTGTTCATCTATTTTTCTTATATCATAAGAATACGATCACTTTTAATAGATGATAAAAGTGAAAAGAAACAAAGAAAAAAAAACACTGAAGATAACTTTTTATCTGAAGGTTATCATCCCATCATTTGATTCATTCTCAAGCCAATTAAGAAAAACCTCTTATACTAAGATTGGAGGTTTGCCTGACAATCAGAATCTAATGATGGTTTTCGCTTGGAAATTGATGAGAAACTCCGCCATTTAGACAGCTAATTCCAGCCTGAGATCAGATTCGTTTCTTCCTTTTTATCTTTAATTTTCTTCTTCTTCATAATCATGAAAATCATCTCTCAGCCCTCATTCGAATGAGATCTCATTCGCTATTACTTTTTTGTTTCTTCTATCATTATCAACCATCATGGTCATTATTCTTATTAGTTACATTATTATTTATGTTCCCAATCAAATGCTAACTTTTAATGGTTACATAGAATTGAGATGATTCTGAATGCATTTCCAATTCTGTTTATCAAGTTGCCCTATCAGGCTATGAATATATTCATTCAGAAAGTTGCATTTTCTATTCTTATTACAACGATGTGTAACAAAATCTTTATGAAATTTCGTTCAGTGAGCTCATGATACAGGGCAATTCAGCTAATTTGTTGGTTTTCTTTTCAAAATTATTCAAAAAAAACTTGAGCGATAGAGTCCATATTTTGTCTATGGAAGTTCGACCGACACTCAATTGTCATGATTCAAGGTCATAAAGGTTATTTAGGAAAGAACGCACTTGGAGGCCATTTGAAGAATATTACTAAATCATCTTGGAATCAGACGCTACAAGGTTGATGATAGTTAAGTAGAAGCAATAGTTAAACTACTACCAGAAATAACTCTACCTACCGATAGCGATAACTCTATCGCTCAAGTTTTTTTGAATAATTTTGAAAAGAAAACCAACAAATTAGCTGAATTTCCCTGTAGAGGTAAGAAAATGCTCAATCAGTCAATTAGTTTCAAAAAAATCAAAATCTTCGACTAAACAAAAATTCATATTCATATATCTTTCGTGTATATTTTTAGAACACAAAATTTCATTCTAACTGTGATTTTAAATTCAATGGATTCAAATTAACCTTGTTAATAATAAATAAACAGGTAAAGTTGTGAATCTATTCATCATATTAATAGTATTTCTGTTAATTGTTTCATGTTTTCAGCCTCAATTAAATTTGAGATATGTGGATAAATTTATCTACAGAACAATTGTTTTTTTTGTACATGATAAATTAGCAAATACGCATCTCTATATGTGTGAATATATATTCATCTAGATTTGCTGATAGTAATCAGCTGAAAAAGTATTATTTATAATGAAAGTGTTAATTGAAAATAGACTGAGCAGAAATTAAATAATAGCGATAACATGATAAATAACAATTTATAAGGAAAATTGCAAAGTTTAGATATACAATGAATTGAACAGATAATGAATGACACTGATCCCATTTTTTTTCAGGTTACGTTGTTTCCCTTTGTTACTAAATGATAATGGTTAAGATAAATGTCCCTGTTAAAAAAAAAGCTAAAGGATCAAGATGACTGAATGGTTGATCATTATGATAGTAAACGATGGTTATGATGTGAGTTGTGATGGTTGGAGGTGGTGGTGGTGATGATGATGCGATAAAAGAAAATGAATGAGAGTAAAAAGTGATGAGAAAGTCTAATGAGAATATTAATTGAGGTTAGATAAAGTGCATCATTGGAAAAGTGTTTTTCAATTGTTGTTCTATCTCCATGATGATGAGAAGGAGAAAAGTTTGATAAAAATAATGAAGATAATGATGATTATGATGATGATGATGATGGTGATGGTGAGCATGAGGATATGAGTGAATATGAGAAGGCTTGTGAAAAAAGATTGGAGAACAAAAGAAGCATAAGAAGATGAAGATAAAAGGCTAAAAAGGCAGAAAGAGAAAATGAATTTTCTTCAGCATCTCTAGCATGGAAGTGAAATATTATATTATATATTTCACATTCGGGTCTATGATGATTGCACGGAGTTTCTTGCTTGAAAGGTGATGATGATGATGTTGTTGATCAAGTCAAAATGATGATGGAGACTTGTATGGATGAAGATGAGAAGGAAGTTTTTTGGAAACAAAAAAAAATATAAATTGGAAGAGTTATCGTAATGTGTGTGTGTGTGTGTGTGTAAAAAAGACTCATTGGTTATCCCAAGAGGAATGGTTTTGGTGTGACTGGTGAAGTGGGTTCAAGGGTGGAATAGGATGAGGATGAGGAAGAGGAAAAGAGAAAAGGGAAATAGGAAGAGAAAAAGGAATGATAAAGGATGAGGATGATGAGAGACTTGATGAGTAAAGTTGGAAGAAAAAAAAGTTTGCTACCAACTTCATGGCTCTTTTTTCACTCTCCTCGGCTATCAAGTCGATTTACCTTCTCTCAGTTGATTTCTAGTTCCTTCCTTCTTCATCCATGCCTCATGAAACTGTCATGAAACAATCATGTTCCATATCGGTTTCGATTTTTCCTCTCCTTTACTTCCTTCTCCTCATCTTTTCATATTCTTGAGACTCATTATGTTTATCATGAGATATTTACTACGTTTGTCAAGGAAAAACAAAAATTGTTCTCATTATTTTTCTTCTTACCTTCATCATGATGTTTCTGAGCATTTTGTATAAGAAGAGCACTTCGATAATCTTTAGATGAAAGTCTTTCAATCTTTTGCCGGTGATTTATTGGTAAATTTTGCTCCTTGTGTTGCCACCTAACAAAATCAATTGGATAACCTATTACCGGACATCTAATCAAAGCATCTCGACCTGCTACCAAAGTTTTATTGACAGGTGATTGATATCTTGATGTAGGTAATCCTGGTATGTATAAAGTTGTCATGGAAACGGCTGAACCGATATTATTGAATGCTTTACATTTATATTGACCTCCATCAATAACTTCAACAGAGGTAATATTAAGATAACTGTATAAAATGCCTTCGTTTGATACATAATCACCAATTGAGAGACGAGAATTATTTATTGTTAATGATGAAGATAAAGATGATTTTCTTGATAATGATGATGATGAGATGATACTGGAAGTAGGCGAGGTTAAAGAGGATGAACTAACCATTAGATCAATCTCATCAAGAGTCCATACCACTTCCGGTATTGGACTTCCTGTTATGATGCATCTCAATGAAACAGTTGAACCTTTTAATGAGATAATTTCAACTGGTAGTGGTTCTAGTAGGCGAGGAGGTATATCACCTAATCGTAGGATTGATGAGGTGCTTGATGATTCTTGATCATTTGAGGCGAAACATTGATAAGTTCCCTGAGAATCTCGGGAAACTGTTGGTATATTTAGTGTGGAAATTTTTAACGATCGATTAAAAAAATGTACCTCTCCCGATGAATTTTCAAGGCCAAGTGAACGACCGTCTTTAAGCCACATTATCCGTGTCTCAGGTCTAGAAGAGGTTACTGAGCAAACAAAGGCAACTGATTTACCAATATCGGTAATCACTTGGGACGATGGTGTTAAAGTTACCGTTAATGGCACATCAACATTCAAGGTGATTATTGCTTTCTCACTTCCGGCAATATTAGTGGCAAGACAAATGTATCGACCAGAATGTGACAGAAAAGTTGAATATATTATAAGGCATCCATTGGTTATCTCAATGTTATCAATTTTATTATCGTTACTTTTTCTAGCATTTATTTGAATTGGTATATTTACACCATTGGCATCCTCTTTGAACCAACTGTAAGTTTATGTATAAATTTCCGCATCCGGATGTATGAAAAAAAAGATTCAAAATAAAAAAGAAAGATTCAAATTATTATCATCAGTCAAAGAAGATGAAAATCATCTTGACATGATTGCAAACAGATAAAAAAAGATAATGACAAAACGATGAACGATTATCATGATATAACTTTCAATCTTATTTCAAAATGTTATTACATTGTTGACATATTTTCTTTTTTCAACTTTTTTTTGTTCCATTTCTCTTTTCAGTGCAATTGCTACGACAATTCCATGAGCTTCATGGTACTCATCTTATTCTGTTGGATGAATTTTCATTGAGAATAACTTTCTCTCTCTCTCTCTCTCTCTCTCTCTCTCTCTCTCTCTCTCTCTCTCTCTCTGCTTCCTCTTCCTTAACCTGGATATTTTTATCGATATCATTAACAGCTTGATGATTGATGCTTTCAAATTACATTGCTTTGGTTCCTAAAGCTTAATAATAATGGTTTCATGATAACAGAATAGTAGTAGATATTTATGAAAGTTTGAGAAGGTGGAAAAATCTGACTGAATTATTGTTCACCAGTAAAAGTAGTTGAGAAAAAGGTGAAATATCTGTATTATGATTCTGTGAAATGTGAGCATTTTGGGTGAAGATGAGAAAGAGAAGAAAAAATAGAACTGAAAAGATAAATTCCAACGCAAATACTATTATAAGTAATGATAATAATTCAATCTTTTTTTTTCTTCTTCCTCTTCTTTCATGATGATGATTTTTCTCATCCTCAAGTTAAGGTGAATAAAAGTCATGATGATAAATCTGTATCTCATTTGACGAAACTTCAATTTTTTATCTCATCTCTTTTTGAGGATTTCATTGTTTTCTTTTTTTTATGGATTCTCTGTTTTTTTCTTCTCATTGATAGAACGAAAAAAAAACTACTACAGAAAAGAATATCAAAACAGAAGAGATTCTGGTTATTCTTTCCATATTTTTCCTTCTCATATCATATTTCAACTTCCGATTTCCGATTCCAAGTAAAATGCTAACCAGATAGAAATACTCATAGGATAAAGAGAGAGAGAGAGAGAGAAAAGAAAAACTGAGAAAAAAAGAATGATGTTCTTATGGTAAAAAGTTTTATTCTATATTATCTTTTCTCAGACTGATCAGAAATGATGATGATGATTTCTACAGGGAATGAGAATGTTATATATGTATCATGAGAAGAGAATGAAAAAAAAATTGACAGAATTTTTTGTTTTGGTGTTTCTATTCATATATATGAATTCTTTATGTTTTTCCCTTATTTCTTTTCCTCTTTCAATTTGACAGTCAATTCCGGACTTTGAGTTGAAGAAAAAGGGAAGAGGAAGAAGAAGAACCCATGATGATCATGATGATAGTTATTGAATAACAGTCAACATCTTAATATGAATTGAAGATGTAACTAAATTTATCATTGATCAGACTAGAATATAAGAGGGAAAGTTCACAGTTTTTCGTTTTTCTATTATCAACTAATCGTGATAATGTATTAGTATAAACTATGAATTCAGAATTGATCCAACATCTTTCATAAATGTTAACCTGTTTTCGTGACTAACAACGTGTGAATTATTTCAATAACCTAAATAAATCAGAGAAAGAACAGTTTTCCGTTTATTGAATATGATCAACTTTTGTTTTCCAAGAAAAAGAAAAATTATCATGAAAAACTGTCACAGCAACGAAAAGAGAAAGAGAGAGAGAGACAAATGCAAAAAATACTCTTTTCATTAAGTGTATTTACCAATAATACAAATGATTTCTCTCTAAGCATTTTCCATTCTATTCACTTTTTCTTTTCCCACAGATAATAATGAAATATGTCGATTCTAATGTATTTCCGATAAACCTCCATGAGCTAAATATTGTATAAGGTGAGGAACGAAAATGAGAGAGAGAGAGAGAAGCAGTTAGAACCTTTTATATCCAAAGTTATCATATGTTATCGAAAGATTTATGTGATTCGAATGTCAAACGTTCAGCATTTCGAATATAATCTGCACTGGACTTCATTCATCATCGACTTTTTTTGTTTCTTTAGTTTTACTTTTTCACTCTTTCCTTTCTGTTATTTTCTCCCTTGTCAGATGATAACATGTTTATATGATGATGATGATGATATTACAATGTTCCCACAGAAAAAACAATATTATTATTCAGTTAAACAAGGTATTGCTTTGGTCAGCATTAATAATGTATATCTACATGTTGTGTCCACATGTAATTTTTGTTTATCTACTATAGCGTATACATAATATTTATATAGCCCCATAACTTTTGACTTTGCAATTCTCTGAACAAACTCAGAGTAATTCATGATGTTTCTCATTTTTTTCTTCTCTTTATCATTCTCTCCTTTTCTTTATCTCAACCATTTTCTTGTACTCTTTCTTACTCGAACGATTGAACGAACATTTTCTTATTTATTTTTCCTTTCTCTCTCTCTCTCATAATTACCTTCCCTGTCCATTCAATATTTGCTTACGGATAATGTTTCATGATAGGACAGTTGTTACCATTGTCCGGTTATTCATTGAATTCAAATTGAATGTGCTTAGATGACCATTATTGTTAACCATAAATTAATCATATCCGTAAATCAAGTGTCAGCTTACTGATCATTTGGTTGTAATGATAATAATAGTAATATAATTGTTATTATTATAAACACAGTTCTAAATGTAGTCTCATGATATTTATGGTTATATTAACAGTAAACTTGTAGATGAACAATAATTCAGCACTTTTCAGGCTACAAAATCTTTCAAATGTCTCCATGATCATTGAGTGAAACTAAGTTTTACATGATAGTGAATAAATGTCATCCTCGATATCCAATATGCTCATGAGATGATTAGAATCACCCAACCAAGCTGAATAACAGTTAATCATTGTTGAACTGAATGAAATACGTTACTTTATATATCTTTAAGTTCATTGTAAAGTGCTGATGAATGAGAAAGAGAGAGAGAGAAGTAAAAAAGTGTCTTATTGTTACAAAAAGATTCATGGTGAACTCATTTGAGTTCAGGGTAAAAGAAATCGAGACTCGGCTAAGAACAGGAAGAGAAAATAAAACTAAAAAGAAATAAAGAGAAACCAGAACGAAGAAAATAAATTACGAATTTATTTCTCTCTCTCTCTCTCTTTCTTTCTTTATCAACATCATTATTATCTCAATAGTGAATGTTTTCTGTTCTTAGAGTCTATTGTTATCATCGTTATTATTGTTATCAGTTTTTTCATATACATCGATTGTTACTGTTAGAACATAAGTAAAAAAATTCGCTATTGGAATACAAGGGATTGAAATCGAAAGGAGAAAGTTAAAGAGAATAAAAATTTTACATTCAAATTTCATCTTCGTTTTTTATATATTCTATTCTCTGCCTAACAACATTCATTTATTAACTTTGAAAATAATGTTTTATTGTTCCGTTATAAATAACTTATCTTAACATCTTATTCTCGTCAGTCAGTTGATTCAGCATTCTGTTCATCCTATTATTATATTATCATCAACATGATCAGCAACAACAACAACAACAACAATGATAATAATAACAATGATACAAGGAAAAAAATAATGCAAAAGATAACAACGAATGAGATATGAGATAAAAGTTTTCTATGTGATTAAAAGGAAGAGGTTATGATGAATATGATGGAAATGATGGTGATGCGGGGAAGATGAAGATGGAAAAAATATGAAAATTGAATTATTATCATCGTCGTTTATATCAGACTCTTTTCCTTTCTTTCTTTCGCTTTAATCTTCGTCTTCTTCTTAACTGAAACTTGTCAGAACTTTTCGATTTTTTCTTCTACCATATCTCTTTCTCTCTCTCTCTCTGTTTTGACCTTGCTAGAGAAACGATTATGCGTGTTTCTATTCGATAATAATGATATAAAAAAAGAAAAGAATAAGTTGTAATGTTATGACAAAAAATATTCTCTTATTCATTCTAGTCTTTCATTTTTGTCTTCTTTCCTTCATCTTCTCATTCGTATCATCATGATTTCTTTTGATAGGAATCGAAGCACTGAACCACTTTTTATACATTTCGTTTCTCTTTTTAAACTTTATCAGATTTTCTCTCTCTCTCTCTCTCCAAAGAAAACCCTCTCTTTTAAAACTTTTCTCTCTCATTTAATTCTATCAATTTTGATCATCTTTTATCCTCTCTTCTATTCAGAGTTTCTTTATCTTCATCTTTATTGAAATGATGATGATGATTAGGTTGATGATGAGAAGGAAAATGAAGGATGCCCATTGTTATCTTGGAATGAGAGTCAGTGTATTATTTTTGATTGAGATAAGTAATAGAAAGAATCATCTTCCAATCATCATCTCTCTCTCTCTCTCTCTCTCTCTCTCTCTCTCTCTCTCTCTCTCTCTCTCTCTCTCTCTCTCTCTCTCTCTCTCTCTCTCTCTCTCTGATTTGTTCCAAATTAACAATTAACCATTGAATTAAATTCACAAATGGTCTAATTAATGGTAAGAATTCTAATCAGTTTTTCAATTCGAAGTGAGGAAATTATTTCCATTTGAAAAACTTTCGAAAACTAAGAACTTTAACTTTTTTACTTCTCTTTTAAAACTCGAATTTATTAATATAAAGAGTCAGTAACAATTAGTGAGGTCAAAATGTACGAAAACTTACGAGTATTTTCATTGTTATGAAAAAAACCTATTTCCGTTTCCTCAGAATGATTCATTGAGGAACTAGAGAACGTTAAAATTATCATCATCATCATTACCGTTGTGATTATCATTAGAATCAGAGTCGTTCTGATGATGATGTAAATCATTAAATTTGAGAACTCAAGTTGGATGAGAAAAAAAAATCTCGGAAATGAGTAAATCTCCTATTATCATGTGTTGATATTAATGGTTGAAAATAAATTCATTCATTTGAATATTAAGATATCAAAGATATAAGATATCAAGATATAAATTCAAA